CCAACCAGTGCTAGCCGACGGCGGCGACGACGTGATGGTGATGGCGGGGGCCTCGCCCGCGCCGCCCGACCGCATCAAGGACACCAGGACACCTTCGCTGTCGTGAATGTTGTATGAGGAAAAGGCGGCCACAGATTCCGTCATGTTGGGAACGTTTCAATCCCGGCCGGCCAGCGAGCAAATCGACTAAAGCCCGCGCTGAGAACAAGCCGCCGCCACACCGCGAGGCGCGCTCTGTCTCTCCCGCACTGTAGGGCGGCGTCCCGTAGGGGTGCGAGAGAGACGGAGGGCGGAGAGCGTCGCTGAAACGAGCTGAATCGCGCGGGACACGCAGCGCCGCCAACCTCTGCATATTCAACGGCGAGCAGCAGCAGCTAGCCGCGGACGAAATAATGGGAAACATCCGAGGTGTTGGCAATGCCAATTATTCCCGAGGATTGAAAAACGCAACAAGATACACATTCGTAGCGAGCCCCGCGATAAGGGAATGCAAAGCGGTTTACATGGTAATTGTATGATTTTATGATTTTCATGCGTTTTTAATGAATACGAAATAAGTCCGGCGCTTGCCGGCTCGGCGCGGCTTGCCGGGGCCTGACGTGAAAAACAGAGGGCAGATATGATCCGCCGCCGCAGATTAGAGGAACGTTGCATTTATAATGCAGCTGAGCCGCGACCGATGTTGCAGTGTAGTACATCTCTGGCGTTATGGTAATGGGTCCTTCGCTGTGGTTCTCTGCGGTTCCCAGTGGCTGGCCGCGCTTCCCAGCCCGCGCACGCCGCGTACTCACACGGCCCGGCGGCGGTACGGCGCGGATTGCAGGTTGATTCTGCACGGCGCTGTCGTCGCTCTGTCTCGCTCGCACGCATGGAGCGGCCCCTCGGGGTGCGAGAGAGACAGAGCGACGAAACACTGCGCGGCAGAGAAGACCCCGAAGTTCGGGAGGGCCGCACGGCGGGCCGCCTCGGCCGGCCGGCACCGGCACACCCCTGTACTGTTTACTGTTGGCACTGTGTTCACGCCGCGGACAAACTTCAGCAAAGTTTGCCAAATTTCTGAGTGGCTCGTCAGGCGTGACTCCGCGCGGTGCGCGAAAGTGCTACCAAGTTTTAACGCCCTGTTGGGAGGCGCGGTCTCGACTAAAAACACATTCCAGGTCATATTCCCCCCCTCCCCTCGCCTATTAACCTAACCAGCAGTTTCATCGCGGTATTCGCTCCAAGCCGCGCTGTCTACTTTATGCTTCCGCCACATGCGTAACCCGGTCGCGCCGCCCGCCGCATTTTTTCTCTCTCTCTCTCTCCTCAGAAAATTAATTCAATTTGTATAGTATGACCAGCGGCAGTTTGTGTTTACCACGATTTTTCTCCGCTCGTATTTCTATTTTTCCTGGCCGCGCTCCTTTCCGCCTCGCCCTCGCCTTTCCGTGCGCCGGAATGCCCGCCTTGCCTGCCTCGCCCGCCGCGTGCACCGCGGCATTCGCATACACCTCGTCAATCCACGCGGGGCTGTCGGGGCGGCTGGCTCGGCTCCACTCGGATTTGTCGGGCCGCCGCGCCGCGCCGCGCTAGGGCACGCCGCGCTATGAGGAGAATGAGGTGGGCTCTAATTATTACGACGCCAAGAAGGCACGTAATTTTTCCCTAGATGGCCCGATACCGCCCCGTGTGGCCTGGCCGCCTGGCCTGGCGCGCATGGACGTTGCCGTTGCACTGCGCGCGGCTGCGGCCCAACAGTGCTTACGTCGCTCTGTCTCTCTCACACTCATGGCAGGCAGCGTAAGGGTGCGAGGGAGATAGAGTGACGAAACGGACGGATAATGTATGCCCGCCCTCTGCCTCTGGACGTCGACAGGCGGCGCGGAGTCCTCTCTGGTCTTCGCCCGGGCCGGCTGCAGTCTGCAGGCCAGTGGTGCCCGATGGGTTGCCTGCACCACCGGCGGTGGCACATCGCTGTCGTCGCTCTGTCTCTCTCGCACTCGTGGAGCGTTGCCAGTGAGAGCGAGAGAGACAGAGCTGCGGAATGGTGTGTGGAACTACTCTTCTGAAGCGGGGGCCGCTGGTGGCCGCGGGCGTGCTGTACCGAGAATAATGATGTACCGACAAGGGCCAGGAGGGCCAAGAGGGCGTCCCCGCCGTGCCCCGCGGCCGCCCTCGGCCCTCGGCCCTTGGCCCTCCCCGCCGAGAAGAAAGACTCCGAGCAGGAAGCAGCCTCGCAGGCAGCAGCGCGCCCTTTGTAACGACGGCTCGTCTACTTCATTACACGCCCCGCTCGTGTCGCCGCCTCTCTCTCGCACCCACTCGGCGCGCCCCGCGAGTGCGAGAGAGAGGCCTGCCGCGGAATCTGCCTGCTGGCTGAGGGTGTTCCGGAAGGCGCGCCGTGGCCGCGTAACTGCCTCGCGCTGTCTCGCGGGGCCGCCGAGTTGCCGGGCTTTGAGCCGCCCGCCTGCCTGCCTGCAAGGCTTTGCAGAGCGGATGAGTCGTGTTCTTCTTTCCGGGACCCGGCTGAACAACGACGCTGGAAAATCGGTAAGGAGCGAACACCAGCAGCGCGTCCAGGTTTACGCTGCGCGACGCTGCGCGGGCTCGGCGGCGAGGGGCGGACCCCCGGATTTCTCATACCGCGCGGCGGCCGCTCTCCCGGGAGACGACGATGCGACGCCGCGACGATGCCGCCGCGCCTTGGCGGGCCTTTCAGGGAGCAAGTGTGAATCACATTATGGCGCCACAAATAGAGGGCGGTGGATGGCGGGGCGGGGCCGGCGGGGCGGAGAAGCGCCGAGTTTCTTTACGAGGTCTCCGAAGGCGAGGTGCCGCCGCCTGGCCGCCCGGCCCTAGCCGAGGAAGCCGAGGCGCTCCCCGGCCCGCTCGCCATAACTTGTATTAAGATACACAGTGTGGCGACACGTTAATGTATGTTGGTGGCTCTTGATGGTGCGATAAACAGCGAGGACTACACACACAAACGCCCCGAGTATGGCCTGGGGGCATCGAGTGTGGCGCGGCGTGGCGCGGCTGGGGAGGCGAGGGAGGCGGCCAGATAGCCGCGTATAGCGAGCAGACCTCGTGCTTCAAACTCGCTCACTTTCCAGGCCACCCTACACTCCGCTACTCTCGGATAGCGGGGTCATGCTCTGCACCGGGTTGAATTTACTTTCAAACCACCACTCGCAGGACATGTCTGAAAGACCTATGGGAAAGGTTTCGCTTCTCCAGTGCCGAGTGTTCCGCGTCCTAGGTGAGCCGCACCGCCGCGCCCGCAGCCCGGGAATGCCGGCGGCCTCGTCGGCCTCGTCGGCGCCGTCCCCGGGGACCCCCCTGCACGCGGTGCAGCTGGCGTGGCATTCCCCCGGGACCTCCGGACCTCCCCGGACCTCCACTGCCATGGGCACGGCAGCACGGCCTCTGCCACTGCCCGCCTAATTGACAAAATGAGGACCGGAAGGGAATAACTCAACGCGGGGGTCCTGCCGTCCTGGCGTCCTGCCCGGGACGCATGCCGATCGTATCGCCAGTGTGTCGGCCTCGTCGGCCTCGTCGGCCTGCAGGCAGCCCGCCCCGGGCTCGCCGTCGTCGCTCTGTCTCTCCACGTCGAGCACCTCGCAGTCCCGGAGGTGCATCGGCCCTGCTGGCCGCGTTGGCCGCGGTGGCGGTGCGCACGGCCTTCCAGCGCGTGCTGCCGCGTGCCGGACTCGCGTTGCCGCGGTCCATGCGCCCGCACTGTAAGCCAGTTTGTTTCGGTGTTGGTGGGCCTGTTGCGTGCACGTCGCGGCGCGGGCCGGGAGGGGCGTGGCGTGGGGGGCGAAAACGGCCAAAACTAGAACCCTTCGCTAGGCCCGGTCCCAGTTCGTTGTTTCAGAGTGAGACAGAGTGCCGGCTCGAAGCGCCTGGAGGGTAGGCAGTCCGGATGCAGCCCTGTCGGCGGGATGGCATGTCGGTGTTGTCGGGCGTTTGCGTCAACTTCTCTCTTGGGCCGTCGCTAGTCGCCACCGCGGTGCGTCCCGCCGCAGGTCGTCGACGCAGCCCCGCGCGGCCCGGGTGCGGTCATTGGTGGCGGCGGTGGCGGCCGACGGGAAGGGGTTGGTGCGCCGCCCCGCCCCGAAGCGGCGGAAAGAGTACCGGGCGGGCGTACTCGGGTGGGGGTGGAGGTGCACCGCTAGTGGCTGCGTGGCGCTGCGTGGCACTGCGTGGCTGCTGGTGGCGCGCCGGCCATGTTGATTTGCGGTGTGGGTGCGCGGCAAGGCGGCCGGACGGGCGGCCTGCTTCGCCTGCTGCAGGGCGCGACCTAATGTCGCCGCGACACGCCACCCGCAGGGCGGGGCGCGGCCAGGCGCGGCCAGAGGCGGCCCGGCGCAGCCATTCCGAAATGTGGAGTGTTACTGACACCCTCCCGGTCGAGAGTCAAAATGTAGGCGGACGTCGTGTTTGGGCCTGTCTTGGCTGCCCCGAAGGTGGACATGACTGACGGTGCACCTGACTCTCGTACTCGCTGGTCGCGCTGGACGTAGGGCCTGGAGTCTCTCCTGGAGTCCAGGTGAGGGGCGGCGCTGGAGGCGGGAGGGGGCTGCTTGTTCACTGCTAGTACCTACACGTGTTGCGGACGCTCGAAACCCTACACGGGAAACACATTACCGCCCCCACCCCCGCCCCCTGAACGGAATCGCCGGCCGTACATCCCCGAGGCCCGCGGGGGTGCGCGTCGGCGGCGTCGGTCGCGTCGGTCCTTAAACCCCGTGGAGACCCCCTGGCCTCCCCCTCCCCCGGCGGCATGATCCAGGTGCCGCAGCAAATGGCGGGGAGGGGCGGGGCGGGGCGGGGCACTCAACCTTACAGCGATCCGCTCCCCGGGGCGTATATGGAGGCCTACATGAAGGGGAGCGCGTCGCGCGTCACGTCCTGATGGACTGGAGGCTGAAGGGCTCGCCGAGTTGCCGGGCGCTGCTGGGGCCGAGTGCGGCGCGGGGGAGAGATGTTCCATATTTTATGCAAAATAACCAGAGTGGTGTTTGTGCGTTGCTTTGTTTCTTTTTGCCTACAAATTCCAGTCCTCGCAGGCCGTTCAGGCGGCGCAGGCGGCCTTCCACGGCGCGTCCCTCAAGTACACGTGCAGGGTGACGAGGCCCTTCGCGCGGGTCCAGTCCAGGAAGCACTGCGGCGCCGAGGGGAACATGGCCTGCGGACGGAAGCACAACGTACAGTGTACAGTCAGAGCGTTCCCCTGTTGCAGAGTCCCCGCCCGCGGACTCACCTGGACGAGGCCGCGTCGCGGTGCCTCGAGCCACCAGCGGCCGAACCAGTTGTGCGACGCCTTGCCGTACAGCGAGACGCCGAAGCCCTGCAGGCGGCCCGTCACGTCGTCGAACAGCAGGAAGAAGGGCCGGTGCTCCTCGCAGGCCATCGAGGGCGACATGTTGTAGGCGTAGTGGCGGCCCGCGCCGCGGACGCAGCCCTGCTTCGTGAAGGCCACGCCGCCGGCGTCCTCCGCGGTGGAGGGCATGGCCCAGTACGAGGCGCCGTTCTCCAGCAGCAGCGCGTCCTGCAGCACCTCGTCGCCGTCCTGCCAGTCCACGCGACCCCCGGCCATCAGCACGCCTAGCAAGCAAGAGTTTTTGTAACAACGCATCTCAGCAAAAAAATTAAAAAATAAAATTATCGTCCTTGTCTGAGTTTTTCTATCGGAAGTATTTTCTTTTTAGCAGTGTCCAGGTCCAATGGTGCAGGTTGCTAAACACTTGAGCGCAATAAGAAGGTACAGTAGTTGTTTTGGTGGCAAGGCCACGCATTACAAACACTCGACACTGCTATCAATAACCCGGGGGAAAGGACGAACGCTGATTGCCGAACTCGCGAGTGCAGGGCTAATCGTCACGGTATTGCAGGGCAGAGTCGCCTCAAGTGGTGCGATTCGAGGCTCACTACACCCCGGCCTGCTCCAGCGCGATCCACCTGTCAGCCCTCTGTTAGATTGCCCGCAAACCACCATCGGGCGAGTTTGATGAGTCACGCCAGTGCCGAAAATAAAGTATTCAGATGCGGTGACGAAGCCCGGTTTATCTGTCGAAGGTTTACTCATCATGCCCGACTTGCGTAGACTCGCGGCCTATGTCACAACGACGGGGGCCCCTTCTTACTCGGGTCGACGAAGAGCGCGGTGGCCGAGAACACTTCGGTGCCGAGCAGGGTGCCGCGCCGCCACTGGGACTCCTCGTGTATGGGGTACTGCTTGGAGCCGAAGGACTTCTCGAAGTCGCTCACCGAGACCTGCGAACCGGAAAACAGTCGGCCGCGTGGAAAAGAGGCGCGGGTCACTCCATCGCCGCGGAGGGTGCGTACTGGGTATGTACTCGCGAAAAGTTTCGGCTGGATCCGCTCCACTGTTGGTTTGCACTCACCGAGACTTGAATCCCCGCCACCACGCCCGCCAAGTCGAACAGCAGGCACACCCTGTAGTCCTTGCGCCTGCACCAGGTGGACACGAGGCCGGCCGTACGCCCCTGGCCGTCGGTCCCGGCCACCTCGGCCCAGCCGGCCTTCTTGGCGGCGGCCGCCGTGAGCGGCAGGGAGTAGAAGCTCTCCCAGCGGAACGGGTCCATGTCGCTGTAGGATGCTGCGGACAGAACGACCCCGTATCTACTCCGCGACTGCAGACAACGCCCCGGTCCTTTACCTTTTCAGGCAGTGCCGGCACCGACAGTGGCGTGCTGCCGTCGCGGTCGTCGCTACACCATCGCCGCTCTTCGCAACCCATACGTACCGATGAGTCGGTTCATGCTACCACTGTTCCCTTCTGCAAGCAAATCGTACATTCTTTCTTTAACACGAAAATGATCGCCAGCGATGGTTTTCATTGATACAGTGCAGCGGGCGGTACGTCGCTTCGATACCTGTCGGGCTGAGCAGGGTATCCGCTCGTCCCTGAGACACCAGCAGCAGGGCGCCCGTAAGCAAGAGGGTCAGTTGAGACGTCATTTCGCAGCGAAACCTCTGACCACGGAAGCAAAGTAGACACTAAGCAGCAATCTTTTGGCTCTTCGTTGCGGTCCGTCGAACCGAATGATAAGGATGCAGTGATATTCAAGTGGTGACACGAAAGTCCGAACAATATGCAACGGACTTGCCTCAAGTGTTTGTGTCGGTGAGACGTGTAAGGCCCTAGAGATCTCGTTATCAGGAGGACAGTTTCCCGCCGTGTTTGAACCTGCCGCGCTCTGCGCGTAGGGGTTGCAAGGGTGGATGCAGGCTTGCCATATTAGGCTGATGAATCGGAGCCACAGCACCGTGACTTGGTCTCTTGTCGCTCTTGTCTCTCTCATTAGAGAATGGTCCTAAAGTATAGGAGAAACTATCGCAGCTAAGAAACAAACTAAACATCGGTAAGGCTGTATTTTGCGTCCGAGCGCCATTCCATGTTTTCGTCTGCTACAGTTGACAAACAAACGTCAACATAACCACAATAAGCCTCAACCACAACATTACTTTCACGTTGTTTGAAGTATTTTCCCATCTCAGGCCATGTCTGGGCGTTTTTGTTACTCCTGACTAGCATTTTCTATGAGAGCATTCTTGGTCAAATTGGATTGAACCGTTCATGAGAAGGCTTGCTTTTGCCATTTTCTGTTTATAGCTAACTGCCCATTCTAACACACATTTTGTTAGCAATGGCAGAATTTGTGCCCGGATCTGCTTCTCTTCCCTCCTCGGAGGTAGAACTGACTTTATCTTGCAGGTACTTGAAACGAAAAAAAATGTTGAATTTTGACAGATTTTGAAATTATTTTGTTAAAGGTTTGTCTTATGATGTCTTTTTGTTCCCTCCTCAAGGAATTTGTTAGATTGTGATGTATTTTCGAAATCTGATCCTATGTGTGTGGTTAAAATGAAGACTGCTGAATTTCCACAGTGGCGAGAAATTTGTAGGACTGAAAAAATATCTAATTCTCTCAATCCGGATTTCACTAAAAAGGTTAGTTGCTTTTGTGATGTAACGGACACATTTGGGGACTCATGCGTGTTTTTTATTTTTATTCTGCTATGTCTGTTTAGGTTCAAGTGCAATATCGCTTTGAAGAACAACAAATATTAAGATTTGAAGTATATGATATAGATACCAAGAATCCCAGTTTAGAAGAGCAAGATTTCTTGGGATATTGTGTGGTAACCCTTGGGCAGGTACGTGGATTCATTTTAGAAAAATTGAAAGGAATTACTATTATGACAACAGCTTGCATTCTTAGTTGTCTTGCAAGAAAGATAAACAATGCCAACTGATTCATTTCAGGTTGTGTCATCTGGGAAAATTACAATGCCTCTATCAGGGATGCCGCTTAATAAGGGAGTACTGATTGTCAGTGCTGAAGAGCTAGCTGTCTGTATGGATGAAATAACACTTAAATTTGTTGGTAAATCATTGGATCGCAAAGATTGGCTCGGAAAGTGAGTTACATAACGGGAATACCTAACTGTTTTTTCTTTCCTGAAAAGTTATTTGATAATCTTAACTTTTTGTTTCATTTCAGGTCTGATCCATTTCTTGAATTTGCCAAAGTAGGAGAAAGGGGAGATTATTCTATAGTTCACCGAACAGAAGTCATCAAATTTACTCTAAATCCTGAATGGAGACCCTTTACTATTGCTGCACGTACACTTTGTGGTGGAGATGAGGACCGGAGTATTAGAGTAACTTGTTATGACTGGAATCGATCTGGTAACCATAGTTTAATTGGTATGTAGCATCAATGTGTACAATTTGTCATTAACTGCATTGGCTGATTATTCAATCGTTGTTACTTTTTCAATTTTAGGACATTTTTATACAAATTTGAGGCAGTTAAATCAGGGTCCTGGTCCAGAAAATCTTTACCGTGTTATTAACCCCGACAAACAGGTACTGTCATGATAATAATAGTTTTATGCATTATTTAGGACTGATTACCAATATAATGAATTAATCTTAAAATCTAGCTAAAAAAGGCAACTGTTTACAAACATTCGGGTGAAATCTCACTAACACACTTTGAAAAGAAAAAACAATATTCCTTCTTGGACTACATTATGAGTGGTACTCAACTCAACTGTACTGTAGCTATTGATTTTACAGGCAAGTGAAAGTTTGTGGAACCATTTTAATTTAGCATGGGTCTCTATGTCGATTTTTGAAGCAGTGTGTATCTTCATATTTACTTAAGATGAATTGAGTACCGCTTTGAATTCACTCTATATAATTCTGTGCACATGTCCATGATGTAGTTCAACCATGCCATTCATCTGTGTGATGACAAATTACTGCATATTTTTGTTTTTATTGTCTGCTCTTGATGAAAAAGTTAACCCTGCATGTTATTTATGAAATTTCCTTTTGTCAAAGTATTTTGATTTTCACTTATGGTATGAAGTCATATGCAGTCTTTGTTCATAATTGTTTTGTTCAAGGCTTTTGTTTTAGCTTTTGAAAATGTATACTTTGTGTGTTGTGTGTGTATGTCCAATAGTGTTTTTCAAGAGATGCATGCCTTTTCTTTTATGTTGTTGTTTCTTGTTTTGTTTTTCATCTTCTGTTTTCTGCAAATATTCTTAAGAATGATGGTACCTGTTATGTGCATGCTTTGTTTCTTTGTTTGCTCAAAGTTTGGTGTCTAGTTTTGTGTCACTAGATGACAAGGTGTTTTTTTGTGTATCACAGCATCCAATGGGGATCCCAATTCACCAACTTCCTTACATTATACTGGATCTCAAGAGCTAAATCAGTATGAGCAAGCTCTTACAGCAGTTGGTGAGATTATACAAGATTATGACAGTGACAAGCTGTTTCCTGTTCTTGGGTTTGGAGCCAGGATCCCTCCCCACGGCCAAGTGTCACACGAGTTTTTTGTAAACATGCATCCAAGTTATCCATACTGTGAGGGAGTTTCTGGTAAGTTGTTACTGTGTTGCACAGTTTTGCTTTCACTATAGCTGTTTGTATCACTCTTTTTCCATTGTCATTTTCAAGGTGTAATTGAGGCATACAAAAAATGTATTCGACAAATCCAGCTCTATGGCCCCACTAACTTTGCTCCTGTGATAAATCATGTTGGGAAGTTTGCTGAAGCGTATCAAGATGGATCACAGTATTTCATCCTGCTTATAATCACTGATGGAGTCATCACTGACATGCCTCAAACTAAACAGGCAAGAAAAATGCAAAAAATTGCAAAAGTTTTTGTTTTTATTCCGTAAAATCTTGAAGTAACTTTGAAATTTTTCAGAAATATTTCACTGATGTTATGTACATTTTTTAGGCCATCATTCGGGCTTCAAACCTTCCCTTGTCCATAATCATTGTAGGAGTGGGTAATGCTGATTTTACAGCTATGAACGAATTGGATGCTGATACAATCCCACTTATAATGGATGGTATAAGAGCTGCAAGGGATATTGTTCAATTTGTTCCTTTCAACAACTTTCAAAGACTCTCTGACAAGGCACTAGCCAAGTCATATTTAGCCCGAGAGGTATTGGCAGAAATTCCAGACCAGGTAATTTTATTTACTATGATACCTACAGTATCTAAATTTATACTTAGCTTCGTTTTTTTTTTTAATTTTTAACCCCTCTAACATTTTTGCAGGTGGTTGGCTACATGAAAAGTAGGAACATAGTGCCTCTTCGGGAACCACGGGATCGTCCTGCTGAAGCTGAAAGTCCCCCTCCTTACACAGAACGGTAAAGTTTGACCATATTATCTTCTTGAGGTTCTCACACTTCAGTGTTAGTGAATATCAGTAGAATGGAACATGATTTGAGCTATGTAGGCAGGATACATAGAAGCCCTTTGATGTCTTACTATTATCATGATCTGATGTTTGCCTTTTGTCATCAAGAGGTTACCTCTTGACTTGAAGGGTCTAACAAAATTCTAACTTTCAATTTGTGTTACAGTGGCAGAAGTGACAGTTACACAGGCTCATGGGGCTTTGTGTAAAGCCATTTGGACTGCTTTTGAGTGAGAATTATCACATCATTGGAATTTACATTTGGAGGAGGCTTCCTTGCCTTCAATAAATTTGTAAATGTACCAAAAATATTGGAATATCTGTACCTGCTAACTTTGCACTCACCACTTTTTGATGCCAATTGTGATTTTGTGATTTATATTTAGGGTCATGACATTTTCTTTGCTCACTGCCATCCCTTTGCAAAGGATTATTGTATCATTTGTTACAAATATTTGTAGCAACCTCTTTTCTACTTCTCTGATTGTAATAAATGGCCACACAGTTTATTGTTACTTATATGCTGCTCTCTGTGTTGCTCAATTTTCCATGACTGTTGCGTAATCTTTACAAGTTGTTGCATTTTTGCTTAAAAAAAAAAATTGTTAAATGTTTGTCTGCTATCCCTTTTGACTTTACATTGGTGCCAGCAATATTTGCCATGTTTGATAAGGCTGTGCTTGTAACCACAATATTTATGTTTGCAGCATGTGTTGATGTACCTGATAATTTTTATACAGTGTAATTTATCTTTTCTTCCTATTCTTGCCAATTTCTCTTTGATAACTGTTTTAAAATAGATGTGCAGTTATTCTGTCTATCCTTCCCTTTTCTTGTAGGTTGAGGTTGTGAGATTTGTAACAACTTTTCCCTGCAAGTATATTTATTTTCTAACTAACTTAATCATGCTAGTACAACCTTCTTGTACTTACAAACGATTCTGAAATTACATGATACTTAATCAAACACCAAAACGTTTTTGTTTCCTGTGGTCTTCCTTGTACACCGAAAGCTCACAAATCATTCATCGCTTACCCATTATTTTATTTTACCGCTTACAAATCGGAAACCCATTCAAACTTTCTCTTTCATACCAGCCGTCAGACAAAAAACACGACGCGAAATTGGTCGCCGGCGAAACGCGAGCGAGACGGCGAGCCGGTTGAGTTGGCATTGCGAGGTGCCACAAAAAAGCTACAATGTTCACTCAAGCGATGGATATGGGAGGCTGGCCCCCGAGTTTCCGCAGGCTGCACCTGCACAGTGTGCACGACTCGAGTCCGAGTCCGCATCGCCGCATTCGTTCGAATTTTACCGCCCCAGAGATCGCACTGACGTGTCCTGTCGTAACAAGGAACGCCGGAACGGAAACGGACGTTATTCCAAGAGGCAACTAGCCAATCGCGGCTCGCCAGCTGGTTTTCGACTGGCTCTGCAGTCAGCAGTGGAAATCAAATCTTGCTTTGCTTAGTATTTCTCAGTTGACGTACACCGGTTCTTGCTGACGTGCTGATCCAACAGGTGCAGCATTCAATTTCACAGGTGGGAAAAAACGTTCAATGGTTGAAGCTTGTTTCCATTTTTGTTGTCATGCACTACATAGTTAGTTTACCAGAGAATATTGCTTCTGGTCTACGTTGCGACGTTTCAAGCGGCTGGTCCAATAGCTCGAGATTAAGTTGTATACTGTATGAATTTTACCGTTTCCCTTTGACATTTATTCCAGTTTAAACTGAACATAGTTTAGAAATAAGTCCTGCCACGAATATTGGACAAATAAAATTTTTCTTTGTATTATGCCAAGTGTCAGTTTAAAGGTTAGGTAGTCGCCCACAAATATTTTGTCTTGTTCTCTAGTAAATTATGATCCAATAAATGAAGTGCCTTTGAGTTCATTTTACATTATGTAAGGCTTTTAACAACTGTGAAGCAATATTCAGGCTGTGTCAAAGGTGACTTTGGTTACCTGTCAGTTTTCTTATTTTCTTCCTTATTTTCAGGATGATTCCTCTAAGGATAAGTTTTGTGCAGCTTTGTCTGGGTTTTATTCTTCTTATTGGAACAATTTCAGCTCTAAGATCCGAAGATTGTGAAGGTAACTTAGTTACTTCTTTGCCTATGTGTCACTTTGCTATTCCTGTCAAGCACTCACTATTAATCTATACTTCATTCTTTCAGTCTGTATCAAGGTTGTTCATAAGTTCAGTGAATCATTATCAGATGAGACACGCAAGGATCCTAAGAAAATAGAAGATGAATTCAAAAAGTTCTGTAAATCATCCAAGAGTAAGGAGAACAGATTTGTAAGTTCCGCAATTTAGATCACTCTGCAATCACTTCGTGAACTGTTCCTGTCTCTGCAATATTAATTATTAATTGTTTCTCGCTCTCTGTTTCTTTCTGACAGTGTTACTATTTAGGGGGCTTAGACGAGTCAGCTACAGGAATTCTTGGAGAGCTTTCCAAACCTCTTTCATGGTCAATGCCTGCAGAGAAAGTTTGTGAAAAGTTGAAAAAGAAGGATAACCAAATTTGTGATCTGAGATATGGTGAGTTCACGATTGTTTCTTTCAAATATGTCCTGCTTTGGTGAGAAATAATCTAACTGACCATTTGATTGCCTACAGACAAAACAATTGATCTGAAAACAGTAGACCTCAAGAAATTAAAAGTCCGTGATCTTAAGAAGATTCTCAATGATTGGGATGAAACTTGTGATGGATGCCTTGAAAAGTCAGATTTTATCAAGCGCATAGAAGAATTGAAGCCACAATATGTACACTCTGAGCTCTAAAAAAATGTAATTGATGTATGTTGTTTCAAGAACTGACTGAGATAATTTTTAAATTGTTCTAAGAGATCTGTTTCACTTTATCATTTTTAAGTTGGGTGCACTAATAGACAGAACAAACAGTATTGTACCAAAAGGCATTGGTCCAGAGCAGATTTTTCACTTCCACTGTGTTCACTCTTGTAAAGTGCTCAATTTGAAATGCCTCACAATTTCTGTTATGAAAAAAAAAAACCAATTTGTTCAGCTTTAAATCTTTTGAGTGGTTTGTCCATCGGTGATTTTAATTCTCTTCTGTCTTGTGCAAGTTAGCATTTTTTGGGTTATTATTTCCTGGATGACTTACTAGCTTCATTACTGATATAAGTTCCTCTTTCATCGATTGGCTATCTATGTGGTCTGTAAAATTCATCTCTAGGTATGTGGTGCACGGGAGGGGATTGACAAACTGTATATTTATAAGTCCATTTATGGACTTGTGTTGATATAAAGTATTGATGTGAAACTGTGAAGTGTGGTGTGGATAGAATTCTAGGAAAGGTGTTCAAGTATGGGTGAATGCCTTTTTGTACATATTTTAGTGATTTGTGATCCTGTATAGACCAGAAGCAATTTTGACATCGCATACCTTACATGAACTCAGTATTTCCCAGTGAATTCTACAGACATACTTAAAATTAGTACACCTTCATGCCAAATATAAGTATAAGTGTGTAAAACGAATCCACATTCAATTATGTCAGAACTTTGTTGTGTAAAGGTGAAACTTTTAATGAATGTCAGCTCAATGACTGAAAAAGAACAAGAATAAATATTTATTTAAAGAAAATTTTTGGATATCCTTCTCATTTTCTTCAAAACTATCAGTTGATTGTCATTGTCATAACACGAAAACAATAAGAATACATCTTCTGTCTGCTCGTACAAAAGTTATTTCTACTTAAAAACAGCTGATGTTTGGAGCCTTACATGGCAACAGGGGTGCTTTCATGCAGTACTCTTCATTCCAGGTTTCTCAAAAAAATTTATGAAGGGTGGTTGTTTTCGTTTTTTTCTTTCATTTTGGTGCAACAATCGCAACAATGCATGAATGACATGATCATGTTGGTGGCGCTGGCGGCGCTGGTGTAGGGAGAAAGAGAAGAATGGGAGGAAGAAGAAAAGTAAACACGACGCAGACGGAGGTGTAGAGGCCGATAACCTCTCATTAAGTTTGTTTTATTTATTATGCTAGTTTTGCAGTGAAAAGGTCTCTTCAATCACTGAAATTTTCACAAACAAAATGCGCCATACAGTTTGGTGGGTATAGCCAGCTATACTTTAAAGATTAGAGCTTACACAAATGTACTATTTTGCTACATCTTCCTTTGCAGTCTGGTTTCAGATTTTTTCTATCCTAATGTAGGAGGAGTTGAAGAACACATTTTTAATCTGTCACAATGCCTAATGCGCCGTGGCCACAAGGTGATTGTGATGACACACTCCTACAATGATAGAGTTGGTGTGCGATATATGACCAATGGGCTGAAGGTATGACAGTTGCTCTTCCATATTCTTTTTTCAAAAATCTTTTACAATTAAAATATTTTTCACTTCTCAGGTGTATTACCTTCCAGTTCGGGTGTTTTATAATCAATGTGTCCTCCCTACAATGATATGCTCCTTACCATTGATTCGGAACATATTTATTCGTGAGTGTATTAGCATTGTTCATGGTCACTCTGCATTTTCTGCTCTAGCTCATGAAGCTATGTTGATTGGTCACTTAATGCACTTGAAGGTTTGTGTTTTTAATGCACGCATGCTGAAATGCATTTTTCCTTATTTTTTTTCCTTTGTGGCTCATATTTTCACACACTCATTTTCAATTATTTTTACATTCATTTGCAGTGTGTTTTCACTGATCATTCTCTCTTTGGGTTTGCGGATACATCAGCTGTCATCACAAATCGTTTTCTACAAATTTCGCTTTTTAGCTGCAATCACTGCATCTGTGTCTCTCACACTGGGTTTGACCTTTCTTATTCATATCTGCTGTCAATTTTAACACTCTTCTCAAGTAAACTTAATATTTTTCTCCCTTTTTTTTTAATAGGAAGGAAAACACAGTTTTAAGAGCAAGGGTTGAAAGTAATCGTGTGTCTGTGATTCCAAATGCAGTTGATACCAAGGCCTTCACTCCTGATCCTACTCACAGATCAGATGATTATGGTAATATTTAAAAAGGATCATAAAAACCTCATTTTTCCAGGAACTTTTTTTTAGAAACAATACACAGCTTTGATTTTGCATAGGTGTTTCCTCCATAAAAATTTTTCTCCCTTTTGTTTCAGTTACTATTGTTACTGTAGGGAGACTAGTGTACCGCAAAGGTGTTGACCTTATGGCTCAAATAATAAAGGAGTTAAGTCCAAAGCACCCTAAAGTATGTTCTTTACCAAAGAATACGTCAATTCTGAAATCCACTTAAAATGTAAATTAAATGTTTTTGTTTGAAGGTGAAATTTATTGTCTGTGGAGATGGACCTAAGCGTTGGCTCATAGATGAAGTAAGAGAACGTTGTGGCCTCCAAGACAGAGTGGAACTTCTAGGAGCACTAGAACACTCTCAAGTCAGAAATGTTTTAATCAGAGGTCATATCTTTCTTAACACATCACTAACAGAAGCTTATTGTATGGCAATCGTGGAGGCAGCATCTTGTGGGTAAGTCATTCTAAGCTTCGCATTCAAGTATGAGAAGACAAAAAAAGTAAACAAATATGTGCCAATTATAATATTCCTTATTAATATTGCATACTAATCGAAATTTTCTGTATATCAGACTCCAGGTTGTGAGTACGAGAGTAGGAGGTATTCCAGAAGTACTACCTCCTGAACTTATTTACCTCACTGAGCCAGATGTGCCTTGTAAGTTTATTCTCCAACTCATAGAATACATGAGGGAAGGGGGCCGGTTTCTTATTAATATGGAAGTATTATTTACAATGGCTACTTTTTCATCAGGGAAATAGCAACATTTATGCTTGGCTTGTATCTAAGTACATAGATTTAAAGTCTTCTTTTGTTTCTTTCCGTTATGTAGCTTTAATGGATGGTTTGGAAAAGGCTATGTTGGATTTGAAGGAAGGGCGTGCTATGCCACCATATGAATGCCATAGGAAAGTTTCATCGTTGTATAACTGGCATGATGTCACTCAACGTACAGAAGTTGTCTATAATATTGTTGCAAGAGATAAGTCAAAAGCACTTGGTTCTTTATTGCAATGGTGAGTTATTTTTGGTGATTCATTTGTGACACCAATCCACCTTGTCTGTCTGTCTTTAATGAATGGTTGAATAAATCAATGGTTTATTTCAGTTATATCACTGCTGGGGTGTTACCCTTCATGCTGGTTGTTGCCCTGTGCCATCTTCTGTTGAGAGCCCTTGAATGGCTAGTTCCATCTAAGGTAAGTTATATCAAAGCATTACCTGGCTTAACTTTGCATTACTTGCTCATGTATAATATTTTACTTGGCAGAATATTGATGTTGCAAAGAATTTCGACAAACAGAAACAACATGCTTTGTAGTGATTTTGTGATTTGATCCTCCAATCATTTTAACTTATGAAGATTTTACCGCTTCATCCAAACAAAATAGTTTTATCCTTCAAGAACAATCACAGTTACCAAAGGTATGTTGGAAAAAAAACAATGAACTGTTTTGTGATACATGCATGCAACATAACTTAATTAGAAAAGGATTGATCAAACAAAAAGGACACACACAACCTTATTGTGATTTGCATTTAATCATAGAAGGCAAAAAAAATCACATGATTATCAGCACACAATCTAGATCAAGGTAATCAATGCAGAGGACATTCTGAACTAAAACTTTTCTTTTGAGACAACTTCTTTGCTTTAAGTCAAGCAAACAAAATTTGTGCTAGTTGACATAAGACGCGCATCAAGGAGAAACAAAGAGTGTCTTAATAAATTAGTTTTACACATTGGAAAGAGTTTATTTAGAATTAGATATGGTAACTTAACTTACTGATATGTTTTAAATAAATTGTGTAAGCAAAAGTTTTTTATTCAACAATAAATTCATTGTTCTCACAGAAGTATCAAGTATCATTTTTCTCCTTCCCTTGGCAAATGTATGTGATCATAGAATGAACCTATGTAGTAGGTCATGTGATATGTTAACGAATTGGTCAAAGCTTATGGTTGTCTCATAAATTGTCAAAGAATGCATCGTTATGGAAGCACAAAATTCCTTCCTTCAACAACAAAACAAGAATTCAACTCCCATCAGGATTAATATTTTGCATTGCTAAAACAGCAAGAGTGGAGAGAAAAAGATTTTAACTGATCTAAGAAATTTTGTTTCAAATCTGAATGTCAATTATGAGTATGCTTTGATTAATTGCACAACAGCTCAATTCTCCTAATGCATAACTGCCTTTCTGAAAGTTTGCAGAGATTTTTATTTCTCAGTTTGGCACATAAGTGTACTAAGAAACATACGTCTACATATGTTGATGAAAACTATTTACATATGATGCCTGAATTCAGGAAGGTGTTAGATGATGAGGGCTTGAATTATGAAAAGAGAAATTCATAAACACTTCCTTGCTGAACAGAATGAAAAACAGATGTTGCTATTGGGATTTTTTAGGTTTTGTCCCATACTCCATTGCACTTTGCCCTGTAAAGGAGAGTCAATATTCATTCACACCATAAGTAAGTTAAGAGGAACAAATTTACTAAAATAATGGACAACACATCAATAAAACAAACCATCAAAAATACATTTCACTTCCATCAATTGTGGGAAGTATAATTGCAACCCTAATCATGATATGTCTCAAAGATTTGATATGTCAATTCAATCAATTCCAAAAAAGTTATTTTCAGAGAAATTGAAAGGCAGGTGGACACAGTAGTCATATTCAAAAATGTAGGTAACTGTGGAAAAACTAATAAATAAATAACATTAAATTCAATTCTACAGGATAGAGTCCTAAACATGTAACAGTAATCAAAATCAAACATGAAAAAAAAAAGCCTCTGATATATGAAAAAGGACAGAAAGTGAAATATCTGCACTCATGTATCAAAATAGATGGAGATTTAAACAATTGAAAACATTCATAAAAATATAGATACAAGAAGACATTAGAAATGTAAATAACACATCATGACAGCATAATGACACTCAAAAATCACAATGATATCTTAAGGGAAAAAGCAGTGAAGCCAAGTGTGATAGAGCAAGTTGACAATAACTACACAGGCTATTTACCCTCACTGGCAGCCTCATCAATATATGGAAAAGTGCGTGGTGCATTTGGTGGACACTAGCTGCATATAAGTAAGAATGTCCTTTAGAGAATCATGAAATACGGTCGTTTACTTTCTTCCTCAGCCCTAAATGCAGCTAGCGCCATCTGATTTGAGCAAAATTTTACATGAAATAGAAAATTACCTAAAACCGATAACTGCTGACTACACTGTCATAGTGTTTTAAATCAACCATGTACTTAAGCTCTGCATCAATTCTGATGTAGGGCTTTACCTTGTACAAGGGACACAGTATACATTCAAACTCCAGCTGGAAAACTGAAAAAGCCTTAGGTTGTCAAAGTCTCAACCAAATGTACACACACACACTCGAGAAATGAGCCAGCCTTGAATCAATTTAAGAAGACTCACAGAATATAAGGTATGTACAACAAAAGATGAATCTATACATGTATCAGCACCATAAGAAAGCTTTGATATGTGCAAGATAGAAATTGATTGTGCATTCAAAATGTTACTGTAAGATAAAGAAATATTTAACCTTGTGACTTTGAAACGAAACATCCTTCAATGAAACCAAAAATGTCCAAACACATTTTCAGTATTTACACATATGACAGCACCAAATTATCTTGAATTATAAGATTTCAACACGAATGCTACGTTTTCTTTCTCATGACTCATTGCTAAGTAGCTGCTGTCTATCAGATAATATTTGGGGTAAGATTTATTTGCTACTGCCTACAATGTTGGGAATAAGCCAGAGGGATTGACATACTAAAACCAACATAACTACGGGACAATATTCAAAGGTGACAGAACAAAATGTCAAAATAATTAAAAACACATGAGTCTGACGCTTTCAAAGACCGTAGACATACAATGGCTGGGTTTTCCCTTTTTTTGCTCTACTGGTCTTATTTTTGGAGGGGGGAGGGGGGTCCTTAAAATTTTATTGGGTACACACACATGCTCAGCACTAACTCTTTGGAGCTGTGAAGTTTCTTTACATCATTTTGGACTAGATTTAAGGACAAAATAAGTTGGAATGTACTGTACAGAAACGAAAGACTCAGACTGCGTAGAAGTTAACTAGTTTTCTTGGCACCATTTTAATTTTATGTTGTGCCCAACTAAATAGAGGTGCAACAGCTTTTCATTTATTCTTTTCAACCTATAATTTTAAGACTTGCTAATGCATTTAATAAAACAATTTAAAATATGTCGCACATGCTAATCTCCTTTTCAATTTTCTTTTTCTGAAAAGGACATTGCCATCATGATACAAATACCTAACATGACATTTTTCATTATTCCTGGGCATTGAAAACAAGAGGCTTTCCTTTGGGGTCATCAAAACGATCCATAGTGTGGATGTTCATCATCATATCTATACCCCAAGCAACAATGAATAGAAGAAGGAAAGTAACAAACAACCCAGACCAGATTGGTATGGTGAAGAATGGAACACAATCCTCTGAAGCAGCAAAGTCAGCTCTGGTTGAACCCATTAAAGGTTGGACCTGTAGCAAAATTAAAAAAAAAAAAACATCGGATGTTGAAGGAGAAAACAAATAAATAAATTGTAAATGTGTTTGATTTAACTTACCTTAATGTTCTTTAACTTAAGAGAGACTGATTTATCAGCAGATTGGAAAGTGGCTGTACTTCCACAGCTGTATGAAAAGTTAATTGGAGCCTTGATTACAGTTGTGGGTTCAAGTAAATGCTTTTGATTGCGAGAATCTTCATATTCAGCCTAAAGAAAAATAAAAAATTATTCATCTGAATTACTTACAGCTCAGTATATTGTTGAAACAATTTTGAATTGAATCTTACCTGAATCAACTGCCAATAACCAGAGTCTGTGAAGTTGAATCTGAAGCGAAGAGTTGCCTTATCAGAGGATGTGTCCACCTTGTACCTAGCAACCATCCTGATGAGGCTCTTCCTGGTATCTGGAGGTCCAACCTAAAACAGTAATTGAAATATTTGATTCGGATGGTGAGGATAGCTGGGAAGTGACATTCAAATTGTTAGTAGAGGTTCTCCAGCATATTTAACAGCTTTAATACATTGAGAGCAGATTTGAAGTCAGAGTCAAAATGAGTCAAAAATCTTATTTTTGTGATGAAACCAATATTTTTTTTGTAAAAGTGCAGACATGCATTTGGATCAAGTATAGCTTACAATAGCACTGATCTACCTTACTTTAAATGAATTCGGCATAGTATTCCAAAATGATACTTACAGCTTCTCCTGAGCTGAGATTGAAGTTTGTGCCATTGATTGTGAGCACAGGGCACTCTGATGTGTAGAGCATGATTTGAGAGGAGTTACCAGTAGACTTTATGACGGTATTGCAGCCAGTTGTTGTAGTTGGCTCAGCATCGCGCCTCACTCTCCTTGACTCTGGAGCAGTCCAGGATGCATGTCGACCAGTGTAGACAGCCAAGACATCTGAATACTTCTCAACCATTTGCTTGAACAATGAAGCGACGGTCTTGTCATGTCGAAGCAGCATTTGAGAACGATCTTCACCTCCCTTCAGGCCACCCAAATTGAAAAGTAAAATTTTCTTGTCAGCCTCAGGTAGAACTTCCCCAGAAACTTCCTCCCACTTGTAGCCCAGCTTGGAGAGCCTGTTGAGTGCCTTCATAGGAGATTGAACAGAAGGGAAGAACTCCAGGCTATTGCCACCCTTGATGGACTGCAGTGCAGGAAAGGTGGATTGAGCTTCGGAGCTTTGTCTGCTAAAATCTTCTACACTCAGCGAGTCTTCAGCAAACAGAGCCACCACAGGACTATTCCGATCCAGCCGCCGCATCAAAACATCAAGGAACTCATCCACTTCCATGGCAGACAAAGCAGCAGGAGTTGCACCATTTGCACCGACACTTGATGATTCCCATAATAATACGGGCACATGAGAATGTGCATTAGTTGAGAATATAGTTCCTAAAATTACAGCTAGAACAGCAGTTAAGTACATCTTGGAAGAAGCCATCTTCATTGTATCATATGACAGCAGAACCCGTGACCCGGATAGTCTGCTGGGGTCCTCTCAAGTTTTCTGCTGCTTTTGTGGTCGCTTCTGGTCGAGGGAAGTTTTTGAAACCATAAATCAGAAAGGAACTGAAAATGTCAAGTGCATGGTTAAAGATTTCAAAAAATAAAATTTCACAACGATGCTGTTTTATGTGAATGGGAAGGTAGAAACGGGCAAATGAAAATATGTTTTTATGCCGTTGTGTTACCACCACTGTTTTTTTTTTCACACTGCCTTTCAGAAAGACGAACTTCGTGCTGAGATCGTCTGCTTTCTTCTTCAACCTCGTCGTCCTCCCGTAGCTGCCCTTTCTGTCGGTACCTAAATTGGCACAGAAATGGCGTTTCAACTTGTGCGACTAAGCTCGAGCACCTTGCGGAGGCTCTCTAAAAATGCCAACCAGGTAGGTCGAAGGTTACAGTTTGTCACTTACTCAAAATCTTGTTCGCAACGCTGTAAGCATAGGTAGCCTAGGATGGTGTCAGCTGTAGAGGGCAGAACATCATATTTCCTCGAAAAAGCTCCTCCCACTTTAGCTAACTTACTCAGACAACTATTATAAATATAAAAAGATTATGTAATATTGAGTTGACATACTAGAGAGGGGTGTTTTATCAGTTTAGAGGGGGCAACACGTACTTAGTGTTGTATGTTATAACCTCTGCTGTTATGTACCAAAATATATGATTACCTAACTATGCCATTCAGACTTGGAAAAACCTTTGATTTTTCTTTGGTTTTTAAGGTGCATGCCTGATTTACCATTTCGGATTTCCTGATGTTATTGTCTTACTTACTGTCATCTTGTGTTTGTCAGGCCCCTCTTCGTTGGCGTTCAACATCTGCCAATCCGCTCATCAGAGATGTTAATGTCCCACCTACATGCGTCACAGCTCTGAATTCTGGTCTGCGAGTCGCCACTGAAGACACAGGTGCCCCTACTGCGACAGTTGGTCTCTGGATTGACGCTGGTTCAAGATATGAATCGGAACAGACCAATGGTGTCGCCCACTTTTTGGAGCACATGGCTTTTAAGGTATTATTGGTCCATAATACTTTGCCAGACTTGCTTCTGTTGGTTTTCTTCACTCATATTTACTAAAACTTATGTTTGTAGGGCACAAGCAAGAGGTCTCAAACAGACCTTGAGCTTGAAGTTGAAAATATGGGAGCACACTTGAACGCTTACACATCCCGGGAGCAGACTGTATTCTATGCCAAGTGCTTGAAGCAAGATGTTCCTAAAGCAGTGGAAATTCTTTCTGACATCATCACAAACTCTACTTTAGGTGAGACTCTTTACAGTACGTTTGATATGTGCTGTCCAGTTCTTATGGCTAATTATGCCTTCTTTATTGATGTTTCAGGTGCCAATGAAATTGAACGCGAACGAAGTGTAATTTTACGAGAAATGCAGGAAGTGGAAACAAACCTCCAGGAAGTGACTTTTGATTATCTCCATGCCACAGCGTATCAGGGAACTCCTCTGGGCCGCACAATCCTTGGGCCAACTGAGAATATCAAGTAACGTGTTCTGTTACTTCTTGCCCTCTATTACTGATTAGGACCACTATTTAACTCATTTCTTTTGTTCCGTAGGAGCATTTCTCGTGACGATCTTCAGGACTACATTAAAACTCACTACAAAGCCCCAAGGGTAGTCTTGGCAGGTGCAGGTGGCGTTGATCACAATGAGCTTGTTAAGTTGGCTGAAACACACTTCCAGAAACTGGACAATCAGGATGGACCTGTTCCAGAAATCAAACCCTGCAGATTTACTGGTTAGTAGTCGTTGTCTCAAGTAGTTGTGGACTTGCCTTTTCTTGTCTGTGTAGGACAGAGGTAACATTCATCATATATTAATTTATAGGATCAGAGGTTCGTTTGCGTGATGATGCCATTCCTTTGGCACATGTTGCGCTTGCTGTTGAGGGGTGTGGCTGGACCGATGCTGACAATATCCCACTTATGGTTGCCAACACACTCCTGGGAGCATGGGATCGCTCACAGGGTGGTGGCGCAAACAATGCCTCCCAGCTTGCTGCTCTTACTGCTGAGGATGAAGCAGCCCATTCTTTCCAGTCTTTCAACACTTGCTACAAGGACACTGGACTGTGGGGAATCTATTTTGTTTCTGACCCAATGAAAATTGAGGTAATGATTTCATAGTGTTATTCTACAGCATTGAATTAAAGACCCCAAATGTCCTTTCACTAAATTTTTTGCTTATCTTTTCAGAATATGGTTTACAACATTCAGAATGTTTGGAAACTGATGTGCACCTCTCTGACAGAGCGAGACGTTATTAGAGCACGCAATCTCTTTAAAACAAATATGCTGCTGCAGCTTGATGGAACTACCCCAGTTTGTGAAGACATTGGCCGTCAGATGCTCTGCTACAATAGGCGAATTCCTATCAATGAACTGGAACAGCGTATTGATGTGAGTACTCAAGTTTTTCTTTCGCATCTTTTGCAAATTGTTATGTAATTGTTAAACTTGTCTTGCCATTGTGATGCTGAAAACATTTTTATGTTAAAATTTTATGTTTCAGAGTGTTACTGCCAAAGATATTATGAATGTATGCATGAAGTACATTTATGACAAATGCCCGGCTGTTGCTGCTGTTGGACCTGTTGAGCAGTTGCCCGACTACAGCAATATTCGCTCTGGACAGTACTGGATCAGATTGTAGGTGGAGAGAATCATTAGATTAAAGGGTTTGTCCTTCTCATCCTCTACCTACATTTCCATCTCAAGAAACTTTAGGATTTTTAAACACAGATTGTGCTCTTTTAACTTCTTTAGATAAAGGCTGTAGACTCTTTGTTTCTTTCACTGTGCTACCGTTGGAGTCAAGCATTGTCAATGACCCAGTCTTAAAAGCTTATAAATCATCTTAAGTTGAAATTATGTAAATAAAGTAAAATAAACTGTTAACTTGTGTCTTATTTATAAGAAATTTTACTTCTTGGAGAGTGGCACATTCCAAAAAAAGTGGGAAGTGAAGATTGAATGTAAAGGGGAGAAAGTCAAATTCCCTTTCAGGGTAAGAAAGGAAACCAAATACAGATTTTCATTTTATTGAAAAAAAAATTGAGCTTGTACTGAGTATATTCAATCTACTGCTAATGACATATAAAACATCTAAAATTATCATTACAGTTGCTGCTTGTCAACCAAGCTATAACTTGACACAAGTAGCAATCAGATCTACAGTTCTCATACCGGAGCCAGAGGCAAGAAAAGATGGCTTCTAAACATGCATACAGGGGAAGTACTGTTAACATTGACACTGAATAACAAATGAGAAGGAATTTAACTGAATGCTTAGAGTTCCACCATAGCCTTTGAGTGAGTGAGCTATAACTCATAAATGCATTCATATGTGAATTTCCAGAAGTATGTTTAAGTCAGGAAAACATCAATATGAAAGCAATAAGATTTAGGTTGACATCCTCAAAGCCGATAGATGTAAAGTCATGATCAAAAGGCACAGGACACATTAGTCCAAATTAGTACTACCTAGGTGATGCTATGAACTGCCCACTTGAACAAGCAGTGCATTTCTTTGAGATATTCATTAGCTCTGGTGCTGTATGTGAACAATAGCACTTCACAGTATTTCACATGGAAAAGAAAATAGAACAGGGCTGATTTTGAGCACTGCGAAGAATCTGTAACATTGGTCAGGTAAAGCCATAGCTTCTTAAGAGATGAAAAAACAAAATGTATATTAACAGCAATCAAGCATTTGTAAGTACACAGAAATTGGCAGATAGCATAAATTCATGAGTACTTCATAAGGTTGGAATTATAGGCGACTGACTAAACACATTTAAAACTAACACAGTAAAGTATCTTTATATCTATATTTTTCTGACATATCAGAGTCAAATAAATTTCTACTTCTCAAATGCAAAATTTGAACTTACATCAAAGACAAAATGAGGAAACAATACAACCACTTGAATGCTCTCAAAAACCTTGAAATGATTTAAAATAGATAAAAGCCAAAGAAATTTCTGGGCTCTAATCTTTTGAGATGGTAACTATATTTTCTCAATCGGGGTAGAGAACAATTGCAACTTAGGTGTTTAAAAAAAGAGCAAATAAATCCAGATTTAACATGGCTTGCACATCTTTGAAAGTAGATAGAGACCTCCACAAAATTACAAAAAATGATCACTTGCATGTGGTCAAAGGAACTGGACCCTAACTGAACATCAACAACAGAATGCAACTAAGTGAGAACAAAATCCTCTGCAAACATAATAGGAACATAAAGGCAGGCCAGTTCCATGAAATAAATGATCCATTGATCAATAGCAAATCAATTCAGATTTTAAATAATTTTACTTGACAAGTGTTATTAACACTATGAGTGCAGTGTGACTATAATATGGCTGCAATTATGCATTTCTCACTCCATTCCAATTCACCTGCCCCCACTCAGATAGACCAACAAAAGATAAAATCAGCTAGAAGTCTTGCTCTAATGAGATTTGTGTTGGTACGGTATGAATTTGATAATTGTTCTCTTTGTTACAAAGTCAAATATTTTAATCTACCACATCTACTAACAGTACCAACTAACCCATACTCTATATTGTGAAGAAATGCTCTATTTACTTTTAAAAATTTAAGACCCACACAAAAGGCTGAAGGTAAACCTACCATACAGCTTCATGCAGCCACAATCCACCGTGCATCAGGTACCAAGAAATGCTTTCAGCACACACATACACAAAAAAAAAGGCTTACAAAAGATGAGGTTTAAAAATCAAATTATCAAAACTTAAACATGCCATCAAATGGAAGAACAGAGAGAATTTCAAAGAAGCTGCTTGCAACAAAAATGAAAATGATCCTGCACAAGTTCAAAAATTAACAAAATAAAAGCTAACATTTAAAAACAAAACTGAACAATTTTTAACTTCAATTTCAGAAATTTCACATGATGAAGGAACAGAGTTTCATATTTACACACACACAAGCCACACCCTTTTCTCATATTACACAAAAGTGCATTCACTTGACAATTGGTAATGTTTCTGAGAGGGGTACCGCTTATAAGCCTGTAAATGTTGAAGATAGCCAATACATAGAATCAGATAAAAGAATAACAAGTAACTAAAAATTAATTATAATTTAAAATTTTTACAGTTGTTTTGACAAGCAAATGATAAAAAAACTAGGTTTACAAGAACCTACAGAGATCAAGATCAATATACACATTTTATCACGTATACAAATGTAAAACTGTACATCACTGAGTTGAATTAATGATCCTACAGTGATGTAACCATACCAATAAAACAAAATATTAGCAACAATTTAGCCAGTTCTTTTCTATTACATGCAAAAGATGACGGACATGATGGTCTCTAAGTCAAGCTTCAAAAAGCAAGTACAAAGTAAGATCCAGAGCACATAACTGCAATCAAGATGAGATAGAAATAAATGGCAATAATGATTAAGCCGTATTAATACTAGCACATTTTTCAGATGTGGAAACACCAATACCCGTAAGGTTAACCAGATGAATTTGTCGGCAAGTCTTAAAATATATGGAGTTTAAAAGTTTCTAAAACTTTGAATCACAGCCTACTATGAGGTGCACCAAACACCGGATCACAAATGGCTGTAAGCTTACTCTGACGAATTCTTAATTTTGCAGCTAGTGCACAGTCAGTGCTATGGCTGAGTAGCTAAGATATGGCTCTTACATTAATGATTTCGCAAGAATCCAACTTCATTGTGATTCCAACTGAAACAAATGTTGCTGTTATGTTATTGCTAAAACTCAAATGAAAACAATTTATTATAATGAGGACATTTAACAAATTCCAACATCATTTGTTGGTTAAGATTATTTTGACTGGAATAGAACTATGTAGAAAACCCTAATCAAAGTAAAAGTGTAACAGTAAAATTCAATCAAGAACATAAATCAATATGTTAAATTTTATAGAACAAAAAACAAGTCAATAAAAACAAAATAAAACATTTAAAATTGCCAATGTTCTTAAATTTACAGGTAAGGCAAAAGTAAAACTTGAGATGAATATAACACTGCGTTATATAGAGGTGCAAAATGGATTAAAGATAAAGGCAGGCTTAAGAAGGCGAGCCCTACTGGCTGTCCAAACAGCAGGGCAGCCTGTAAACTACACCTGGCTAACTTGAGGTGGTGGAACAGACACAGATTGAAGTTGATGATCCTGAAGGTGCGCTATCTGCTCGGAGTGCTGAGGCTGCTGAGGCTGAGGAGTAAGTGGCTGCTGCATTTGAGGTGTTGGAGGCTGTCGCAACCCTGGGGTAGGAGGTTGTTGAAGCTGCGGAAGTTGGGGTGTGGAAGAGGGCTGAGGGCCTGGTGTGGCTGATGGTTGCGGATGAGGTGTTGAAGACAGTTGAGACATTTGCTGGTGATGTTCAGCCATTGCAACTTGCATTTGATGAATGTTCGGCTTCTGTTCTATTTGGTCAGGGTGATATCTCTTAACATGCTCATTAAGATTGGCCCTTTGAGTAAATGACTTTTGACAAATTTTACAAGAGAATGGCTTCTCCCCTGTGTGACGTCGGATATGGCAAGTTAAAGTACCCTGCTGGGCAAAAGTTTTGAAACAGTAGCTGCATTCATATGGCTTCTCACCTGTGTGTATTCGAACGTGAGCCTCAAGGACACCCAAGGTGGTAAAGGGTTTGTTGCAATATGGACATAGGTATGGCTTTTCCCCAGTATGCTGTAATGAGTGAAGTTTCAACCCTAATTCTGTTTTAAGAGTTTTCCGGCATGTCTGGCAAGTGTACCACTGCTTTTCTCCATGAGTCTTTTCATGATATTTGAGGTTTGCTAATTGATAAAATTGTTTGTTGCAAACTGTACATGTGTGGGGTTTTGTACCAGTGTGTATGAGTTTGTGATTCCATAGAGCTCCTGCACTTGAATACATTTTAGAGCACAAATCACAATAGTAAACACTCTTGATGCCACTTTGAGCTCTTTTAGTAGGTACAAACACTGGCCCAGCAAATGAATCTGATTGTTTCATGAGACCTGAAGGCTTTAGGCTGTTGAGCAAAGATGGACCATGTTGCGGTGAGGTAGATGCTTGTGGTTGATCTTCTTGGCCTGCAGAGAACTGAGAAGGGGAAGGCCGTTCGCCATTTTGAACTGGCTGAGCAAATTGGTGTAAGTTAGATATGAATTCTTGCACTGAAGGGGGCTTCCGATCTTCAAAGTCCCACTTAGTTGTATTACTGTCATGAGAGAAAGGAACACTCTTCAGTGTGTGTAATCCTACAGGATGACCTGCCTGTTCCTTCAGAGCATCCTCTTGCCATGTTGGATGTTGGTGAAGCTTTTCAGAATCCTGATGTGATGGACCGCTGTGGCTCAAACTGTCTTGAGATGAAATGTGACGAACTCCAAAAGAAGCATAGTTTTGAGGATGTCCATCCTTAGACAGCTCCCCTTGACTCAGATCCTACAATGAAATGAAAGATTTAAAGTTTGGTACAAAATAATTAAATCTTGGTAGAACTTGTACATACCTCCATGTCACCCTTAGAATTGGCATATTGTCCAGCAGAGGGAGCTGATGAGCTTTGGGACAGATTACTGTCATTTTGTGATAGATTTTGGAGAGCCTAAAATTTATAAGAGTATGAATTACAATACGAAACCTGAATTCACACTCGTTGATGCCTCAGCAGCATAGTGTTGTGGTCCAAATCCAGACACAACTGATAAATGCTCCTGGACCAGTCATAGACCATTCTTTAGATGCCATCATCTACTTCTCTTGCATCTGGATCCGACCAACTACGCTACACCACCTAGGCATCAGTAAGCGTGAATGCATCTTTTCAACAATGCACTGTAATAGCCATAAGCCTAAATCAAAATTATATCTAAGACCGAGTTAAATGTCCATTTTCTTACCTGAGTGTTGGCTGACGGATGGACTTGACGTCCAATGAACTGTCTCAAAGTTGCATCAGATCGCTCACATTGGGTCTTAAATTCAAATGATCTATGGACTTGATTGAGGCAACTGTGGCATATCTTATTCGGGAGCCCATCACATGAAGATACCTGAAACAAATGACAATGAATGAATAAATGGGCGACTCCAGCTGTTTTGAATAGCAATGGTATGAATTGGTCGCAATAATGTGCACAAAAAGGAGCCAAAAAGCTAGTTATATAAGAGGAGTGCTTGTTATTCTCAAAGAAAAGAGAGGTAATGAATGACAGTCTACAGCAGTAGACAGTGTTTGTCAACAAACCGTGACAACTCAACAGTCCTGCTACTACAACCATGTAAATTACACCTCAAAAGCGAGAAAAAGCTAGATATAACATAGTCAGGGAGAGCAGCATCTTAATATTGCACGGAAATTGAACCAGGCTCTCTGAAGTCCTCAAAGAGCGAATGCACAGCACCTCTTTAGGTCGTCAGCTGATGTAAACAAGTGCAGGGCCGCAGGGCCGAGTGTGCGCGTTGGAGGGAACAATCGCACCAACAAGGAACGTGACTTTAACAGCTGGTTTCGTCAGATTCCAAGTTGTCAGACGCATTATTCTTGATACTTTACCTTCAGTGAGGCAATGGTCATCATTTGTTGTGAGAGAGGTACCGCCTGCCTGCCCTGCTTTCCTTCATCAAAAATGGGCACTAGGGAATATTCTTCAATTAAACATAACCGGCATATTCTGCTAAAGTCGGGCGTCATTGCACTCGAAACCGCTTTGAACGCAAATAACCAAAATACATGAAAATGTAAGCCTAAAACGCTAAGCTAGCTAAGCCTATGTTTGAGCTTTCTTCTTGTTCTTCACTTCTCGTTTGGTTACCGGTGACCACAATTTTTGACCTTTTTTTCGCGATAGGGGCTAAGGTGTAATGACATTTTCAACCGTCTCTGATTTGCCTATTTCTTCACTGAAAATAAGTTTGAATGATCCTGGTGTACAATAAATTGCAGAATGCGCGAGGATTCTTTCTGAGCGACTTGAGATAACCTGATAATGGTAAAATAAGTTCAATCGAAAAGATGACGTTGGTTGTGGAGGCTATGTCCATCTTGTTTTTTTTCAATCGCCGCAACGAAAGAATTCGTTCTCCTTCCCTGATGATTTCTGTCTAGGAGGCTCCCAAATATCAATCATCCGTTTGATGAATATTTTTAAAAATTGTCGTTCTCTCACATTAGCCCCAAACTAAGGCGTTTGCCTGCAAAATTTTGTAAAGCCAATTTTTTTCTGCCCTAGCGCAGCGTCACGAGGTGATAAAAAAAAATCCCGTTTCGATACTCCTGCGAAATGGTCATATTTTTCTCAGCAGCTTTCTAATAAATTTTATGGTTTAAATTTGAAGCTTTTGCCGAATTAGAAAGATGATGATGTGTGTGACCGGCGCCAAGGTTCAGTTTCGGTGTTTTGTGGGGAAAAGAAATGAATGAGCAGAAAAAGTGGCGCGGGGGAAAGGGGTGAGGAGGGGGGAGGTTGTCGCCCACCTTTTTTTTTACACTATTTACCTCCTTGAAGACCGCGGCGTTCGTTGCTTGTCATCGGGATTTCGGTCTGGTAATTAATTTACCTTCTATTTATTTAGCTCTTAAATGTGTAGAAGTCTTTCATGCTATTATCAATTTAGTCATGTATCACTGTTTTGGTTTGGTTCCTTCTCATTTGGGAAAAAGATTGCATCTGTATGATCCTGATTCCAATTGACAAGAAAACAAAAAGAGTTAATTGAACGCTTTGTTGCTCATAGTCAGATTATTGAGTGGAACTTCTACACACAGATGTTTCTAGTGTTTATGTCTGCCAAAGTTGGTTTTGTTGGGCTGTTCGCTCAAATTTCTTTATGCAATTTTCGGTAATATTTTTTTCCATAATTTATTCTTTATAAACAATTTTTTGGAAATTTCTCATGTTTATGCTGATGAGGCTTGATATTACTATATTTATTAATGTGTAAATACCAAGCATGATTTATGCTTTTGATATTATTTTACACCAGCAGTTACTCCCAATACATTTTTTTTGAAATTTCTGAATGGAATGTTATGTATTACACTGCAAAACAGAAAACAAATGCATTTCTCTTCCCTTGATTGGCCTCACTAGGTGCATAGAACTACATCTGTGCTTGGTATGTCACTTGAAACCAAAGCTGTAAGGCTGAATTTTATTTTTGATATTTCCTTTGTTGCAGAATGATAAGATTTTATTATGGCATCGGAACCAAAGGTAAGTTAAATGTGTTTTGTTTTATGTAACTTCATGGGTGTTTTATCTAAGCATTTATATTGTTCTTGTTTTAAATTTTGAGACCGTTCTGTGGTGCGTTGTTCCATATGTGCTTGTGATGGATTCTGCAGTTATTCTTGGGGGTTGTAGTTCCTTTGTTGTTTCTTTTACATCAATCTACTTTGTTTATTAAGATTTCATATGCATGTAAATATTCCATGTTTCTTGTGTGTGTGTGTGTGTATGTGTGTAGTTTCGTGAGTGATGTCTGGGGACGTGCATTACCCGGGCTGGTGCTGTCGTCAGATTGCGGCACAGCTCAGCCAAGCTCTCTTCACAATGGCTGATTTACATGCCCAAGTCTCTGACTTAAGGGAGGAAAATCGGCAATTGAAAATCAAGATAGAGAGTATTGACATCCAAACACCTCAGGAGGTAATTTTCAATCATCTTCTTCCATGTTACTTTTCTTTCTTTCCCAGAACTTATTGTACAATGAAATAGAAATATCATTTGTACCTATGATTGAAGAAAATTAATGGATCCAAGAACTTTACCTTTCTTTGTTTTTCTCTTATGATATGGGAGTGGTGTGCTATTCTTCAGCATCTTGTCAAACTTTCTGATTTAAAATTGTTGCTGCTGTATATATTTCAATTTTCTGTAGCTGTACATACTTCCTGTACTGCATCATTTAGCAAGGTTTTCCTCTATCTTATAACAATCCCTGTTGTGTGTTTTTCCTATGTTACATCCTGGAGTTGAATTGGTTTTAATTTTTCTTTTCTAGGATGTTTCTGCTATCAGAAGACCCCTGGCTAAAAAGGCAACCTTGGATCCAAGTCCTATTCCCATAATATCTTCAAATTCAACTAGTATTCAAAAAGATTTTGACCACCCACCAGGGACTTTCAAGCAAGAACTCCAACTGATAAATCCAGTTGAGACTCCTATCAATAGGGAAGTAGATGGAGCTGAAGAAAAAGTTGATTTGAATGGCCCATTGAAGCAAATTTCTGATGAAAGGGCTGGAGAGGCTTCAGATGCAACTTTGTCTCATTCTGGTGGAGACTTAAAATGCGAAAAATGTGAATGTGCCTTTCCGAACTCTGACCTTTTAACTACACATCAAGCTGTTCACTTTGGACGAAGTTTTCATATTTGCAAAGTATGTAATGCTATGTTTCTGCTCAAAGCAGATCTCTACCGACATTGGACCACTCATCCAAATATCAAGCAGCATGTTTGTCAGTTGTGTGGAAAGGCATATACATCAAAAAATAATTACAAACTGCACGTCAAAACTCACACTGGTGAGGGATTATATCCTTGTGAAGTATGTGGCAAAGCATTTCATTCAGAAAATCACTTGAATGTTCATCGCAGGATCCACACTGGTGAGCGTCCTTTTGAATGTCAGTATTGTGAAAAATCCTTTACTCAAAAATCTGGTTTGATTAATCATACCAGACTTCATACTGGTGAGAAACCCTTTTTGTGTCCATCTTGTCCCAAGGCTTTCACCCAAAAGTCAAATCTGAACTTCCACTTATCTAAACATCATCCAGTTCCGGGCAATATTTCATCTAATTAGTGTTTATTAGGTGTTGATGAATACCTCACTTGATACCTCATCATAGTGTTAGCGACGTTTGAAGTTCTACAAGACTGTTGTATGTTTCTCATTAATGTTAAGTTTGATGATAATTGAGGAGTGCTGGTAAATCTCAATAGTTAAAAGATTCTCATTTCCTTTGTTTTCTTTTCATTTGAGCTCTTCCGCCTCAAGTAAATTTCAAGTTGTGTGTGTTATGAATCACATAAGATGTGCCATATTCAATCAATTGATTGTTGCATTTTTTCTGGTTGAATTTTTTCTGTTTTTTCATGTGTTTGTAGAGCAGATATTCAGAAGTACAAAGTTGTCATAGTGCTCACATGTTAGTTTTTGTAAGTTTTATAGTTGGAGTATTCTTGTTTCATGATCTTGTGTTAACTTAATAGAGTTTAAACTCTATCTGTTCTGATAAAATTTATCTCTGTGCTTTGAAGGATTACCATATCTGTTATTGTAAGCTGCTCCAACAATACTTTTTGTTTCAAGCAGTTTGTTAATACTAGAAGTAGTATTAAGGTTCTTCTTTCTTACCAGAAAAGCAGATTTTGTCTCAATAATTGCTTTTTTGAAGGCCTTATAATTCTATTATAGAAGATTCTTGTTTTGAAAATTGATACGTTTTTCTATCTTAACCTTTCTTGTGCTGGTCAAAGAAGAAAATTAAGAGTCTTTTGCAATAAATTACATTTATAACCATCACAATTTTAACAGACAACTGCTTCTTCCACAAAACAAAAATCCAGACTACAATGTTGATAACACTAATAAGTCCTGCAAATTCATACAAAAATAGAGACTTTAGATTAGGGCTAAATGGATTGAGCATAACAAGTACAAGAGGTTAGGAATATGACATGTAAGAAAGACACCTGGTCAAAAGACGGAACAAAATATGATGGAACATACTTTGAGAAGTATCTCTATAGATGAGAAACAAAGCCTCTCTGAAACAGGAAGGAAAATACTAAATGAACACATCTTTAAAAAGAGGAGATTCCACATGAAAACAGGAAATAACAATTGTACTATTGTCACAGTTTTTATCTCTTCTCTACAGATGACTAGCCTTCAAAGGAAAACAACAAAACAAATTAAAACAAAAGTTGATAGTAAAGCATAAATGACACAGAGTTGACATAACAGCATGAGGTATTGTAATAACGTTTCACTCAACACCTTACTATTCCCTGTCGCAACCTGTGATAAAAACCTCTTTAGCTCGTAAATTTATCAGATACTGCAGAAACTGGCGGTCATAACAAAACTTAAATAACTACTGTAACAAATAATAAAAATTAAGACAAACTGTAAAAGAAAACTAAAAGATACAGATCTCTTTGTAACAAGGTCATGAGATAAAATTAGAGATTTTCAAAATATAATATCAATGTTGCTTTATAAAAAATATCATTACGTTTAAAAAATGACAGGTCATTTGAGCAATGAATACAAAAATAAATAAACTCTATTCGCTCACATGTCTATCAAGAATTTCTTTTAATAAAAAGTGCTGCATTACCTATTGCACATGGTACATGCAAGATTATAACAACTCGAGAAGTAAAATCCCTGCTCACTTAACTAAGCTCAACTGGTGTATTTGTTCCTGAACTATTCGTCGTACTGCAATATGAACCACTTGAAGGAGCACCACAGGTTGAACGGTACGTTGAGAGTAAATCAACATAGTGCTGCATTCGTATCCCTTGAATAGATACAAAAAGATTGTCAGCATTTAAATCCTCTGGCAATTTTGTTAAAAATTGTGCTCCAGCTAGAAAGTCAAAGCCTAGCAACAGCTCTTGGTGTAAGTGAAGAACGCCTATAAAATGAAAGAAGACAAATATTAAATAGAGCTAATCGGTGAGCTCACAATCAAGGAATCAGTGCCACCTACTCACCTAGGGCAGTACGAAATAAAAATTCTTCGCCATCCCTTAAAAAGACATCCCAAACTCGACAAGCTACATCAAGGGGCATTGCTTTGGCAAAAACTGTGTAGATCCAATCAAGAAGATACAAGTCTGGTGTGAGGTGTGATTTTATAAAGTGACTATGTATTCTAGGAAGGTTTTCAGCCATCAATTGCTCAAATACAGAGTAATAAGCTTGCATCTGAAACAGAAAATGGGAAATAAAAAACAGCAGTAGAGAATGTTACTAGTGCAGTAAACACGCAGTGTATACACCTACCACAGATTGGTCTAATCTGAAAAATGCCATGTGGCATGGGCGATTGAGAAGATTAGCAAAGCATACAAAAGCTTGCGCTTCTTCCATGTTGAGAATCAAAATTGCAGCAAGGAAGGACATACCCTGAACATAACCAATGTCTGGACGATAACATGCATAAGCCCCCAAAAGACTATGCAATATGTCATAATAAGGACCACCCTAAACAAACAAAACAAAAAGGTATTACAATTATGTAATATAATCATTTTTTTAAAAGCTGCAACATAAAATTTAAAAAAATAATAAAAAACTGCAGTACATTATGCTGAAAAACCAACATACTTTTTGAAATATACATAACTGTGGGAATGTTCTAGAAATATCCAGTTGAATTAACTCAATACTGGCTTGTCTGTCAGGATTATCATTTTCTTCAACAGAATCATTATTACTGGAGGAGTTGCTTACTGCTTTAAGCAGCTCCTGAGCTCTGAAAATTAAATTGTTTACGTCTTGGGTCAATAGAGAACACTCACTGAAATGTTCAGTTGTTGAAAATTTCAATGTATATGACTCATACCTGGATACACAAATCTCATACAGTTCAGGGGTAACATTAAGTTCATTTCCAATAGCAAGTTGCCACACCTTCCCTCTCACACATGGAGGGATTCCTTGCCACCAGAGATTTCTAATCTTACGACAGCTCAAACTGAAATGTAAAGTAAGTATGTTTTAGAAGACTGGAGCAGATATTAAAAAGTTGTTGGAATTAGAAGATAGGACAACTTACACAGAGTTCCATTTGGGAAGAACATCATTAAGCCAAACTTTTGTGGCATGTGCTAATCTTTCCTCTGTCTTAATTTGCTGTTGCTGTTGCTTTTTTCTGATCTTTGCTTCTTGCCGTTCTAGAACAAGGAAAAATGTATTTCAAAATAAATCAAGAGGGTGCTTTACAAGCATCCACAAAATTTCTTCAGATGAGAGGGAATGAGATAAGTACCTCTTTTCTTGGCAGCCTCAACCATTTGTTCATATTCTTGCTTATGTTTGGCTTCTTCATCGATGGATTTGGCAGGCAAGTTTGCTGGTCTGTCATGCAATATTAATGCACTGCTGCTAGCAACTATATCTTCATAACGCTTGCTTCCATGAGCTGACCGTAAACTTGCAGGGGAGCCCAGAGGTCCTGGAGTTGCATTGTTCTGCAAAAGAAAAATAAGAATCATATAAAAACAGGTGATGTGAAACAATACAAGTTTTTTTTAAAAGAAGAGACAGCTTAAATACCTCATCAGAAACACCAGAGGTTGGGGATGCTTGTTCAAAAACAGACTTGCTGAACAGTTTCCATCCAGGAGCACCGGCACTAGATGAATTTTGTGATATGTCCCTACTTTTCCATGAAAAAACACCCCTGGAAATGAAATGATTTAGTAATTTCAAGTAGGGAATACAAACTTATACCTGAGAGTGGCTACACTTACCTGGAGAAAAAACTACTCAAGCCTCTTTTCTTTCTTTTCACAGTGTCATCAACTAAGCTTTCCTCAAGTTGGTGAGATGTTTCACTTGATAGGGAACTCCCATCACCTTCAGAAGGGCTTATGGTTTCTTGAAAAGATACATTGCTCATATCATCCTCTATCTGTTCAATATTGTTCAGCTGTTTATCTACATTCAAACCGCTCTTCACAGCAATACTTTCAGGATCATGTTCATTCATACACTGGTCTTCTTTCGAGGCACCGCAAGTTTCAATTGTAGTGCTCTCTTGTTTAGGGTAAATGATATGAAGTTGTTTTGTTAACGGGCTATATGCCAACGGTATCTTCTCCAAAAGCTCATTCAGAGGGACTGACTTTCCTCTGTTAGTGACTGGACAAGGAAAAGAGCCGTTGTCCATAGAAAATTCGGATCGATCTTGGAAGGTTTTCTTGGCATTTTCTTCAGGCATTTCATGGGAAAATCTATTTTTAATCATAATAACAAATACATGGCAGCCTGAACATGAAACATTTTGGAAGTCTTGCCTGCTGCAGTGATTCTAAGAATTCCATCTAAACAGGCTATGGACAGTCAAAATAGATGAGGAGAGCCTCACTGACAAAGACCTCAAAGACACTGTTGAGGAGGCACCTTGTTAGGTTAGGATTAAGTCAACGATTGGTTTCTTCGAAATTCATTCCGCGACCATATAAGCACGAATAAAACATCAGTTTGGACGTGACTGATTTCTCCGAGGGACCTCTATTTACGAAACATATGATCAAATCGAGATGGACACAAATATGAACGTAGGCTTGTTCTTCATTTCTAGTTTCCAAGTGACAACGCGTAACGTAACTTTACTGTAGGTTTCCTATTTTTGAAAGGTTCGACAAACGCCCAAGTAACTTTAAGGCAATTCCACAAGTATCTTGGTTTTAAAAGTCCTCTTGTCAACCTTGCTTCTTGCTGTCATAATAATGAAGCCTTTCAATTCCTACCAGGTTCGAAATAAACCATATTGCTGTTGGACTCACCGAGACCGAGACTATGAGCCATGAGTATGAAAAATTGGACCTCATGTCGGCTCCGTATCTCTTGGCATGTCATGACCGGGAACTGAAACAAGAAACGGCGTATTTGTCTATTCTTTTTGCGTTGTTCTCTGATTCCCGCTGTCTAGCAAGAAATAAAAGCATCTCTTAGAGAAGTTCTCTATTCGAGAAACGCGCTGTTGCCGTTGCCGCGTCATGAGGCGCCGGCGTCGTCTGTCACCCCCACTCCACTTCCACTTGACGCGCACGCGCTCGCTCGTCATCATTCCATTCCTCCATTCCATTCCATTCCCAACTGCTCGACGCCGCTGTCGCCGCGCTCCACGTCCTCCCCGGCCGACTTTTCCCATTTTCTCCTGTCAAACCCTCACTGACGTAAATCTACGATGGTGCACCACGTGAAGGACCAGGTTTGTAAACAGGATGCAGCCATTTATGTCGCGGTCCCTGACATTGAGGGAAATTGATCTAGTTAGAGGCGGTCCACACCCCTCGCGCCTTATCTCTTTTCTACCTTTCACTCTGGGCCGGTGTTAATTTATGGTTTATGTTGTCTCGATCTCACGGTGCTTGCTGTTTCTTTTTAAACTAATAAAAAATAGTCAAATAGTGGTCATATTTGAGACGCTATCTCATTTCTTGGCGCCTTTTTCCCCTTCTAAAAGGTTGGGATGGCCTCTTGAAGCTTGGTTAGTAACCACGCTACGTTGTGCGTTCCTGTAATTGCTCGAAATCGTTTAAAAACTTAATTGTCCTTTCCTGCTTCTGCTCTTAGGCCTCTGCCTATGGTGGAAGCCGGACTGGGTCTTTCCATGTGGAACACAAACTTTTCCGTGTCATCATTGTCACATATGATTCATAGGAAGTGACCTTGAGCTACCTACATTTATGCAACACCTCTTGTGCTCTTTTATAAATTGTCAGTGAATTCATTTCAGAAGCTTGCCAAGGTCATTTTATTGCACAATTGTTGTCAGACTGTCATTTGAAATTTACTTGCACCTTTCTTCCCTGGTCTGGAGTTTTTAAGAAAATGAAAAGAAAGACCATGTACAAAGTTTCCATTTCTAACAACTGCTATGTTTTGTCACAGGGAGATTTGGAGGCGAAGTTGACTGAGGCGGGTAGTAGCCTGGTTGTAATTGATTTCTTTGCCACATGGTGTGGTCCGTGCAAGATCATCGCTCCCAAACTTGTGGTGAGTTTTCATTTACCCTTACTTTCGAAAAAAATTCTTTACCAGGCAATGCGCACTCTTTGCGTTTTATGTGAGAGTATATGGGTAATATGCTGAAGGGTTGGGTGCTTGACACATTATGATCTATTTTCTTCATTTGTGTAATTATAATGATCCACTTACACTTTTACTGAGATGCTAATTATAACCATCTCCTACAAATTTTTTTTAGATGTATTTATCGTTGTTAGGAATATTTCTCTTTTTCCATTAGTCTAATTATTTTTTCTTCATGGATGACAATGCCTGGTTTTACTTTATCATGTAGTGTGTAAATGGCTGATTAGATAAGACAAGACCTGAAAGGCGGGAAGGGTGATAATTGCCTTGTTCAAAGTAAGTCTTCATCAAAGGGCTTACAATTTTTTCATGTCTTGTTCCAGGAACTCAGTGCTGAATATCCTGATGTTGTATTTCTGAAAGTGGACGTTGACGAAAATGAGGATATTGCCACAGATTACAACATCTCTGCCATGCCCACTTTTGTCTTCATTAAGAACAAGCAGAAGGTGATTATTTATGTTTTTCCAACGTGCTGAAAACTTTCAAGGAAGTAAAATAAAACTACTAACTTTTTTTCGTTTTCAGGTTGAGTCTTTCTCAGGAGCCAGCTACGACTTACTGAAGGAGAAGGTTCTTAATCTTAAGTAAATAAATTACCACATTGCACCTCAAGTGCAATTTTTTTTTTCCACAACCGTATGCATTGTTTATACATTTTTTTATTCACTTTGCTACTTTCTATTACTGCTGCATAATGTTTCACGTGTGTTGTGTGCTGGCCACATGTAAGATTAGGCCTGTATATTTCTGTTAAAGTATATTTGATTCAAGAAGTATTTTTAAAAATTATTGCGGAATAGTACAGCCTGGATACACTATGGGACCTGCTAGATTGCTGTTTGTTTTAAACATGAAATAAACTTCACCATCACTATTTTAATTCATTCTTATTTTCTTACAAAAGACCACCTCATAAAAATTTTAAGTGTGCAGAAAAATCTATTTTGTTGCATGAACAGACCTTGCCTCTTTACCTGCCATATCCAAGGCATCCTGACCAATACCTATAAAATATAATATCACTGCATAATTCTGTGCATGAGTTCAAACAATTCAGATTCATTTTATTTCCACTTACCAGCATCTGAGACTTCAACAAAGCTAAGCCTTTGGCAGTTGCTTTGTGATGAATGCTCACTCAGAAGTTTAAGCTCAGCAGCTGAAAGTTTCTCTCCAAGCTGCCTCAGGGCATTAAGAACTTCCACCTGGCAGATTAAAATTAATTATATCTATCCGAATTTAAGTCAGAGAAACATCTAGAACCTTTATTTATTACCTTCTCATTTTCTGCTGAGAGACCTCCTTTGCCCAATTTAATATCCCGTTCAATATCTGACAATCTTTCACGAAGAAGCCCTGGTTCTCTTCTGGCAAACATCCTAATCACAGCTGGGGTTCGGAAAGCAGCACTTATGGCTGCTTGAGTAGCCTAGTGGAAGTTTGATAAAATGGAGTCACAGAATTCAAATTAAAGAATAAAAAATAAAAGCTGGCGAAAATTTACCAGCTGCATGGCGCTTAAATGGTCCACAAGTGTCATGTCTCCAGACATCATCTTCGATAGGCTCTCGTTGAGCTCCTTGAGTTGCTCTAGCGTATCATTTTTTGTGTCAGTATATTCGGATTCATCTAATTCGCTTCTGAAACAGAAACATAAACCGACAATTTTTGGTTACACAAAAATAGTAAAGAGGTAGGAGTGTATCTTAACCTAATCTTACTTGCACGACTCTAAGTCTTCCAGCTGCTGAACCAGTCTATCAAGTTGTCCTTGAAGATTTTGGCGTAGCTGCTCAGTTTCGTTGCGCCCTCGCGATGACATGGTAGCAATTAAAAAAGAGGAGAAGTCTGAACTGAACCAGATAATCAACAGACCGGGGCGGGGGATAGTGTCAACAATGTTATTATCCTCTAGATCTGAATTCACTGTCTTGGTAAAGTGCTCTTGATGAAAAATGAGTGAATATTACTGAAAGTTTCAAATGCTGAATACTGAGAAAATGGTCAGCATTATTTGACTGTTACGCAGTCACTGTTTGTGCCCTTTCAAATGTCAAATTATGTCAACAAAGCCGTCTGCTGTAGTCTGCTGGAAGCGGATCCGGATGTTTAATTTTCATACAACTCGCGGGCTCTGGTTTCCTTTCCTTGCGCTTGCACGTGGACTTTCTTAAGTTGCGCTTGCACGTCCACCAAGAGCTCCAGCTTGCTGCACAGAGGCAAAAGTTTAAATACCATATCTGACTTGAATCAATTACTCATTCACCAAATGATTTTGAAGGGTGTCATACACTTGCACGCACCATGGAGAACGAAGTACCCAGTCATTCCCTTTTCCGGGTGGCAATTATTTTACTTTTTAAAACATTTTTCTTCAACTTAATTACTTAACTGCCGAAGGGAAAAGTGTTAACACGTGCAGGGCTTAAGTACTTTCGCAAGGGTGATCTGTCTCAACATCAGTCGGTTGTACGCTCATTGGGTCGCCTTTCCCCGTCATCGCCCTGACCAAAAAAAATCGACGCATCAAGCAAGAGCACAAAGACGCATCGGTCGCAAAATTCTTCCTTCAGTTCAGACCAATTAAACCTCCGTTCGATTCAGTCCTTAAGCCCATATCATGTGAGATATGCCGAGAAAGCCGAAGCTGATAACGACCACCGTCCTCACTGATGTCATGCACCGTGACTAATCACCCGACATGACTAGTCACGGTTCGTTCGATAACGCCTAGTCACAGGAGTGAGAGCAGTGAGAGAAACCCAGAAAGGTTGCCAACAATGAAAAAGAGGGATTAAGCAGAGGCTGCACTTGCAGCTAGTTTCATGAAAACTTTATTATAATATAAAATAACAATAAAAATACAATAATTATTGAAATGAAAGTGAACCATATGAGAAAGCATTATCAGTGGAACGAGAAATGACCCGGTGATGAACCGTGCCCGAGTGATTCTTCATACTGACTTACGAGATAGAGGCGGGGGGTCATTTCTCTTCCCATTGGTAGTAGCCAAGAAAGTATTTCTGAGGACTCTGATTCTTAGGTTCTTAGAAACCACATAAGGTGGATAGGTAACATTGACAACACATCACAAAGAGCAAAATATGCTATATGGTATCTCACATATAAGTAACATGAATATAAATGGAAAGATTCTTTTCACACAGAATACTACAACATAATGAAAGTTAAGAGTTTTAATACAAGTGCTTAGCAAGAAAAATGTAAACAAGTACAAAAACAAGGCTACTTTGGGGAGAGGAAAAATTATCAGGAACTTCAAAAATGTGGGTTAACACATCAGTCTTGAATCCTTTGAATTTCAATGCAAATAGTAAGCTCAAATATTTAATAATATCAATGTAATGACACCAAAGAAGCCCTTGCACTGCCTACACTGCATAGGGTCCGCCCATAATGTTTCAAAATATTTTAAAGTGAATGTGTTTAAAGAATCAATCAAAATTGTGAGTAAAATAAAGGCAAGATAAATGACTTAAAACACACTCACACAACTTCAAAAAGACACAGTGGTGATGAAAGCGTGGCTCAAGGCCCAATGGCTCCAGGAGCCTTATGAAGAGAAGTCTCCTTAGAAAAATCTTAACATGGCACATTTTTACCAATTTGACATCTCTTCTCTCCAGTCCTTAACCTTTCTTAGACTACTTATGTATGGCCCCAGAGCTACTAGCGACTTCGAAGGGGAGAGCTGCCTTCTCTCTTCATGAAGTGCCAGAAGGGAAAAAAAGACAGTTCATGCAGCATTTATCTTGTGTGTATTCTGCACACAGGAAGTTTCAAAACATGCTGAACATATTCCTATAATTTTATGAGAGCATATGAGAATTTTGTTCTTGTGTGGCAGCAGCATAGATGTTGCTTTGTTTGTATAATTAAAACGTCTTTTGCATCTTCTTTGTCCAGATCCAACTTCAATACGGGATCACTCAGCATCTTGATTTTTTAAGCAGCATTCACAGACTGTGAACAAAAAGAATTTTAATTAGTTATTAAGTTGATAAGGTGATGATATACAAGTTAATCAGTTAAAATTATATTTCCAACCGAAGTTTTAATTTTTACAAAGAGCATGTTGACAAGCTAAAAGAGGCTGTTACAAGATAAATTAATTATTAAACAAATACAAAACTATTGATAGAAAACTTCAAGAGGCACTTCAAAGAACAGAAAGGAGGCTTGGTGTAGGAAATGAAAGTGCAAGCTATGCAATAAGCCAATGCAAACATGTGTCAAAGTGTGGACCTGTGCTACAATAAACATCAACCCTTCAACAAGTGAAACAAGATATTTCAAATTACTGTGTAAATGATATCTAAAAGCAGGCAACTAAAATACTACAATGATTTTGTTTACCAAAAAATTGTCAAAGCAAACATTTTATATGCATCCCATGCTTATTGGAACATAACTCAAATAAAATTCAGTACATACCAGATTAAGTAACCACTCTTGCACCTTATTTTCTGCAGTGTAAGTAATGTGCCTAATATGTGTCTTTACAGGAAGTATACAGACCAAACTAGGTCCACAAGATTGGTTAACCTTTTAAAAACCTTTGTTTGCAGAACATTAAGTAGCGTTGGACATGTTTGTTGAGTTTATGAATATGGATGAGACGTAGGAAATCTTAATGAGAATGAATGATAGAAGCAGTTTGCTAGAAACCATAACCAGCACAAAATAAAGCTAGTGAGTGAGGCGAACAAAACTTGGAAAGAAACACAGACCAAATCAATCTGAGGTAATAAGACATAAATGTCCACATTGACAGTGTATTTTAACTTTGTTACAAATCGAATTGATTAATTTCTCTCAATTTATTAGAAAAAGATGGGAAAACAACATGCAATTCTAACAAGAATCATATGGACAACTCAACATGCACATAGACCATGGAGACTTATGTCTCCATACATAAACACAATTTAATAAAATTTTACGTTAGAAAATTGATAAATATTGAGGGGGGGCTGAATGCCATCAAACATCAGTAAGCCATAGGTTACAATACATCAATACCAATATGAGGTGTCCATATCAGAGAGGAGCTTTGATGTCTTCAAGCCAAATCCTTTAGAAGGAATGAACAAACAAAAGGGAATGATCCTATCAAAACAAATTGACATAGCATTTCTTGAACTGAATAGTAGATGTGTTACACATTTGTACGGCCTACATGATTACCGAAGTAGTCTTCTAGCAACACTTATAAACTAGGATTAGAGCCAATGTTAAAAAAATTGATGATGAGGTTCTTACACTTTAAATTACTTCAGTTAAAAAAATACAACATTAGGTGAAATTAAAACTAGGTCTTAAAAACAGTGACCAAAACAAATATGAAATGGTAGGAAGTAGCTCCACGGTGCACATTCCAAAATGTTAATCAGTCAATCAATATTACTGACTACCTCTGCACTTAAAAAATATTCATTTTTGTTTAGGAAAATTTGTTGGCTACCATACAGTTTTGAAGTTCAAAAATATAGGTGCCTTCCATGTCATTAACTCTCTCTACCAAGCATCAAAATTTTATTTCATCCTGATGAGAGGATTGAGTTTTAAATGCTGAGAGGGAAAAGAACCAGATCAATAATATTACTGACATACTTGACATGGTCAAATACGAAGTTTACTTTTAAGAACACATTGTGAGTCACTAATAAATTTGCAGCATTTCAAAAAAGAGCAAGCTGTCAGTGCCGCGACGGCCCGCGGGGGCGGCGGGGCGGCGGGGCGGCGCCGGCGTCTATGTATTTATTGCCTGACACATGCTGAATGCTTTGTTTACAGAAACTAAGCTAATTTTGGGTTGCTACTTCAGCACATTCAAAGTTAACTGTGTGTTGTCATTAAGAATGTGAATCAGAGGAGGAAGAAATGGGAGTTCAGGCTTTGAATGGTTTCAAAGTAGTTGGCTTGCGAATGGTTGACGTCACATGGCCATACAGGTGAACACGTACCTTATGGACACACTGTATTAAATAAGTAGTAATCAGTATAACTAACAAACAAAAACCAACAACATTCAAATATAAAAGATTAAAAGAAAAGCGAGTCGGCACATTTTGAAGATAGACTTCAGGAAGATTTTAAAAAGGTTGGAAAGTTTAATCACAAAACATGTTAAAATAATATGAAGATAAAGATTTTCAGGATGAAAAAATATATTAAAAAGTTAGTAGGTAAAAGCAAACTTTTTAAAAGCTGAGCACTTGTTTCTTTACAAGGAGCATGCTGTTATAAATGGCAATAGACCATACATTAAGATAATTATTTTTTATGAGCAAAAAGAACTTATCAAGGGGAAGTATTTGTTGGCTGTTGCTGAGCATTTATATTAATAAAACAAAGCGAATTAATAAACCACATGTCGCCACTGTCAGGTACAAAAGTGGTCCCAAACTCTGTAAAAATACTTTTCAATTCAGTGTGTTTAGAAAGGCGTGTTTCTTCCAAAATGGGCCCAAGCAGATCAAGGCAATCTCCGGGCTACGAGCAATGTTATTTAATCATTGCTCGCCCACCGTTTATATTCTTTTGTTTCAGAATCATACCATATATTATAAAAAATTCTCTGCTAACCATAAGAGACAAACAGCTTTAAAACAAAACAAAGCTCTTGTATCCTTATGATTTTCAGAGACATATATAAAAACATAAATATAGTGCAGGTAACAATGAGACTAGATAACACTTGACAAAACGATGGCTCAGCTGAACCGTGCATGGCTTGAAGCATAGCTTGCTTGAAGCATGGCTTGCTTGAAGCATGGCTTGCTTGAAGCTAGAGTGGCTGACTAGTTCTGCTAGTTCCGTGACCGAGGCGCGGCCTCACGTTCTTTGCCACTGATGGAGGAGAGCATGCGTAAGCTGACAGGAGGCGGGGTGCCGTGCGTAGAATGAGAAGTGGCATGGGAGGTGTGGGCGGGGGTGTGGTTATGCCCGGGACCAGGGTTTGGTGACGGCGCGGGGGAGGGGGCGGGAACTCGCGGAGGCAAGATGGCAGCAGATGCTGTTACCTTGGCGATGTCTACGCCGGTCATCTTTCGAACCAGTTCCGGCACGGTGGCGACAATGGACAAAACTTCGCCTGTCAGCTTGGCAGCACCAACCTCCCCAGTACCACTGGACACCATGGTAATCTTCTTCGCCTGCGATAAAGGAGCTGCGACCTCAGCTGCAACCTGAAGAATAGAGATTCACAGTCAGCAACAACTTGAAGAGTAGAGGGAAGGGACAGGTAAAAATCAAAAGGGCAATATATCTTACTTTGGGCAGGGCGTCCAACAACATATCCACCATAGCAGCCTCCCTGTATTCTTTCCAGGCATCAGCTTTTTTGGACATTTGTTCAGCCTCTGCCTTCGCCTTTGCTTCAATCGCAAAAGCTTCAGCTTCCCCACGCATTCGCACAGCCTCAGCTTCTGCTTCTGCTTCAAGAATGACACGCTGTTTGTTGGCTTCTGCCAGTTTTTCAAGCCTGAAATGACAAGATAATTTTGAAAATGATATGTGTGTGGAAACTTGAGGTAACGGAAAACCCACATTCCAAGTTACTCTCTGACGTCATGCTAGACTATGCAGCAAACCTTCGTACATGCATGGCAACATTTGGCGGCATAGCAGTGTTATTGAGACGTCAGAAGGCACCTTCTTCAACTACCTAGAATAGAAAAAGACTTCGGACATACTTGTATTTTTCAGCTTCAGCAGGACGTCGCACAGTAGCATCTAGTTCTCTTTGTCTGCGTTGAATTTCCTGATCTTGCACCAAAATTTCTTGAGTACGTTCAACAACTTGAATTTGCATCTGTTCTTCCTTAATTCGTTGCTTAGTCTTAGCTGCTTGAAGTTCATAGGCCATTTCTGCTTCCGCTTTCTGCAAGAGACATTTAAGGAGATTAATAAAACTAAATTTATGCTCCATATAAGACTTGATGTTTTTTTTTTCACTGTTCCTCTCATGTTTTCACTTACTTTGGTTTGAACTTCCACATCATAAGCAGCTTTTTTCAACTCAAAGTCCCTTTGAGCTTTAGCAATTTCTGTATCATTCAAAAACCTGAAAAACACAAGAAAAACACGTGAGGCCTCTCAAAAAAGAAGACAGAGAGAGATAAACATATTTTGTCCTCTATTGTCAAGAAAAATAAAATCAATTTTGCAGCAACAACAATTACCTGGATGCCATTCGTTCTTCTTCTGCAATAGCTTCTTTTATCTGTGCATCACGGCGAGCCTCTGCTTCACCAATCCGTGCGTCTCGCTTCACCTCTGCTGTGCGAGCCATTCCCAAACTCTTGAGGTAACCCTATAAGGGAGAATTCAAAAAAGTAAGGCACAGTCAACACACAATGCTTGTTTTACAATTGTTTTGATCAGTTAGAAGGGGGTCAAAGATGAAGAATGTAGTATATTAAAACCCTGGGGTGACATGTAACCAAATTGCACAAAAATCTGAATTTGTCATTATTTTTAACAAATAATTTAAACCTTTTTAAATTTCATACACTAGGGAATATATTAAATGAAATGTGATCATGAATGTAAAGTATTAGTCAGAGTAGGGGTTCCAAGAGTTATCAACACAATGAAATTAAGATGCTGCATGTGTTAAACTACATAAGATGTACCAATCTAAAACGGAAAAAAATAAAATGTGCATTCTTCTACGACTATTCCATAAGCTTCAATGAAATATTCTGAAACTTAACAGTTCTAGAAAGAAAAAAACAAGCACCCTGAATATATCAAAGCCCTTATGTTTTGATTTTAAAATTAATGTCCTTTTAAAAGAGCACAAACTAGCCAAAAGAAAAGAAGTGAACAAAAAGATCCAAATTTTACGGCCATGCATATGAGACAACTAATAGTACAGCAGGTGGTCAACAACAAAGCGTGGCAGCAGATTTTCTTTCTATGTCCAAAACTCAAACATGGTAGGTGTAGTAACTAGAAAACCTCCAAAAGAACAATCCTACAATAAAGGTCAGATTTAAATATGGTACACAGACCAGAACTGCCCTACTCAATGTTTTAATGCTTAACAACCTGATTGATGAGTAGTTCTCATTGGACTGTAACAGCCAAGGAAAGACTATAGACAACCAGAAAAAGCATTCATCAGAATGGAAATAAAAAAGGAGTCATTCGACTCCCAGCAAGCCATTGCATTATCATTTTTATGCAGTTAATTTTAATGCATCTAAATTTGTTTGGCTAGAATATAAACCAATACAGTGCTATAAGCAGATCTCTGAGTATTTTCAAATAATTAATTAATGAAAGAGTTCTAATGCAAGCCTTTCTAAAACTACAAAAACACCACATGCCATGGGCCGTAAAAATGGACATACCTTAGCACCCTTTGTAGCGGAACATGAGGCACTATTAGTACTCAAGAATGAATTTTGCACACATATTACAACAATGATGATAAACAAATAGATCACAAACATAAAATACAAGTAGACAAGGAAGGCGAAACAACAAAAAATATCCACAAAAAAGCCCATACATCAAATACAAGATACAAGAAACTATATTTGACGTAGGGAAAATACAAAAGCTGAGGGCAGGTGTTCAAAGTGTACTTATTACCTGATATGACAAAGCATGAGAAATTAATTTTGAGCCGTTATTTGATTCCCGATGTCATCCTATTTACTTCCAAATGAGCCCTTTCTAATTACGAGAACACACAACAGGTTAAAGCTAGCAATAGAAAAGGTAATTAGAGAGGATAAGAACAAGCATGCTGCTGAAACTACTCTTATGAAAAGAATCTACACACTTTTAGAAAATGTAGTATAGAAACTGAAGTCTACATTGGATTGTGAATAAATGAGAGTTGGAATTTAAGGCAAAAAAAAAAAAAGAACAAGTCTCAAACCTACATGTTACTAGCTGTGGCTAAATTTGAATACGCCCATCAGTCCTTGGATGCAACATTTACAAGTAAAGTATATCAAAAGCGTTGTGAGTGAATCCCCCTCTTTTTTTTTTCTTTATAATAGGAAATTATCATTCTTTGTCATAAACTGCTGGAGTTGTACTACCAGAAAAATATTTCAAAAGAAATTCACTAGCCAAATTTTACACAAAGGAAAATAATGCCCTTCAGTGTAGGAGTGTCTGATTAATTTCAATAGGAACCAGTAGTGGGCTTCTCGTTTCAAAGTGTGCATTACAAAGTATTACAGTGGCTATACAGGGCAAGCCAACATATCCGTGCCAGGCCAGGAAGGTTTCGGAGACGGGCGGACCTTGGCGTGCGGGGGTGGTGCACTCGGCAACCAGCAACCCGACCCAGCCGTGCAGCCGACGCAGCTTCCTGTGTTCCGTGCTGCGCCGCGCTGCGCCGCGTTCAGGCTACTGCTGCTGAGGAACCGGCCCCGCCGGCCTCGCCCGCCGCCGGATGGTTGCAAGGCCCAGGTGACTCACCCTCTTCAAGAGCATTGCCACTCCAAACACATAAAATGTCCCAAATTGCAACTAACTTAGGCCATATAATGATACGTACACTTATGAGTTACACTTATGAGTTAATGTGCAAGTGTGCAGAACAAGTTTAACTGCAAGTGGTGTATGACATGTCTTTCTCACTAAATGTTTGGCAGTGAATGGCAGTGTTTCAAATTAGTTTGCACTTGTAATACATAATGGCAGAGAGCTCTGCTCTATCACAGCTAAGAACGAGTTACCCATTACCAGTAAGACAAGTACACCGAGTAGCAACATAATTGAGTAGCAAAATGCAACAAGAACTCCACTTAAAAGAATGAAATATGCTTACCTCTTCATCTCGAATATCCTTCAGAGTGTATGAGACAACTGTGATACCCATATTCACTAAATCAGACGATGCCACTTCAAATACTTGCTTGCTGAATTTCTTTCGGTCCTTGTATATTTCCTACAAGTCAAGAGCAAAGAAAAATTAAAACCAAAAATAATTAAAAATCTTGGAGCCAAAAGTCATGACTATGATCAGATAAAGAGAGCACAGTAATATATTTATAGATATGATTTACCTCAACTGTCATACTGCCCATGATGGCACGCTGATGTCCTTCCAATGTGACGAGGGCAATATGTTGAATTTCAGCTTCAGTTTTGTCAAGGAACTGTTCACAAGCAGCCAGAAGCATCTCTTCATTTTGGCCTTGTATTTTCACCTGCAATCAATAACAACAATCAGAAAAATTCACACTTTCTAAAAATATGGGTTGAAACAACAAAAGCTAAACTTGAAAAATACCTGTGCTATGCCTGTAACTGATATCGGCACTCCTTGACTTGTGTACACAGTTGGGCTTTCCACTTGCAGTGTCATTGTGTTCAAGGATATTCTGAGGAAAGGTACAAATCAATTTGTAAACAACTTTCTAAACAATATGCACAGGCAATGTTGAGTTTGTGAACAGCTTACCGTTGAACACATTGAATGGATGGCCATACAAAGGCTCTGCCTCCTGGCACCAATAATGGTTTGCCATAACAACATCCTGGAGGAAAAATAAATACTTTTATGAATACTAAGCAGATGAACAGGAAGCAAAAGGAATACTACTAGAGAAAAATCATGAAAAAGTGGCATGCTAAGTCAGATTAGACGCAAGTCTTGTCAATCAACAGAGGAGCCGCTCTGCCAAATGATTCCGTTAGTCACATGACAATTTTCAAAACTGAATATATTCATGAGAAAAGTTCAAAAATGACTTGGACTGACACAAAGAATTACTGGTTGTAAGCAGAGCATGGTAGTATCACTAATGACCATACTAGCGACCCATTTTTAAAAAATCAATGAAGTGTGGTTATGGCGCTCTGGCTGACAATTAAGTAATAACGATGACAAGAAGTCAAAACTTATTTTAAGATCAAACATGAGGACTAAAGAAGCGCTTTCTTTATTTTACTTCAAACAGTTTCACGTGACTAAGGGGCAACCACTTGACACGATTGGCTCAATTGACAAGAATGTGTGTGGTTCGTGACAAGCCGTGGGCGTTCTTCTACCGACTCCCCGCCGTGCCGTTCTCAGTTATCGCAAAAAAACGTAGAATGTAGCCTATATTTACCGGACACTACGAGGGCCTCGTTGGGTCCGCAAGTTACGAAGCCCCACGTCATGTTTCTCCGATTTTTCTGCTTTGAGTACACAATCTTGAATTCGTCAAACTAAAACTCAGCGGAAGGAAAATGGCAGTGGCAGACGCCTCTGACGCATCGACCGCATGCGCATCGACAACAAACACTACTGACCAACCAGCAGCCGCGGTTGTTCGCTCATTTACCCCCACCCCTATTTCCTGAAGCGCTGTTTCTCTGCCCCACTACTAGAGGGCAGCAGCACTCTCGTTCGCGGGCCCCTTTGAAATGTGATTTCGCTTGACTACACTGACTACACTACACGTGACGACTACCCGTCAACGCTATATAAACTATAGAACTATAAGAAACCTCAGGAACAATGGAACTGAATGGTTTATTTAAGAAGGTTCTGGTTCAATAAGGATTATAAAAACAAAACAAAAAATGAACAATGAAAATTCAGGCATTCATTTAACGACATTTATGTCTCATTTGAGTTTAAATACATTTTAAAATATTTACATTTACAATTTTCCTAGAAGATCTAAGCTTTGGGAGGTTTCCATGCCTCAATTTTAGGGCGAGTCGTGCTGTAAGGAACATAAGCTCTCTCAGTCCCCGTAGGATTTTCTTCATGCTCTTTAATCCATTTATACTTTGGACGAGTAGGATCCTACAAAAAATAAAACAACAGTCACATAAGAGTGAAATCTCACAATTCTTTTACATGCCAACCAGCTTCTACTCACTTCACTCGGAAGTTTATCCGTTTTGTAGTGCATCCAACCATACCATTCAGCTGGAATCTGGCTACCGTCATAATCATAGCCATACCTGTCTGAGTACTCAACCCAACGGTTACGACCTGTGCAGAAAAAGAAATTAAACATAGAAACATTGATAGTCATCAACTTGAACAGTAATGCAGAACGTAAAATTTTCTGAATCAGATGAATGAGTTATTAGAATGTAAATATTTAAAGCATTGCTGATGGGTTACTCACCTACGAAGTACAAAGGATTCTCATAGTACTTGTTTCCAAATTTGTCTACACCTACAAGTTTACCCTCTTTCACATCATCAATCCTGAAAAATAGAGACAAGGCCGAGTTAAGTGAAAACCTTCACAGGGCACCTACGGATCAGTGACATTTCAAAAAACTAACAAAGAAAAAATTAGCATACTAAAAGAGCTACTAGAAAACTCTCCCAAAATTGTCTTACAGGTGTCTTTCTCAATCTTTAATGTCTTAAATACCACTTCATAATGGTGTAGGTTATGGATAGCAAACACAAGTTACCTCTGCAGCCTCAAAAAGAAGCCTTTCAGGCCGCCACTCTGATCGACGATGCGTCGAAAACGTTGGATTTTCTCAGCTAGAGTGCCGGCCCTCGGCAAATTTCCAGCCATTTCCGTGAGGCTGGAAACGAAGGAATAAGAACGAAAATAAAGATACTTTAAAGACCACTGAGCAGAAAGTTAAAGTTAACAGCTGACGACTTTCGACCTTCAACAGCAGCCAACTGCGGCATGTCATTTTCGAAAACATGTCTCGGAATAGAATTTACTTTTCCAGATCCAAAACTGAAACCTTCGTTTTTCTTTATTTTCTTTCGTTGAAACAAATCTCATTGTGAGTTCCCGATTGTTACCGGAGGACAACATAGATGTGAGTGTCATGTAATATTGGCATCATTGGTTTTGAATGTACCGCGGGAGAAATGTGTCCAAAACTTTTTCATACAAGAGATTGACTGACTGTTGTCAAAGCGAAAGGGGTAAGGATTTAAAGTAGTAAATTCTAGTGTTTTTACTCAGTGGGTTTTTATTTTTACCGGAGCCCACTATGTTGTAGTTCATAGCTCGTTGCCTCAGATCTAAATTTATATTGCTTTGTTGCAGTCGCCGTTCAGACAATCGGCAATCGGCTCTTTAACCTTACCTTCATTTCTACCTGGAGGCAAAATGATTAAAACATTTTATGAAGGGGGCATGGGCCTCACCAGTGAGAAGCAATCGGTTGTATTTGATTTCGGAGTGCGATTTACCAAGTAAGACATGTTGCCAGATCATTGTCTTTTATGTTGCCACTTGTGTCCCCAGAATTTTAAAAAAATGTTTAAAAATTTTTGTGCTCTATATGCTATTTATCGTTTTCTTTCAGGGCTGGTTTCGCTGGGGAAGCTGCACCTCGCTGCATAGTACGAACTGAAGTCCGCTGTTCAAGAAGTGGTCAAATGCGAAAAGTATTTGATGCGCTAAATTCTGATGAGCAGTATGATCTTCTTGTTGATTTCATTCACAACCTGTACTTCAGGTAATGAAGGTTCTGCCATTCTTTATTTTAACCTAATGATATTTTTACTCTCATACCGCCTATTTTATATTTCAGGCACTTACTTGTTAGCCCCAAAGACAGAAGAGTAGTGGTTGTAGAGTCAGTCCTCTGCCCTACAGCTATTCGTGAAATGCTTGCTAAAGTTCTTTTTATGCATTTTGAGGTAAATAGTTACATTTAATTAAAATAGTAATTCTCATCTCACTGAGTTATTCTGGCTTGAAAGTAACATGTTCTGACTTAAACATTGACAGGTTTCTTCCCTATTGTTTGTTCCGTCTCATGTGGTTGCTTTAAGTACTCTAGGGGTTAACACTGCACTTGTTGTCGATATGGGTGCAGTTGAAACTGTTGTCATTCCTGTTCATGAAGGAGTTGCTGTGTTGCATGCTTGGCAAGCCCAACCCCTAGCAGCAAATGCAGTTGAAAGGTGTGGTTGGTTTTTGGTCTTAAGTGTTTAATTCATATGCAATCTTTCTTTTTTCCTTTTATTTATATCTGACTTGTATTTTGTAGTCAAATTAAGGAGATGCTCTCGGAAAGAGAGAAATCAAAACCTTCTGAAGGTTTTGCAAACCTCACAGAAGCAAATATTGAGGATATCAAGGGTCAGTTCTTATATCCATTTAGAGTTATGATATTGATATTGTTAATGCAATGTTTAATCATGTACTTTGTTCACAGTACGGGCGTGCTTTGTCACAACACTTCAGAGAACTCTAAAGGCAGAAGAAGGCAAACCATGTCCCAGTCCTCCAAGTGTCAAGTACTTGGTTGGACCTGATAGCCACATTTTGAATATCAGTGGTGATATAAGAGAAAATTCTTTTAATGTGCTCTTTCAGCAGGATGCTGATCAGATCAGTGTTTCAACAATGATACTTGATGCGATCATAAAGGTATGAATCTCTGATTTTGTTTGATCCTTACACCAATTTTTACCAGACTTTTAAGCTAAAAAAAATTACAGTGTCCCATTGATATGAGAAAACCATTGGCTGAAAACATCCTTCTAATTGGGGGTACTTCCATGGCTATCGGCATGGGGGCTAGAATAAAAGAAGAATTAGAATTTTTATCTGCTTCCCCACAGTACTCAGAACGCCTCAAAATCCGCTCCTTTCAGTTCCATTCTCCTCCAGCCAAGGGAAATTACACTGCATGGTTAGGAGGTAAGACCCTTGCATTCACTAGCTAATTTTCATAATCTTAAAATTTTTTTTTTAAAAAAGGAAACTACATTTATTATCTCTCTTGTTGCAGGTGCAATTTATGGTGCAACTGATTTTGTCACAATAAAATCTTTATCGAAAGAAGCTTATTTGAGGGAGAGGAAAGTTCCTGATTGGGTCAGTTTAATTCATAATACTTACAATGCGGGAACAAAGAGATCTGTCTAAACCATTTACATACAGTATTAACAAAATCTTTCCCCAAAGAAACCACAAATGAATTTTTTAAAAATTGTATGCCCTCCTGTTTCTATTCAAGCAGAGGTTTTTTTGCACCTCAAATTGTTTTGTTATGGCTAATTTTTGTTTGTTTTTAATTTTTGTATGTATATTTAAATAATAAAGTATATTTATTGTATAATGACTGTGTCGGTGGCTCTTGTCCTAACAAACTAAGAAATTATCTACCAACTCGATGGGCCCATGGACACCTCTCACAGGGAAAAGACAAACGCCCAAAGCAATACCCTCAAAAAATTTAGTACAATGGCTTCATGTTTGCGAGCAACAGAGCTGTGAGAGCTCCGAATCATTCTAAGACCCTTTTCCCCTTCTCTGAATTCAGACCGATTCACACCATCCGATCCGAGTCACTTTAAAAAGAATGGCGCCGCACCTTAGACCGGACCGGAAGTTAGTGGTCGGTCGTTCTTCTTCCCTAAGGAACGTGTCCGTACGGTCCATTCGTTTCCGGCGGCTCGGTACTCAGCCATTTCTTCCCCTCCATGCCGATCTAGGAGCGGGTGGCGCTTTCGTGGTGCAACAAAAATATTGTTATTGTGTTGTTTTCATGAAGTGGTAGTTCCAAAAAATCCGTAATCATGGCTCGATACGGGCAACGTCCTGAGAACGCTCTAAAAAGGGCAAATGGTAAGTACTCGTTGGACAATATGTGACCTGGGACCACTTAGCCTACAAATTACGCCAAAGGTTTCCATTTCTTGTCATTTTTAGGAGTAACCGTGTCGCGGTCTCTTATTACCCGTTAATCAATTCCTCTTTTTTGTTCACCTGACCGCTTACATTTTATTTTTGGCATCAATTATCCAATTTAAACGGCATTCGGCATCCCATTCTTTAAGACCATAACCTCTCATTCGTGGTACTGTTTTGAATGACGTCTGGTGTCTTCAAAGTTACTAAGTTATTTCTCGTGATTGACCCTTACTCTTCCGCTAGTTGTTTTCTAGGCTCTTTGATCGATTTTCTGGTCCGTGTCTAAAGTCTTTTCTCATCATCATTAAATTTTTGTTGTTCTTGTAGCTCTTATCTTAATTAATATCTGTTGTTACATCATGTATTTTTTATGATTACAGAGTTCATTGAGGTAGGGAAGCCTGCCCGTGCTTTGGACACTTTGTATGAAGTATTCAAAAACAAAAAATGGGCGTGCAACTGGAGCGAAACTGTTCTCGAGCCCATCATGTTCAAGTACTTGGACCTCTGTGTCGAGCTCAAGAAAAGCCACATTGCAAAAGAGGGTCTTTTCCAGTACAGGAATATGTTCCAATCCGTAAGTTTATTGGTTCACATTGTTTTAAAACCTACATTTCATTTATTTCTTATTTTCTAACTCTCAATGTGTGTTCTTGTCAGGTCAATGTCGGATCACTTGAAAATGTTATCAGAGGTTACTTACGGACGGCTGAAGAACGTACGGAAGCTGCCCGTGAGCAATCTCAACAAGCCGTAATTGATGTGGAAGATCTTGAGATGATAACTACTCCTGAAAGCATTTTATTAAGGTAACATAGAAAATCACTTGTTATTATCAGCAAATATTACACAATTTTTGTGAAAGTGCTCATATTTATTCAATTGGTCTGAATTCTTTTCCCTGTTCAGTGCTGTCAGTGGTGAGGATGCTCAAGATAGATCTGACCGCACAATTCTCACTCCATGGGTCAAGTTCTTGTGGGAATCCTATTGTCAATGTTTGGAGTTGCTGAGGACCAATGCTCATGTGGAAACCTTGTATCATGATATTGCACGCATGGCCTTCAACTTCTGCCTCAAGTATAGCCGCAAGACAGAGTTCAGGAAGCTGTGTGATAAGCTGCGCAAACATCTTGAGGATATATCCAAGCTCCCAGCTCAAGTTTCTAATGTGTCAATTAGTAAGCCTGAAACTCAGCAGCTGAATTTGGACACCAGGCTTGTACAACTTGACTCTGCGATTCATATGGAACTCTGGCAGGTTTGTTCACAGTAGTATTCAAAGGGCAATTTATAAATAAGCTCCAGCTGCCTTCATAAAATTCCCGGTTTTCTTCTTGCAGGAAGCCTACAAAGCAACTGAAGATATCCATGGCTTGATGAATATGTCTAAGAAGTCACCTGTGCCTAAGACCATGGCCAATTATTATCAAAAATTAGCTCTGGTCTTTTGGAAGGCCAACAACTGTCTCTTCCATGCTGCTGCTCTGTTCAAGTTGTTCCAACTTTCCAAAGAAATGAAGAAGAACATAACTCCTGAGGAACTGCAAAGGTGATTAAAACATACCAACAGGACCGTTTCTGTAATCTTGAGGTGCCTTTTTATAGTTCTAATCTCACTTCTCCTTGTTAGAATGGCCTGTCGTGTTCTCTTGGCAACTTTATCCATCCCACTTCCATCTGCTCACCCTGAATTTGACCGTTTCATCGAAACTGACAAGAGCCCTCTTGAGAAGGCCCAACGCCTTGCCACATTGTTGGGGCTCCCCCAGCCTCCCACTCGTGCCTCCCTGCTGAAGGATATTGTAAGTATTAGACTGTTTAACTTTTTGAGTCATGTCACTAGCATGCTTAATTTCTCTTGCTTTGTTTCAGGTGAGAGTGAATGTTGTTGGCTTAGCAGCTCCCCAACTGCAGGACCTGTACAGCTGGCTTGAAGTTGAGTTTGATCCTCTGAATCTCTGCACTCATGTTCAAAGGGTTGTGGAAAACTTGCAGGCTGAGGAAAACTCACAGCTTGTTCAGTATGTCCCAGCTCTTCAAGATGTGACCCTTGTTCGATTGATTAGGCAAGTCTCTCAAGTCTATCAGACTGTCAAATTTGCACGCCTGTTGGAATTGGCTCGCTTTACTGACACCATGCATTTGGAGCGTCTCCTGGTTGATTGTGTCCGACATAATGACATGCAAATTCGGATTGATCATGGTGCTGAATGCATCCACTTTGGTATGGACTTGGCTGAGAGCCAGCGTGAAGATCATCCAGAGGGCCCTACTCTCCAGAGCATGCCTAGTGAACAAGTGCGTAACCAGTTAATCAATATGGCCTCTGTTCTTACAAGAGCAATCAATTCAATCAACCCTGCCAAGAAGAAGGTAGAAAGAGAAATCCTTAGACATAAAATGGTTGAACACTACCATGCCACTAAGGTTGATGAACATACTCAAATATTGAAGCGGCAAAGGGTTATTGAAGATCGCAAAGAATATCTTGAGAGAGTCAACATTCTCAGAGAGGAGGAAGCTGCCAGGCGACAGGATGAATTGGCCCGCCAACAAATGGCTGAAGAACAGAAGAGGTTAAAGATGGAGTTAGATGAGCGTGAAAGAAAGAGGCAAGAGAATGAAATTCAGCAGATCAAGGACCGTCACCTCAAAGAAAAAATGCAGCAAATTTCTCAAACTGCACATGGGCAGAAAATTCTCAAGAAACTTGATGAAGATGTGAGTCTTAGAAATCAAATATTCTGGATTTATGTTACCTTTTATTTATATTTTACTAACATATTTTTAATTGATCCTTTAGACCCTTCAAAATATGGATGCTGATCAGATCACAGCTCGTGAGATGGAAGAGTTACAGAAGGAACGTAGGGAAATGTTACAAAAGCTGAAATCTCAGGAGAAGAAAATGGACTACTTCATTCGTGCTATGCGCATTGAAGAAATACCCCTTCTGCAGAAGTCCTTTGAGGAGAACCAGGCAAGCACCCATGAACTACAATTCTGAATGTGTGGCTATGGCTCGTTCTTATTATGTCATGTCTGACTGGTGACGTTTTGTTCCTTCCAGGTCAAGGACCGCCAGTTCTGGGAGCAGCAGGAGAAGGAGCGCATCGAGAAGCTGGTGGAGGAGCGCGAAGTGGCGGTGCAGCACCGCGAGCGCCTCGCCCGCATGTACGAGGACAAGGAGGAGTTCCTGAACCAGCTCATGAAGGAGAGGAACTCGGCCTTCGAGGACAAGATGAGCGCCTTCCAGGAGCTGCTCGAGTCCGAGCGCAAGAAGCGCCTGCAGGAGCGCCGCGTCAAGCGCAAGAACGACCGCCGCGAGAAGTACTACCGCCAGAAGCGCGAGGAGCAGGAGCGCAAGGAGCGAGAGGAGCGCGAGGAGAAGGAGAGGAAGGAGCGCGAGGAGCGTGAGGAGAAGGAGAGGAAGGAGCGCGAGGAGCGGGAGGAGCGCGAGAGGAAGGAGCGCGAGGAGCGCGAAGCGGAGGAAAAGTGAGTTTGGGTCTTGTCCGATTTGTCGCCCCACTGTGCCTTGGCACCAGGCGCTGACGCTCTCGCTCGTGTGTTGCAGGAAACGCAGGGAAGCCCTCGACCGCCAGGCCAAGATCCAACAGGAGCGTCTGGACGAGATCGAGAGGCGCAACCGGGAGAGCGAGAAGGCCTCCGCACCCTCCTCAGCTGCTGCCCCTTCCAGTTGGCGCCGGTGAGTGTCAGTGCGGCGGCCCAGCGGCACCGCTTTGGCGTCTGGGCTGCCGGACGAGGGCTTGACGTCGACTTGTTTTGCAGAGGGGGCGACCGGGACGAGCGCGGTGGCCGCGACGACCGGCGGGATGACCGAAGGGACGAGCGCAGGGACGACCGCGACGCCCCGCGCGGTGGGGACAGCTGGCGCCGAGGAGGCGAAGGTGGTGGCTCCGAGCCCGCCAAGGAGGCCTGGAGGCCAGGTAAGTACCCTGTCGCGTGTTCGCGTTCACGCACCCCTTGACTTCTGCTCTCACACTCTGTCTCCGTCTTGCTTGCAGCCCGGCTCAGGGAGGGAGGCAGCGACTGGAGATCGCGCGACGCTGCCGAGCGTGAGGGCCGTGAGGGCGGCGATGCTGGCGAGGGCGGCAGGGACGCTGATCGCGACGCTGGCCCCCGCGACATGGATCGTGGCGGCCGCGACCGCTTCGACCGCGATGGCCCCCGTGACCGCTTTGACCGGGATGGTGGTCGCGATCGCTACGACCGTGATGGTGGCCGCGACGGAGGCCGTGGCTACGACCGTGACGGCGGCCGCTATGGCGACCGCGGCGACCGCGACCGTGGCTTCGGAGGCCGTGACCGCCCCGCCGAGTCCGGCAGCTGGCGCCGTGGGCCCGCCCCTTCAGCCGGTGGCGAGGACGACGACGACCGGCGCGGACCTCGACGCGACGACCGCCGGGACGACCGTGGCGGCATGAGGCGGGATGACCGGAGGGAAGCCCCAAGGGAACCTGGCGCATGGCGCAAGGAGGCCCAGCCCCCAAGGAAGGAGGAGTGAATGGGTTCAATCATCAAAATCTGGACTCTCTGAAACATTGTTCTACCTAGTATTTTCATTGTTTTCATATTCTTATTGGTCGGAATTTTTTTTTTCTGTCGCTGTTAGTTTTGGAACTGAGTTTCGCAGATGTGTGCTGATTGTGCTGGTTGGACATCCAGCAAGCTTCGGCTCTTACTGGCTTCCTAGATGTTTATTTCCCCCTGCTCCATTCCAATTATGTCGCCCTTCCACGAGCATCCTTGGCACACATCTATTTTTAAAAAACTAACTTTGAAACATGTTTATATGACCGTGGCCCAGACACTGACCGTTGACCACCTCAGCCCCGGAGCATTATCTGCTTTACAGATTTGGGGGAAATGTTCAAATAATACTGAATCGCCACCTGCTCTAGGCATTGATTGCTGCATGATTTATTCTTGTTTGTCATTTGTGATTGTAATTTGTTCTTGTTGAGCCCAAAGGGTTCGTCTTGACTCTTCCCTACTGTCATTGCCACATTTTGCTTCATGCCTGTTATGTTGAATTATGCTATTATTAATTATTCAGACGGTTTCAAGTACTAATTACAAATGCTATTTTTAATATGGGAGTTTTTCTCTGAAAGGATATATTTGGCGGTACTTTGTGTTGGAGTCTATATAGTTGTAAGAAAGGTTTGTCCCTTCACTTTGTATTAAATTATGGGAACTGTATTAGCATGTGTTTTCATTCATCTCCCTTCCTTTTGTGATTGTGGAATGGAAGGTTAAATATTATTGCCATTCCTCTTTTATTACTTAATTCACTTTTATTCTTAATCACATTTACATCTGACACTAATTACTTTGTGCATCACCTCACATAAATATTTATCTCCAGTGTCATGCAGAAAACTTAGAACAATTTTCCTCTTAAAAATACCTAATCTAGAATCAGGGATCGGATATTATTACAATTAGCCAACAGTATCAGTCTTGCACCAACCCCGTCATGAGTGATTCTGGACTGCAAACAGAGGTGGGAAATGGCACATCTTAATTACAATTATTTGTTTGGATGCTAAGACTAAGTACACTTAACTTGATGAGGAATACAGGAGTGTATTTCACAAAGGAATGATGACTATTTTTGTTAAATAATGAGATTAATTAGTGACAATGATGCCTATATTAGTGGGAATTTAATGACCGGTAGATGCTGGTAGAGCTTTGAAGTTATCAAGGTCAGTTTTCTACTACACATTCACATGCACAATGTGAATCACATGTTGAAAACATGATACAATCCTACCAGACACACTTGAAGGTGAATATAACAAATCTACTTTTAAAAAGGCTCTCGTAAATCCAAATCTTAGTTTTATGCGAACCGGAAGCAGTAATCTAAGACAGGTGAAAGAAATCCCTCTAAAATAAAGCACTCCTTACGAGATGAATGGCTGTTGAGCAAACGCATGAAGGAGCCGTTCTTGTCCTTGGGGTGCCTACTTAGGTGGACACTTATCGTATACCTCGGCGAGCATGGGGGCTAGACAAACATGAAGAAGGCTTATGGTAAGAGATCTGTGCCGGCTACGCTCTCGACGCTCAAGGAGTGTGTACTTCTGGACTCAGGGTTCTCTGGCAGTTCATGAAGGGGGTCTCCACTGCCCAATGTGACTTGTCGCTAGACTCGGAAGGTCTGCCAAACTGGGGGCTTCGCTAGCTTCGCCGGCTCCAGTCTGGGCCAGTCTAGTACAGCATGATGGCTCCGTTGCCCTTCTCCTCCAGCATGGGCGCGGGCGCCGTCTTCTCGCGCGGCTCCCGGGTGCCGAAGTAGATGGCCGTCATGTTGAGGGCGTGCACCACTGCCGCGCCGACCACGAACCTGCAACAACAAGAGACTTTAATACAGGTTGGCTCTCCGACCCCAGAACACGAGCTTCAGACAGTGAAGGGAATACCGACCAGAACGAAGCCCCGAACGTAGCCATGTTGGTGGAGACCCAGTAGTTTTCTCGGTCCTCGCGTGTCATCACGTTGAACTGCAGCTTCTGGTGGAACTGCACCGCCCACAGGGCCACGGCGCCGAGGTCCAGCAGCACTGGAATCAGAGATGAGAGTTACAGCTGGTGCTCCAACGCGGGGTGGAGGCAGAGGGCACAGGGCACTCACTGGCCAGCGTGTTCCAGAGGTAGAGGCCGGGCACCCCCGTGATGGCCCCGATGGGCGTGGTGGCCGTGTTGATGACCGCGAACACCCCGGCCATGGCGCAGAAGAGCAGCGCGCCGCCCAGCGAGCAGATGGTGGCCACCCACAGCCCGTACAGCAGCAGGTCCTCCTCGGCCCTGGCCAGGTCCACCACTGCAATCACAAAAGAGAAGGAGGGTCAAAGATTAGAATCACGCACGGCAAAGCGGCAAAGCAACACACATACAGGGCTTCGTCGCCGTCTCTCGCACCCATACGGAACGCCCCACACGGGCGAGAGAAACAGCACGTCGAAAGCACTCGAGCGGCGAGCGAAGTGATGCACAAGTAGCCGGCTTGGCTTGGCAAGTGATTCAAGCCCCGGTGCCCTATGGTGCCCGGTGCGCCTCCTCGTCCGTGCAGCGTTGCAGCGGTGATGGCCTGCTACCGGAAAGGACCGCGGCTCCGGGACGAGGCTCTTGCCGGGCTGCACCGAGAGACCGAGAGGCTTGCCGAGAGGCGAGACAATAGTGTGTCGAGCCTTTTGCATGCGCTAACGGCCCAGCGGGAGGGGGAGGGGGAGGTCACCAGTTGGAGGCAAAGGCAAGGCGAGAGGAAATGAGGAGTACAAGAAAGGGACTCGCAGCATCGCGGTTGAGACTTGAGCGACAGCGACGCCCCGATGCGTCCGTCCTTCCCGTCCCTCCACGCGTCGTTAGCCGCCACGCTGGAGACGCTGGAGACGCTGGAGTGGGCGGCGGCCAGGCCGCGGTACAGTACTTTACGGCGGACTTGCGCAAGCAGCGAGCGCACCGCAGCCCACAGCCGCGCTAGACACGGGGACCGCACTGGAGTGCATCTCTTTGGCCGTTGGCGCGTTTCCGGACCGACAGTCGCTCGGCGCAGCTAGGCGCAGCGCCCCGCCAGATTCGCAGAGGTTGATACGGAGTCGGAGCGGGCCACGCGAAACGCGAACATCGTCCCGCGTTCCCGCGGCCGGAGGGTGATTCAACAGGCATGGGCCATCGGGCATGGCGCCACCCCGCGCCACCCCGCGCCACTGCACCGGCTAAAGGTCAAAAGTCGCGTCCGGAGCCGATCCTGGCCTGCGCCTTAGGCAGAGTGCTTCAGAGTGCCGGTGTCAAGCGGCCCGAGCCAACAACCAAGTCTACGACGGCGCGGAGGCCTCCTCGCGGTAGCCACGCTGGACCACCGGGGCGTGCGAAACGCCAAGTGGGAAGAGCGAGTGAAGCGGCAGGCTCCTGTCCTGCCTGCTCGGCGGAGGACCCTTAACCCTTCTCGTCGGGCTGTCGGCCTGTCGGCCCGTGGGAATGGCGCGTCCACAACGCGGACGACGTACACGTGCAGCTGCACATTTTTCGGCCGCCGCGACGGCAGCTCTCGTGCGGCCGCGTGGCCGCGACGACGTAACGAGAAGAAAAGGGGGGAGGGGAGGGGGATGCCTCCACGTGTGATTCTCTCGCGCCCACTAGAGGCAGAGCGAAGCGCCGCAGCGCCGCTGGAGCGAGAGAAAGCGATTCGCGGAAAATGCGGCTGCAGCGCGGCCAGGCCGCGGCCGGGCCGATCTCCAAAACGCGGCCCGTCCGTCGCACCGCACCCCTTTTAATTTGGCCCCGGCCCAGCCCACTCGCCTTCTTGACGCGCGGAGAGGGAATGACCAGCAGCGGGTTCGGCGACGATCCCCACCGGTCCCCACGCACGCCTCGTTCGTGCACACTGCGAGTCGCCGGCGGACTCGCCTTCATTTCCAGTGGCGTGCGCGTCTGTGTGTGTTTCTGTCTGTGTGTGTTACGCCGAGGCAGAGCGCGTTGCCGCAGGCGTAATTCGGCACCAATGGGACCTGCTGGGCCGGGCGGCCGGGCTAGTCACTGCGCTAGGCTGTGCTGGCCTGGGCTGGGCCAGGGTAGGCCAGGGCGGCTCGTAAGCGTGATCACGCTGATGGCGAAAGTGCGACACGCAGACACGCGGCGCGACGTGCGAATCGGGCCGCTGTGTCTACAGTCTACACTGTGCACGGCATTGTGCTCGGTGACGCCGTGACGGCCCGACGGCCCGGCCAGCGAGGTAGGCAGCCCGCAGAGGGTGAGTGGTAACCCGGCAACCCGCAGCGGTCGTTCCCCGCGGCCCGTCCGTTGCCGGCCCGCCGCGTAATTGCTCCCGGCTCCGATGGGCCCAAATTGGTCCAGGTGGGCCCACAGCGGCACAGCCGCCAGCACAGCGGCCTAGGACGGCAGGACTCCAGCCGCGACTCCAGCCGCGACTCCAGCCGCGACTCCAGCGGCCCAGCAGACAAAGCCGGCGTCTCCAATCAGCCAATCAGGCCCGGAGTCTGGAAATAATGGCACTGGCCGTTTTGCGGGCAAGCCGGGGCAAGCGGCGCACCGCGGCGCACGGGTCTCGTCGCGGGGAGGGAGGGGCGGCGCTCTAGGATTCATCTAATTCTCTTTTAATTGAGTTCGTTGACTACTTCGGCCCCGGGGCAGGCAGGCGAAGCAGACGACGCAACGCCCTAATCCGCAACAGTATCGGCCCGCTTCCCCTCGTTATTCAATTATAACGTCACGAGGATGGCGGCCGATGGCGGCGGAGTGGCGTCTAGTCTCCGGCGGCAGGCTGCTGGGCAACACCAATTATTTCATTATCGGCAGCGCAATAAAAAGCGAGGCGCCGTGGCCATAGCGTGGGCGGCTCCACGGCGGCAAGGAGGAGGAGGAGGAGGAGGAGGAGGCCACCAGGCTGGTGACAAACTACCACCTGCCGCCACGACCGCGCCACCGAGCACGCCGCAGCCTCGCAAAAGTTTCACTCGAACTTTGGCCCCCCGCGTCACTGTGGGTAGGACACAGAGGCAGGAGGCAGGCAGGCGGTGCGTGGCGACGGCGCCGCGGGACCGCACCGAGGTGGAACGGCTTGGAATGCTCACGGAATCCTCTGGAAGGCGAAGACCACCGTGCTCGCGGACAGGGGACACGGGGTGGCCTGGAGCTTGGCCTGGAGCGTGCTGGAATCCGCGAAGCCGCCCCCTCGGCAGCAACCCCGTCGATGTTTGCGATGCTTGCGATGCTTGCGCCACGAGTCGTGTGGTTTGGCCTGCCGGCCTGCCCGCCCCGCCGCGACTCGGCATGCGGGATGCGGTTCATTGCCCCCACCACCTCCCCAACCTCCCCGACAGCACTAGTCGTAAAACAGGCCGCAGTAATTTTCTAACCAAAGCAATTTCCTCACGCGCCACCGACCTCGAAGGTAAAGGTATTAGGTATTGTGACTTGCGACACTGCCAGTGCCAGGCACCAGGCGCCACTGGCTGGGCATGGCAGGCACGGCGGGGACCGCGGCGGGGACCGCGGCGACAGCAGCCGCGGGCGGCAGGGCCCTTCGCGCTTTCTATCGCACTCCTTGTTCTGTCACCGCAAGCGGGACAGTCACTATGCGTAAGCACTGGGCCGCACTGGGCCAGTCTGGGCCACCGAAAGCCTTCTCGGCCACATTTTATCCCCCCCCCCTTTCCCCGTCCAGCCGCGCACTGCTAGAAGTGCTAGATGTGGTTTCGCTGGACAGCCGCGGCTCAGCTCTTCTTCCTTATAAGTGTTTTTCTTTTCCTTTTCTTTTTTTTTCGCGGCGGCGCGGTGCGCTTAGACAGACACGGTGATCCCGCGACACCTGTCACTGGCCTGCCGGCCTGCGAGCCAGCCCCCGCGGCCCCGCCACCCCGCCCGGTCCCTTGCTCTGCTTCGTCCGTGCTTCTTTCATTTTCCTGGATCCCGGATGTCGGATCTTTTTAGGGGGCTGGCCGTGCCGGGCTGTGCCGCTCCCAAGGAGGGAAGTGAGTTTCCCCTTTTCGTCGCGTTTTTGCCCTGCACTGGTCGTAGATCTGCAAAGCACGAGCACCCCCACTGGAACTAGGCCCAAGGGAATGCCACGCGGATTGACACGGGAAGCCTTTTTCCACCCACGTCGCGCAGGGTCCCTGCAAGGGCGCATTTGACGGGCTGCCCTCCACAGTGGCTCGCCTTCCGGTCCGGCAAAGAACAAAACAAACACGAATCGGACGTGTTTGCCAAAGCATAGCTGCGCGCTGCGTTCAAGTCACTGCACCGTGGCGCTGTAGTGCGCGGGCCGCAGCCTTTATTGCTGTTTCCGGCGAGAACGGCAGACGGCGGCGGACTTGGACGCACTTCCGGAATGGCCAAGGGCCACGCCAGCCACGCCGCGCCACGGCGAGGCTCCGGGGAAGGGCACAAGTCGGGACGGGAGAGTCCGGGGCGGCGGCGTTGCCGGGCTGGCTGGCTGGCTGGCTGGCTGGCTGGCTGGCTGGCTCGGGCACCCGCCACCCGCCGGCCGGAGCCGAGGCAAGCCGCCGAGGCGAGTCAGCGGAGCGCGGAAGGCAGACGCGGCGGCAGCGAGTCCACCCACACAATCACTTGCACACAGCGTCACGGCGACGGGGGGAACCCAGAAGGTCTCCAAGCACAGCCCGGCCGAAAGCACGGCGACAGGGCGGCGCCGTGCCATAGAGCGCTGAGTGCGCTACACGAGTGAGCTGCACGAGTCCGAGTACGGGTTCCATTACCTACGCCATGCCCCCTTCTGATTAACATGCCCGTGCGATGGCCGTGCGCCTCGGGCCATACACTGTACACGCGCATACGCACGCGCTGTTCCGCGAGGCTACGCCGGCTGCGCGGGGCTACGCGAAGCGTGCCGCGCCGTCAAGCGCGCCGTCAAGCGTGCCAGACTCATTCCGGAGAGGCGTTGCGTTTCGCCGCTCTGTCTCTGTCGCGCTCGTGTGGCGCTCCGTGGGGGTGCGAGGGAGAGAGGCAGAGCGACAAACTGGCGGCCGAATGAATTGTGTCGCCCGGAAAGGGTAGAGGGAGGGAGAAGGAGAGAGGCTGGTCGTGTCGTGCGGGCGGAACCGACGAACCGACGCACACACTAAATCTCGACTCGTCTGCCCCACGCGCACGGCCGTCGCCGTCACGACCTCATCCCACGTCGCTCACGATGCGCGGCCTGCCCGAGTCACTCTGTCTCTCTCGCGCCCCTTAAGCGCCCCGTGAGTGCGAGAGAGCGAGACCCTGGGCGGGCAGCCCCTAGTGTGCGCAGGGTGCAGCATATCTGTGTCGCCGCGCGGCCCGACAGTGGCGCTGCACGGTGTGCGATTCACTTGATGGTCCTCTCGGAGCCAAAAGTGTTCCAGTGGCACTCGAGCGGCACTGCAGCCTCTGCAGCCGGGCCACGCGAGGTGTCTACCAGTGTGGTGTCGCAACGTCCCGACAGCCTCTCCGTCGCAACCCTTGATCCCACACATGGCGACGCCGTTTGGCAAGAGCAGCGAGACGCGCCCTCTGGAGTCTGGAGGTGAGGGCCCTGGAGGTTCCTGGAGCGGAGCGGTCCGGCTCGACGCTCGACACACGTCTCGCTTCGTCTCGAGGCGCGGCTCTTTGAGACGCTCTCGACCCACTCGAGCACATCGTGACACCGCGGAATCACTTGGCGGAGGACGGCCCGGAAGGCCCGGGTGGGGGCGGGGGAGGCCGACGGGAAGGCCCTCCGCTCCACGCCGTCCTGGAGTCCTGGGCGACAAAAACCCGCACGGTCTTGGCCGCAGTGCAGCCTCTTCCTCGGCCCAGTTCATCATTTCGGTCGCCAGCGGCCGCCAAGGAGTGGGGAAACGCCGCAGCAGCGGCAACAACCAACGAGGACGATTTGTCGGCGGTGACCTTGCGATGCAGTGCAGGGAAAGTGAAAGAAGCTTCGTCCAGCGCGGGCGGCGCGGCGGCGCGGCTGGAGGCTGGCGGCTGCATCATCGCGGGGCTGCGTCGCGGGGGACCCCTCGCCTCGGACGCGGCCCGGCCCGCCCCGCCGCGGCAATCGTTTGGGCATCACGGCGGAGAGTCGCCTCAAAAAATGTTTTCCCTGGCGATCGGCGAGGCGGATCTTATTCAACGGCAGGCACGGCCTGGCAACGGCCATGCTGCAGCGCGGCCGCGCGGCTACGCAACGCGCCCCCGTGGCCTACTACCCCGCTGTGCAACCGCCACCCCGCCACCAGCGCAGCGAGCGCAGCGAGGCGGCGTCAAACACTGCGACGAGAATGGCATCGCGTCGTGTGTGTCTAGTCTTTGTCCTTTCGCGCGACGCCACGCCGATGGCGCAGTCACTGCCAGGCAGGGGCCTGAGCGTCCACACACCACTTCCAGACTCCCAGGCACCAAACCCCTTGGCCAGCTTGCACACGCCGATGCACGGGCGAGACTAGAGGCGAGATTTTGAAAAGGTGAAAACGGAAACGGAGAGAAAAGGTCTGGGCAGTGTACTAGCCCAGTGGCCGCGGGGTTGTGTTTGGGTTGCACGCCACGTCACGCGGCCCGCGCACGCGCGCACGCACGCAACGCACATGCAGGCACGCGAGCAGGCACGCGCTTTTGAACGAGCAAGGTGAAGGCGAAGTGCGGTGCAAAGCAGAGCGTGGCGCCACGGAGAAAAACAATTCGGTGGTTCCGTCATAATCAAACAAATTTGCTCGCAGAACCAACAATTTGTCGGTATATCCGTTGGCGGGGCATTAACCTCGATGAAGGGACAAAGTCGAGATTTCCTTTCCGTTTGTTCCGCCAACGGATTGTTTGTTGTACCAGCAAATGATTCGTCCCGCGGGGAACTTTCTTTGGCGACAGGGGGACTCTGGGACTCTTCGGCACAGTGCTGCACCGACCGCGGCCATTTTGAATTAGAACGGCAAGACAGCCGTGTTGCCGGTTCCGCTCCTTGCCGGGCCGCGCCGCCCGTGCCGCCACGCTGTCTTGCGCCTCGTGATGATATCGCTGGCCGCTGGGCCGGGCTGCCACGGGCTGCCATGAGGCACCATGAGGCACCATGAGGCTGCCAGGCTGGAACTAAACGCACTCGCCTGCCCTGCATGACCTTGGCAGTGGCTGCCCGCCAGGCCCGCCGCCCGCATGGACGCCACGGGCCCACACCCCCACCCCCACACTCCGCTGACCGTTGGGTTGGCCGTTGGCCCTGCCAGTGGCCTGCCCTGCCAGTGGCCTGCCCGGCCGGCCGCTGCAGACTGATTCCGAGCGTCGTTTCCGTCGCTCTGCTGTAAAGGTGCGGGAGAGACAGAGCGACGAAAACGACTGCTGACTCTTCTTGTCTTTTCGAGGGGGTCTTTGCGGCGAGGCGGCCGGGCTGTCGCCGTTGGTTGGTCTCCACCGGTGGCCACACGACCGCACCGCTCTAGGCTGCAGTGCAGCAAGCGGAGCGGAACGCCTCCGAGCAACCCCCTTGCCGCCGCTGCTGCTCTGCCCGTCCAGCATGCGGTGCAGTCGTGACAACGATGACGCAACGTCGACTTGTCGACGTGGTCCTCCGTGTCCACGTCCCCGGGGTCCTTGCCGTCGCGCAGGTTGCCGAACCCGCGCCGCCGGCCGCCAGGTGCCAATTGTCACACGGCCCCGCCGCGCTTTAACGGGAGGGCCGACGGCGGAAGACCAAAGACAGTACCGGCAGCGTGGCACGGCGTGGCACGGCGTGGCACGGCACGGCGGCGCCAAGGTCGTGGGCGGTGGGGCGTAGCGCCGCGCAGCGCGTCGTGCCGCGGGGGTCGACGAGGGTTTCCCTGCCTGGCGACCGCCTGACGCGGTGCCAGTGTGCCAGCGCAGCGTGCCGGCCTGCCAGGAAGGGACGCACGATAGCGTCACTCCGACTGCAGCACTGGAAGGCACGGCACTGGAAGCACGCTGCACTATCACGCCTCCCGATCAGCCACTCCGTGTGCGTGTGTGCATGTGTGCATGTGTGTGTGTATACACCCCGCATTTTCGAGGGACTCGGCTGCAGCGATCCAAATAAGTCAGGTTGCCGCCCGGGCCCGAATTCATGAGAGAAAACGCCTCCCCGAGGCTGGGCCGCACGCGTGCAGCGGCCGGCATGGCAGCGGCCACACAGTGCAGAGGAACGAAACGAACTAGACACTAACTGGCCGGCTGGGGCTCCTGCTCCCAGGGTCCGCGAAAAGAGTTACGACCCTCCACCGGCACTGCCACGGCACTGTCCGGGCAGAATCGGGAATGTTCTGCAGCTAGAAAGGCGAGCGGCCCGACGCCGGCCCAGTTCCGGGACCAGCCCGCTTTAGCTCTGCTCTCCACGCGCGCCGTCGAGTCTGTTTATTCAAATTCGAATCCGCTCCAAAAGTCGGCGCCGCGCCACACGCCACAGCGCACGCGCTTAATTTCTGACCAATCTTGTTTGTACATTCTGATTCTGGTTTGATCGTATTACTCCTGATTCATCGCGGATGAATTCTCATGTCGAACATGATCCTTTCATTGTTGGAGTTCGTGGGAGAGGGCCGCGTGCGTGTTTGGCGCGTGCGCGTGCCGCATGCGTGCCGCGCGGCAGTGAAAGTCACGGGACCTTTCTGTCGCGAGCGTCATTATTCAAATCGGATCGGCGTAACGTCCCGGCTGATCCCACGCGGTGCCGTGCCGTGCCGTGCCGCGCCGCACGCCTGTGGGGGCGGGCGCTGGCTGGCTGGCTGCATGGGCTGGGCCACACTGGCCACACCACTATAAGAGGTGCGAAGTTGAGGTTATGCTGCCGCAGGTTTCGTTTTCACACTTATCCAAGAGCAGCGGCGGCGTTCTTTTGTCAGAAAAGCTCGCTAAATGGCGGCTCTTTCCCACCAGGAACGGGTTCCACTTTATGGGCGCGCCTGCACTGTAATGAAGGACCTGACAAAGGAGCCAGGGAGGGCATTGTTCGGAAGGAAAACACGTAATTGGGAATCAAGCGACTGGTAATCAATCACGGGACGGTTGTACGGCTGATCTATGTCGGGCACTCACAGTGAATGCGGTCTAGAAAGCTGCGCGCCCGAAAACACACAAGGTAATTTTTTTTTGAGACGCGGGAACCGGTCCTCCGCGCTCCGCAGCGGCCGCTGGGTCGGTGCGTCCGAGCGCTGCATATACGACCGTCCGCCGTCGCCGGGTCGTCGTCGCCGGGCCGAGCAGGTTTTTGTATCGCCGCAAGTTCATCGCCACCTTGACACTCGGTGCGTCCGCCGTCCACTTTGTCTGCCCGACTCGCTAGAAATGGGGCGGGGAAAGGGGAAAAGGAGCGTCGCCGACGCATTTTACTCGACGGCGAGAGGAATGTCAGACAATCCCGGATGGCCACGCGCATTAATTTTTCTGTTCGAATTCTGCAAATACGCCTCGGGCGCGTTGCGCGCCTGAGATGCGCGCGCATCCCCGATGGGCAGACTTATGTCACCACGGTCATCTCGTCTTGACCGTTTCCTTCTTATCGGCGAATGCAATGTCTCGGTGCAGCAGTGCCGCCGCGATGCCGTTGCGCAATGTGAGTTAGAGGCGACACAAGTCGTTGCCGTTTCCACAGCCGTCCAATTAGCTACTCTCAATTTCCCATCGTTACAACCTGGCATACCGCATCACAGCTGGAGGTGTGTGAGTGTGTGTGTGCCGGGAGGCTGTTGCCCGCCATTGTCCGCGCCAGGCTTGTCGCCGAGAGGCGTTCTCAGGCCGTCTTTCAGCATTTCACTAATTGCTGCAAGGCTTCGGCCGCCTGGCCGGCTCCGCCCCTCCGCCCCCATCGCCGCCACACACCTGTCGTCCCCTCCCACGGCCCGCCCGGCCCGCCCGGCCCGCCCGCCAGCCAGCCAGCCAGCCAGCCCGGCCGGCCGGTGACACCAAATTCAGTCGAATCAGTCAGTGGGCGGTGCGGCCACGCCCGCCGCGCGCTCGGCCGGCCGGCCACGCACCGCACAGCGCACAGCGCGCAGCCACGGCGCGACCGAAACCGCAGCAGCAACCTCAAGGAGGGAGCCTCAAAGAGGCCGACCGCGACGAGGCGAGGCTAGCGAGGCCGTGGCACGGAAAACGATCACATTTCATTAGGACGCGACATGGTGACATGGTGCAGCAGGCGATCCGCGTTCTTCCCGCCAATGGCGCTCGGCCGCGGCTCAGCACGGCACGGCACGGCGCGGCACGGCGCACGCAGAGGATGTTTATCGCGGGCCGATTCATCATGTTCTTGTGACGCGCCATTCCACAGCGAGAAAAACGAAAAGGGGCAGAAAACGAAATGGGCGGCGCTGCGGACTGGACTGCGGAGCTATTCAGGCGCGGCAGCGCGGCACGACAATGACGATGCTATCGCACTGCTCTGTCTCTCTCGCACCCCTACGGAACGGCCCTCGAGTACGAGGGAGACAGAGCACTGTCCGCAATGGGACAGCATGGGGCCAGCAGGGGGCAGTGGCTAATTAAACCAGGTGACGCTGCGACGCCGCTTCCTCATGACGGTGTGCCGGCGTGCCCCACAGGGCCGCAGCGTGGACTCGACTCCAGGGCCGGCCGCTGGAACGCGGCGACACACGACAATCTGCAGGCATCGCTCTGTCTCTCTCGCACTCATGAGGCGTTCCCCACCGGTGCGAGAGAGATGGAGGAGCCAGTGTTCGCAATCAGCCTGCCGCCGGCCGGGCGTTCCGGAGGAAAGCAGCAGGCCGCCGTGGCGTGCCCCGCCGCCATCAGGGCCGAAACCCAACGCGACGGTCCTGCCGGCGGCCACCGCCCGCCCTGGCCTGCCCTAACCGTTGTTGCGCGGCCGCGTCGCCGTCCCAACGTCCCATCCCCGCGCAATTTGAAGCAGTTATGATATACTTTCCCTGACGTGACGAGGTGCCCCGCCCCGCGCGACTCCCACGCGCCCCGCCACTGCATGCGGCGCCTGGCTCACTCTCTCCGGAGCCATCCCTTTATTACGGCCGTCTTGTTGGTGCCTGCACTCGCAGCGGCCAGTGCGCAGTGCGGCCAGTGCGCTCGTTGGGCGCCTTATCGTCCGCCCCGCCCCGGAGGAGAGCAAATTGCGGGGTAATGATTATGATTACAATGAGGCCGGCGCGGCTAACAGGACCACACGTGCAGTGCGGCGCGGGCTGCAGGGCAGCGACGCCGGAAAATGGATTCCTCGTTGGCCAGCGCGTGTGGCGATCCGTGAGGGTGCGAGAGAGACAGCGCGCTGCCCGGAAGCAGACTGCTGGACGTGGAACGTCCGCGACGGGGACCGCGCGCCAAAGCCCACATAGCTTCCCCCTCCCCCTCGCCCTCGCGAGGAATAAGATTTAAATCAGGTATGGAGTGGAAGGGGGAGGCAAGAGCTGCAGACGTAGGCACGTAGCGGACTCCGGGCTGCGCCGCTGCGGGGCGTGGCGGTGGCGCGGCGGCGGGGCCTGGCCAGGCCTGGCGCGGTGCCGAACTTGACCCCGATACCTCGGAGATGATCGTACCCGGCCTGGCTGCCTGCTGGCTGCCTGCTGGCTGCGTCGGGACACACGCTGGCAGGCATTCCGGCGCTTCGCTTCCAGCGAGGCTTCCAGCGCCTCGCCGTCTTCCAGGGTTCCAGGGGCCCACGCGGGGTACCTTCCACTGTCCGGCCCGGGTGGACACCTGACGGGGGGCCTGACCATGCCGAGCCACTGGGGGAGAAGACAGGGGGAAGATCCCGGGAAAATGAGTTTTGCAGAAATCCCTTAAAAATTAAAAGGAAAAAATTTAGTATTTTCGTTCATACTAGATTTTAGAACAAGGAAATATGGATAGGGATGGCTATATGATAAAACTGAGGTCCATATTCTCAAGGAGAGCCGCAGATTATGGGCCTTACGTTTTAAACCCACACTTCGTTCCTGCACCCCCCTTCCGGTGATTTTTCATCTTTATTCATATGCCATTATTAACGGGTATAATGGAAATCCTTATAAATCATAAACCTAGCAAGCGGGGTTAAAAGAGCCCTTTTACCGGGCCCTGTTCAGACTACAGCACACGATGGCGCTCGCGATGGTGCCTCGCGTTCCGCTTCATGACTGGGGGGGGGGGGGGGCGCTGGTCCGGGCATTGCCGCCGCATGAACGGCCGGTCCGCCATGATGCTCATTGTGCCGGCGAGGCGGTTCGGCCGGAGAGACGCGCGCCGCGGTGCGAGTCTTGTCACCTCGGCGTCGTCGTCCTCCTCGTCCCCAGGGCCTTGTTCCGGCGCTGCCGCCGCGGTCCTTTTATTCGCCACTTTCACTGCCCCATTCGCCCCTCGGGCCGTTAGGGGCCGCCCAGCGGAACAGCGACACGTGTTGCAGTGTGCCTGCCGAGCTGCAGAGCGGCAGAGCTGCACAGCAGGGCAAGTAGTGCACGCCGAGTGACACGCTGCGCTTTCTTCGCGAGGCTGGCCGGCATGGACCCGGCAGGGACGGCAGCGCCCGCAGCGCCCCGGCCGTGACGGCGACGCGGTGGCGTGGCGGCGATAATGAATGTTCGCGCCGCGCCGCGCCGCATCAAGCAGGCGAAGCAGGCCTCTCGCCTGGACGGCCCGACGGCCGGGCAGGACGATTGGAGGCAACGAGCTGCGCAGACCGGCAGAAGCGGCGAGGCGCGCTTGGCGGAAAACGCCTGCGGGGTAGGCCAGCGCGGGCGCCTCCGCGCAGCCGTGCGCGGGGGTTGCCTGTCGGCAGCCACACGGCGCTCGCCTCGCCGCTCGGCCACAGCGACACCGACGGCGTCCTGGCCACCACACCGCCGAGGCTGCGTGTTCCAGCGCGGCCCCGTGGCGCTCCACTTGATCACGAAGCACGGCAAGCGGCTCCTGCTCCGCGTGTTGCGTGCGTGGGCCGCCGTCGGGCTGCTTATGGTGGAGTCGTGAGTCCGCCTGGCCGTGCGTATGTGCGCCGGGGCGGATTGGCTCCTACAGTGCAGAGCGCACGTCTGCCCTATCCTTTCCGCTGTCAGCATGTCGGGCTGGACGCAAACTAGCGCCTGGCGTGGATAGGCGTGCCGAGATGCGCTGCCCGATGAGAGTTTCGGCAGGCCGCGGAGAGCGCGAGGCGCGCCGCTCCATACGCCTGTCTGGCCCAGGGCGGCCAGGCTGAGGAGGCAGGGAAAGAGAGAGAGAGAGAGAGAGAGAGAGAGAGAGAGAGAGAGAGAGAGAGAGAGAGAGAGAGAGAGAGAGAGAGAGAGAGAGAGAGTGGTTGGCTTAACCCACTGACGACCGACGCCGCGCTGCCTGCCGCCGGTAGCGCCCCGCCAGTGCCACGCCTCGTCGCGGAAGGCAACTGCCTTCTAGCTCAGTCGTTGATCCGTGGCGGAATATTCAACTTTTTCTCCCGGCGGATTCAATGGCCCGCCGCAGGCTAAAGGCCGATTCCGCACAGCGATTCGTCGCTGTCTCTCTCGCACCGCGAGGGAAGGGCGCCCTTTTCACACGGTCGCACACCATCATTGCGAGAGAGAAGGCGCGACGACGCCGACGTGCGGAATCATTCTGCTCGGAAGGCCCTCCCAGGCGTGCACTCGACTCACCGTTGACGTCGTAGGACCGCCAGCCGTAGGCCACGTTGAGCTCCTTCTTGCCGTGGAACAGGCCGAGGGCCACGCGGCCCTGCGACTCGTTGGGGTTGGAGGTGCGCACGGCCTTGGCCGTCACCCACTGGCGCGTGGTGAGGGCCGCCACCAGCAGCCCCAGCGCCAGGCACGCGCCCAGGAAGGTGACGAACACCATGCCCCGCTTCCACAGGTTCATCGTGGGGGTCCTGGGCTGGGCGCGGTGCGCGGCGGTGGCGGCGGAGGCGGCGTCACGTCAGTCCGGCCCGGCCCGCGCGCCGCGCGGTGTGCATCGCGGGGACACGACCTGCAACAGAGAAAAGAAAAAGGGTTCACGATCGCGTCTCGAACCCGCGACCCGCGACGCGGCAACATTCCTCGTTGCGCGTTGCGGCGTTGCGTGTCCGGGGATCAAGTTTTGATGGGACAGGTGCGTGCCGCTGCCGGCCCCCAGGCCCCCAGCACGCCGTGGCCCCCTTGTCGATGATGAGCCTCCTGCTGGATAAGTAATAATGTCGTCCCCGGCGCGATGCGACCTCCTTCGAGGGGAAGAAAATCGGTAGATAAGGCGGCGATCTTGATCGAACCAGACGACACTAGCGGCCAGCAGGCCGACACGACAACGACGTTAAGTCGTTAAGTCAAACCGACAATGGTCTTGTCGCCCGATGCCTATCTGTGTCGTGGGCCGGGCCGGGGCCTACACGACGCTCAGTATGGCGGGCGGCGCGCCGGTAGCCGCGTGGCCGAGGCTGCCGAGGCGTGCGCCGAGCGTTTGGCGGCCTGCCGGGCAGCACGCTGCACGCTGCACGGTGGCGCCTCGCCTCGACGTGACACTCCCACGCCGCCGGCCGCGGGTAGACGCCCTGACCTGCCCCATCGGCGCGCGCCTTGGCCGCCTTGGCCGCCCCGCAATCGATGCCGTTCGACTCTGTCTCCTTAATTCAGGTGGCCTACTTCCCTTCCAGCCTTAGCACCACGAGCACGGCGCGCTCAGCGGTTTGCCTGTTTCCTCGGCGCTTCCGCGCTGCCGCAGACGTGCCGCAGACTGTGTGCGTTGCGTTCTGCGTTCGTTCGGCGGAGGGCAGCGATGGGATGGCTCGCCACGCACCGCCACGCCAAACGAGACTCCACGGCCTCGGACCAAAGTGCATACATTTACACGGCAGCGCGCGGAACCTGTTCCACCCCACCCTGCTCCCCCCGCCCCGCCCCACCCGGCTTTCTTCCTGCGCATTCTTCATCTCCAGGCTCTGCTTACACAAGCACTCGTCTTTCCCTATTCGCATTCGAAGGCAAAGCTCAGCGCGCTCTATCTGCTCGTGATGGGCGCTATTGGAACTACTCCAGAGGTCTGTGGCGACTAACCCCAACACAATTTTCACTTTCTTATTTCGCTTTGTCACTTTAAAATCACTCTCCAGCACAAATATCTAAGTCACCAGTATTGTGAAAATGCCTTTCACTTAACCCAGTTTTAGGCTCTTTGCGTTTTTTGACGCTTTCAAGTCTAGAGGTCCCATGGTGACGTCACAGCCGACGGTGTCGCGCTCTGACGCCTTCGAATGCGAATTGGCGGAATGCAGCAGAATGTATGCCGCTGTAACATCAACATGGCGCGCTTCCTCACTTCCCCGGTCACTACCGGTCACTGCGCGTCGCTCCGGCTACCGGTACGGCACCGCAGCCTGGAGAATCTGGATCTCCCCGACGAGCAGGGTGAGCAGAGACGGGCGGATGCGTGCTGGGGGACTTCCAAGCGCGCTGCTGGACGTGCGTCCGCGTCCTGGAGACTTTCTGCGGGTCCTGGAGGCTGGGAGGCACGGAGCTTGTCTCTCTCCAGCTGGCGCGCTGGCTGTGTGGGCCGGGCATCGCGTTTGCGTGCCGCCGGGGACTAAAGGCACGCCGCCGTCCAAAGGCCAGTCCCTTGAATGGCACAGGCACGGCCGGGCCTTCCAGATCAAGGCTCCGGCCAGAGATTCGCGCGGCCTGCCTGCCTGCCTGCCGTGAGAAGCGAAACCCACCACCGGCGTGGCACTGCCTGCTGTGCTCCGCTGCCATTCCAAAGGTTCGGCCTCGTTCTGAGACTCATTAGGCGGCGCTGGGCCGGGCGCCGCAGTATTTTCGAGTGTTTGGATATGCAGGCGGGAGCGCTAAATGGAAGAGCACTGTGGTCCTTTCCCACCTTTCCCTGGAGCAGAACGACGAACGGCTGCGAAGACAGTGCCGCGTGTGTTCGAGTGAGTGAGTGCGTGTGTGTGCGCGTTTCCGTTAACACCGTCATTCCAGCAGAAGCCTCGGGGCGCCGTGCCGCGCTGCCCCAACAAAACGCCTCGGTGCCTTGTCCGCCGTGTCCGGCCGGCCCGGCGGTCCGCATGAGCGCGCAGCGCGCACTGCAGACCCGCGGCCCACGCCATGCGCCCCGCGGCACACGCACAATGGGCCGCGTAGTTAGTTCCGAGTGCGGTGGAGCGGTGGTGCGCAGCGCAGCCCACCGAGAGGAAGAAGTGCCCCGGAGGCCCGGAGGAGGGTCGCGGCCTTGGTCGCGAGGTCACGGCGCGGCCCGGGTGAAAGGGAAGCCCCATCTTCGGCGGCCATTTCCCCCCATTTCCCCGCGGCGGTGACAACAACAACAACACCGACAACAACAACAGTAACAAGAATAGCGCGGGCGGGGCGCGGAGCACGGACCGGGCGATCGCTGTGGGCACGCCGTCGAGGAACAGCCGGAGGAAAGCGGGAGTAAGGACTCCAGGGGCGTGCGGCGGGGACGGCGACGACGTGCTGCTGTGTGTGTGGACTGGACAGTGACCGGCCGTCCGCCAAAGAACGCAACAAGAGGAGGCCTTCCCTGCCTACGAATTAGAAACAATGGCTACGGTTTTATGAGCCTGCGCCCTTTTTTGTGCCTCTTCTTGCTTTCCCCCAATCAGATGCCGCGATGAGAAAAAACTTTTAGGCAAATGTCGGCGCGGCGCGGCCTTCCCCGCGGTGGCTCATTAAAGGCGCCGGCCCGGGGCGATAAAAATGAGCACCCGCTGCTGACGGGGCACGGCACGGCACGGCGCGGCCAGACGTGGATGAAAGTTCTGTGGCGGGGACAGCTCCATCGACAAGACTGCGACCCCGACCCCTCCGCGGAGAGGATCGCGATGCGGGGTCGCCTCCGAAAGCTGCCCCTGGCCTTTCCTGGGCGCCCCGGCGTCGGGACGACCGGGTGCTTGCCTGCCCAGCCTGTCCTCAGCGCGGACGACACGGCCGACGTCGCGGACGCAGCCCGACCGGCGAGTCCGAGTCCCGCCTAGAGCCCTGACCAGGTCACGCCGATAGGAATGGCAGGACACTGGGACACGGCGCCCAGCTTCGCCCAACCCAGCTTCGCCCGGCCCAACCGGAATCCAGGCGGAGAAATCAACGCGAAAACGAAACCATTCGCCCATTGGCCGGGCCGCCGGGCCCGCCAGGTGCTTTTCCTCCTCTTCCGAAAATAAAACGCGACCGCTGGGTATGAGTCACCGAGTCACTGCACACACCGGGCTGGACGTGGAGTCAGTGCACCGAGGGTGAGGACGCTGCGCCGCTACGCCGCCGGCAGAACCCGGAGAACCGCGGCGATGAGGTTCGCGTACCTATGTGTGGTGCAGGGCCGCGGCGCGCTGCTCCAAAAGTGGATAAGGTGTTAATCCTGCGTGGACGGGGACGACGCAAGCAGCGCAAGGCTCCGGGCCGGTCGGGGCTTGCAGTGCACCGGAGAGGCTGCCCTGCACGCCTACACTGCAGCAGCCAGGTGAGGGGCACCCCGGCACACTGGACACCACTACACTCGCGTGCACTCGCGGGGCGGCTCGTCACGCGCGCCACTTGCAGCTCGCACTTGTTGTTGCTGCGCGGTGCGGTGCGCGACGTGGAGACGCGGTCACTCCGGGGACGGGCGTAACGGTGACGGTCTTGCCGCGTCCGTGCACGGCGCCGCGTCGGGACCAACTAACTGCCAGGCAGGGAGGCAGGCAGGCAGGCAGGCCAGGGACCAGGGGCCGGGGTAGGGTGTCTCACCTGCTTCACCTGCCTGCCCCCTCTTCCCCCGCCCTGCCGCCCCCACCCACCCCCTCCGCTCCAGCTCCAACGGCCGGCTGGAGCTTGGAGCCTCCACGCTGGAGCCAGCCCAAGCCCACACGGGCCGGGCCGCAGCTAGCCGCGGCCTCAACCACAACCACGTCGCCGGGGCAGGCGGGGAGGGACGGGGAAGACTTTGTCCGTCCCGGCCGGAGCACCGAGCACGTCTTCCGTACCCTCAGGCTTCCCTCCGCGAAGTCGCAGAGCGCGATGGGTTGCCTACCCTCGCGGGGCTCAGAAGGCTTACGACAACGGGACGGATTCCTGTACTTTTGGCTCCTGGTAGTTTCTCAGTGTCAGCTCAATTTTCAAATGAATGAATTTGAATATTATGATTTATTCACTGCATTCTTCTTAAAAACTGATCACCAATTGAAGAATGAATGCTTTGAGGATTAAGGAGTCCAGTATTGTTGACAAATGAAATATACTTAGGGGAAAAGATCAGTAATGAACTGAAAATTAACAAGAGGAGCGCTGCTGCTTTTATTGCTTCAATCGTTTTTAATAACATTTCTAATGACAATATGTAAAGTTTGTGTACATTCACTTACAACAACAAACAATAACACTCCATAAAAAATGAATGACATAAGACATACATAAAGCGCACAGCGCTACAGTTTAATTAACCAATGAAATACAAATCACAATACCGGGTAGGCGCAAGCCTGAAATTGACTAGGCACAGCAAAGTATTAGGTTTCATTTCATAGCCAGCAAGTGTCTTATAGGAAGATAAAACTTAAACTCCATTATAAAGGCGAGGATTCGAATCAAATTAATAAATACTAATAAATAAAATTTCAATACTGTTTGAAAAAAGTAAAATGGAGTCACAATATGAACAAAAAGTCATATTTTACAAGGTGGGACATAATATCAACCTAATCACTTCATGCTAGGTTTAACGTAGATTGTTAATAATAGCATAGGTGAATTCTTGGGTAGTAGCTTGCCCGCCCAAGTCTTTGGTACGAACCTGCAGAAGATGAAAAGAATTAAATTAAATGAAACTTGAAGTCTAATCCAAACGTACCAAAACAATAGGCTTACCTTTCCACCCTTCAGAACCTTGTCGATAGAACCTCGGAGCATGTCTCCATAAAAGCGTAGATTAACATGATTCAGCATTTTGGCAGCACACAACAGCATGGCAGTGGGGTTTGCCACATTCTTGCCCACAGCTTGGGCAAATGTGTGCCGTGCACCCTGTTGCATTGAAAATTTTGACATTAGCCAACAATCAAACTTTCGATAACTACTCCAATCGAGTCGAGAAACTTACAGGCTCAAAGACCACACACTCTGCGCTGTAACTGGCGCCACCAACAACACCAGCTCCACCAACCAGGCCACAGGCCAGGTTATCCAAAATGTTACCATACAAATTAGGAAGCACCATTACATCAAACTGATGAGGGCTTGACACCATCTGCATGGTACAATTGTCCACAATCATAGCCTCAAACTCGATTTTAGGGTACAACTTAGCAATCTGCAAAACAGTGCACATGATTAAGGAACATAGGTAAAGACGTAACAAATTTTACTAAGAGAAAACAAAAACACAAAAAACAACAACACATCAAGTGAAAGCTTACATCTCGACAGCTCTTCAAAAACAAGCCATCACCAAGTTTCATGATGTTGGCCTTGTGTACAGCTGTGACCTTCTTACGACCGTTCTTGGTAGCATAATCAAATGCAAACTTAGCGATCCTCTCAGATTTAGCTCTTGTCACAATCTTCAGGCATTCAACAACACCCTAAAATCAAAGAAAGGATATATGAATCCACAGTTTATCATAAGAAATGCTAAGACCGATACTGTCTGCTCCCAATAGTCTTTTTTTTAAAAACAAACCTTGACGCTCTCATGCTCTAGAGCCGAGTATTCACCCTCTGTCATCTCACGGATGATGATGGTGTCGATGTTTTGGTGCCTGCTCTTAACGCCCGGCAGAGACTTCACATGTACAACATTAGCATACAGATCAAGAGTACGCCGAAGCTTCATGTTCAGTGTCTGCAGCTCACCAACGTTGGAGTAGTCAGGTGACGCCAATACACCCTGCAAATGCAACAGTCTAGAGTAAGTGTAGGGTAACATTTAAAAAAAATAAAAATTACAGGACAATTATGATTCTTGACAGCTATTCATAGCATCAATCTCACCTTCAGACAAATGCCATTTTTAGTAATAGAGTTGGTGACTTGATCCAGGGTGGCACTGAGAGTTGGATTTACTTCAGAAAAGAAGAAGGGTTCAAAGTCAACAGGAACACCAGCAGCCTGTGGAGAAAACAAAATTAACAGTTACACAAAGCAAAGTAGGGCAGGTACAGCTCAAACGCTCAGTGCACTTCTCCAGTCATACTTTGAATACTTCTTGAACTGAATGTACAAGCTCGGGGCCGACACCATCTCCTGGAATGAGGGTGCATGTTGTACGTCCCTCAGGTTTTGAGACTTCAGCTTGCTGGAAAATCCAAGAGAAAAATCATGCATGTTACCTTACTATCGGCTCCTGTTCCCACCATCGAGTGAGATCATGCTCATACTTACAATGAAAGCCGGTGGTGAAGAATGAATTAACCGGTTGCAAGGAGCTGCACACGCTGCGGGCACATTGTGAGCAACCTAGGCAAAAATAATGGGGGAAAATTAGAGGACTGGGCTGAGAGATAAAAATAAGGAAAGACTTTCTTCCAAACCTATCGTCTCAGATAGATCAATAAATAAATATTTTGAGATCCTGGAAATTAACAGTGAGAGTGACAAGAACGATTGCGTATAATGCTGGTAAATACAGAAAATGGTGAGCTACGACCTAGTGAATGGCCAAGAAGGGGACCTAACCTCACGCACTTGAGAGGACGAGAGTACAGCTGATTGCAGGCGCCAATGGCATTGCAAAATCAGTAGAAAGATGCAGGTAGACGAGATGATAGATTATGTGTATAGAACAAATAGGATGACAAGCCATTTGACAGGAAAAAGGGTAGAGGGAAAAAAAAAGACTTCAGCTACACAGAGGGGTACTGCACTCAGGGACAAGTCGAAACGAATTGATGTCATGACAACTCATGAATACTTTCAAATTTCGCGTTCAAAGTAATAATAGCTTAAGCTGTACCAGCAAAATAGGTAGACATAAATTTACCTTTGATAAAACACACCACAAATTCTTATTCCAGAGCGCCATGGTTTCTTTGGTCCCGCAGACTGCAACGAAAGGACACAGGAGCCCTCTAGTGGCGGAAAAGGGTACTAAAATGAATGAAAAACAAAAGACAAAGGTGAGTCTCGAACCTCGACTGTCGATCTCTGACAGTTTTCTTGTCGTGGTTTGGTTGGTCGTCCTCTTGTTGGTGTTATTGTGATTGACAGATTTTCTCAGTTACCGACAGCTAGCCGCCCACCATGGGGAATTTCGGGAGTTGCTTGGACAATGTAAACATCCCGCCTTGCGTTTGGTTTGCCGGGGGAGAGAAGCGAAATGCTGTAGCCTCAATGGTCGCTGGAACTCTGGTAAGTGACTCAGCTTCAGGTCCTTTATTTTGGGATTCCGGTTTTGGTATTTTCCATTTTCTCTGCCCTACTTGTTTCCTAGCTAGGTCTATCTTTCACCGATCAATTGATATCATTGCTTCGTGCCTTGTTTTAATTTCATGGTGGTACCTGAGGATGTTTACCTTTCATGGAATGAGTTCACTAAGTAATTTCTTTTGTTTTTGTCCACAGTTTTTCATGGGCTGGTGGTTCATTATTGATGCTCAATCAGTATACCCTAAATACATGTCCCATGCATACCATGTTTGCGGAGTTTTTGGAACTCTGTCTCTCTTCATGTAAGTCATGTCAAATCTTTGAACGGAAGCTATTAATTATGACAATGTTATTTAAACATTCTCATTTTTTCAGGATCAATGCTGTATCAAATGCTCAATTAAGGGGTGATGCGTACAATGGTGGATTTTGTGGTCCAAGAGGGGCAAGATTGTGGCTGTTCCTAGGCTTCGTTATGGGCTTTGGTTCTGTCATAGCATCATGCTGGATTCTATTTGCAAACTTCGTAAATAATGGTGAGTTGTTCCTTTTGCATTTCATAAATATACAATGTTTTCATTGAAACTGGTTTCTCTAATTAATCATTAATTTTGTTGGTGATCTCCATTAATATTCATTTGTACTCTCCCTTGCCAGATCAAATTAAAGCCAACTGGCCAGGATTTGCACTCTTCTTCCAAAACATTTTTATTTTCATGGGCTCCCTCATCTACAAGTTTGGAAGAGTTGAAGACCAATTTTGAGAAGATAGGGTTTCCATGATTTATGCCACAATCCGTTAGGCATTGAGCACGAGCTGTGTGGTCCAGTAAGCTTTTCTTTTAACTAGTTCTGGTTTTTTATTTTTTATCTTGAAAATTTTATCTGCTTGTGGCTTTACCTGTACTTTCTTAGTAATCACTACATTTAGCTTGCCAGCAGTCTCGTGCTCAGTCATGGAACCCCTTAAGTAAATCAGGAAACATATTTAACTATCACTTAGAAATCCTGTGTTTCATAATCAACTTTAATATTTTCAACAACATTCTTTTGATAGGACACCAGTGTGATATATAATAACATACATTTTGTTTACTATTTTATATTTATTACCTCAATTTATTTTACTGTAAGAAAGTTATGTAATGAGTTATGGTGGTGACTTAATTAATGTTTTTCATCTTCTTTTCAAGAAGTAGCTTTGGCACCATTTCATACCAGATAAATCTCACAAAGTGTATTCTCCTTTACTGTTTGTATTAATAACTGCGCAACTTTTTTTTACTGAATCATTGTGATTTTATTGGAACAAATATTGAGAGGTTAAGCACAATATTGGCTGCTATGAAATACTTCCCATGGTCAATTTATCTTTGTGTTTTTGAAGTTTTCTGTTATTGTTGAGAATAAAAAAAAGAAACAAACTTGGCAACTGGGAGGCTGTCGAAAGCTTGTACCGTGGTCAATACAAAGCTTGCACCTTGTTCACTAGTTTGAGATTTTGTGGATTAGATTGTTTGAAATTCAATGAGACTGTATACTTGTAAGTACTAAAATTACAATCGAATAAAAGATTCAATTTTGAACCATCATGCATTTCATCATTCGCTTTATGAAAAGTCCGTTTCCCTTGACTCTCGGAGGGCCTGGCTGGAATGACTGGAATTCACCAGCAATCACACATTCAAACGTTCCCGCGTCCAGCATACCAAACAAGCAGAAGCAGACGACGTCTGAGATGAGAAATTGGGAGGTCTTGTGTTTTGTTAACTTGGACAGTTAATTTTTGAAACAAAATGTTTTTAAAGCTGTTATCATGATACGACAGTTTTCCAAAATTTCACAAGGTGTACGAACGTTGAAATTCCAACAAACAAACCCCATATCAAGTTGGAATGGGTTGTGTTACCATCCTATACAACACTGTGAGATACCACATTTAAGGTTAGGTCTTCCAAGGTATGTAGTAGCGACACCAGTTTTCTTTTTTTTTTTTCGATTTTTCTTTGGTTTTCCTCGATGAAGAGTGCATTTATTTTATTATGAAAATTTGTTCAAACGTAGATCTAAACTTTATCTCAGCCCTTTTGTAAATGTGAACACTGGTGACTGCCTGTTGGGCCGGGTGCGTTATCAGCTTTTTAATATTTCTTTTGATGTATCTCTAGATTCTTCAGCCATGACGGTCCACATTATTCTAAATCTGATGACCCCAACGAAGTGCCCCTGAGTGATATCCCTGTCAGTCACATACGTAACTTTTGCATTATTGCTCATGTCGATCATGGTAAAAGCACGCTCGCAGATAGGCTCCTAGAATTCACTGGAGCATGGAGCCCATCAGAACACCAAGGCCAGCCAGGGGCTGGAAAAACACAGCAAGTCTTGGACAAACTTCAGGTTGGTTTCAGAGGTAGAGAATTTACAAATTTAAATTAATCTCTTGTGGGTCACTGTTGAATCTGTCTTTTCTGGCCAGGTGGAACAGGAACGTGGGATTACAGTCAAAGCCCAAACTGCTTCTCTGCGATACACTCACAATAATGAAGAGTTCCTGCTGAATTTGATTGATACACCTGGTCATGTCGACTTTTCAAATGAAGTGTCGCGTTCATTGGCTGTGTGTCAGGGTGAGTCAGATATGCCTCTATGAGCATTTTTCGATTCTTCTGCTGCTGAAATTAGAATTTTGAATAATTTGCAATGGCATTCATTCAGGAGTCATATTACTAGTGGATGCAAATGAAGGGGTTCAAGCTCAAACTGTGGCTAATTTCTATTTAGCCTTTACTAGAGAGCTTGCAGTTATTCCTGTTCTTAATAAATGTGATCTGAAGGCTGCAGATCCTGAATGGGCTGCCGGACAGCTTGAAAACCTTTTTGATATCGATCCTAAAACTGTTCTGAAGGTGGGTGATGGTCTATTGATCATAGCGATGTAGATGATAGTTTTTCTGTTGCCGGTACTCTGTGAGGATTTCCCGTTTCCTTCATTTTTCAGATTTCTGCAAAGACTGGAATGGGAGTGGATGACGTACTGACTGCTATTGTAGAAAGAATTCCTCCACCCCAAGTAGATCGAGAGGCACCATGCAGGGCTCTTGTGTTTGATGGGTGGTTTGATCGTTTCAGAGGATTTTTGACAATGCTTTATGTTGTTGATGGATCTCTGAAAGTGAATGATGAAATTTATCTCACTTTGCCTGGTGAACTTGACGATAAATTGAAAAAGAAGTATATTGTTAAAGGTTTGGGACTCTTACAACCAATGGAGGAAAAGACTGACCTCTTGTAAGTAATTGTAATTTCTTTTCAAAATAAGGAGCAACAACTACAACTCGCGTGTTTCTCTGATTAAACAATTCCATTTCTCTTTTCAGAAATGCTGGACAAGTTGGGTTCATGTTTTGCAATGTCCGTTCAGCAAGTGAGGCAACACTAGGTAGTACAGTTCATAGATGCAAAGATGCAGTGACACCATTGACTGCATTTCCCCCTGCTCATCCCATGGTGTATGCTGGACTTTATCCTATTGACCAATCCCAGTTTCAAGCACTACGAATTGCTTTAGACAAGTTACTGATAAATGATTCTGGAGTAACAATGGAAACTGAGACAAGGTGCCTACTTTTGCTCTCTGCTGACATAAAAATTTTGACTTGAATGTGTCTCTTTACTTGAATTTATTTGGTTTCAGTGCTGCACTTGGTACTGGTTTTCGTTTGGGATTTCTAGGCCTCCTTCATATGGAAGTGTTCAGTCAAAGGCTCGCACAAGAATTTGGTACTGAAACTATTGCAACAGCTCCTAGTGTTCGCTACAAAAGTAATAATAATGATTTTTCTTACATTTTCCTTGACAGAAATGTGTTTTTTGTATTATTTATTGACTTATTCTTTGATTGTATTTTATTTCTAGTGAAAATATTCGGAGAGAAATCCATCAAGAAGTACGGTGGAGACACTATCGTTGTTTCTAATGCTGCTGACATGCCAGATGGGGGTATCATAAAAGAAATGTTTGAGCCAGTAGTCAATGCGACCATTATTACTCCAGGTTTTATTTTCGTCTCCAATTAGAATTTTTTTTGGTATTTAAAAATTTGTTCATAATCTTTGATTTTGGTTGTTTTACTCTTACTAGATTCTTATATTGGCCCGATTGTAAAACTGTGCTGTGAGCGTCGAGGAAGAGAGTCATCTTCACCGACATCTATTGATAGCAAAAGAGTTATGCTGAGGTATATCTTACCTCTAAATGAAGTTGTTATGGATTTCCATGACACACTAAAATCTCTATCATCGGGTTATGCTAGTTTTGACTATGAGGAGCATGGATATGAGCCCACAATGCTTAGCAAGGTACAGTATACTGCATTTTAATAGGTTACCTTCAGTTGGGAATTTTAAATATTTTTTTTAGATTTATGTATTAATTTTACTATGTGTTTATGTAGGTGGACATTCTTTTGAATGGCATTCCAGTCCAGGAATTGAGTGTCATTGTTCATGACAGCAAAGTAAGAGAGGAAGGGCGGAGATTAGTGGAAAAACTTTGTGAAATTATCCCCAGAGAACAGTTTCCGGTAGGGTCAAAGGACATGCTGAACTTGATTCTAGAACATTCTTAAACTCTCAGTTTTAAATGATTTAAATGATTTACAGATTGCTGTTCAATCTTATACACGAGGAAAAATTATTGCTCGAGGAAATATTAAACCTTACAGAAAAGATGTTACAGCTAAATTGGTGAGTTATTTGTATTTATGCACTCTGCTACCAAACCATTGCCACTATTTAACTTTTACCAATCTTTTTCAGTATGGAGGAGATGTAACACGCCGAAGAAAGTTACTAGCCAGACAGAAGGAGGGAAAAGAGAGACTCAAGATGGTTGCTAACATAGGTTTACCAAGAGATACATTCATCAAGCTTTTAAAAAAATAATTTGTAAAAAAAAAATATTTTAATTAATAAAAGTATAAAAAAATCACTATCACAGTTCATCCTTGGTTGATTCGATCTTTTTATCCTCCTCCATTTCACTCTCATGAGCAAGCAAGGACCTCAATTCTTCATAAATTGAATCCCAAAGTGCCATTCGCTCTGAATAAAAATCACGTTCCATCATAGAAAGTTTCCCATTAAGGCCCACTTCAACAAATGAAAAATTTGCTCCCTGAGCTACAGGCCATTCCAAATAGTCCAGCTCTTCCTCTTTTTCTGGAGTGGGATCCCTGAAAGACCAAAAAATATAAAAGCCAACAGACACAGCTTAATTTTCACTGATTGTTGTGAAACAACGATGAACTTACTCAGTGGTAACAAAGTTGGAAATAAGCCTTATCAATTTTTTAGACACAGGTATTTCCTCTTTAGTTAATTTTGACTTCTCGTTTGCAAATATTGCTGGAAACACAAGCTCAGCATCTGTTCCTAAAGGAACACCTGTAAAAAGAATTTTAAAAATTAAATCAAAACTATTTATTTTTTGCATTGATTACATTTTTTCTATTCTTACCTAGCACACGTGTAGTGTCCTCATGTCTATCAAAACCAAATCGATAGACCAGTGATAAGGATCTCTTAGCAGCGGACTGCAGAACAACTGTCCTATACAAACCATAGTTGTACAGCGCATCTGATGTTAGCTAAAGAAAACACGTGAAACAAACAAAATTAAAATTTTGCACTCTAAACTGATCTTTGCAACACAAATCAGCGTAACTAACACGATACAGAAATAGCTGTCTGTACTCACGTCGATGAGCCCCGACAGCGTGCCCAGGCTCACGGACTGGTTGCCGGGCAGATAGTGGTCCCGCAGCCGCTGCGCCGCGTTGCGCTGCCACTCGGGCCCCGCCGCCTGCACCGCGTGCCGCAGGCCCAGGTAGTCCCAGAGCGTGTCCTCGAAGTTCTCGTTGAGCTTCTGCAGCAAACCCCTGAACACCATCAGCTCTGCGCACCGAAACAGAAAGAAACATTCCCGTCAACACGTGCCCGGGGTAGCGGCCGCGGAGGACGCGAGCTCGGAACTCACGCAGCGCGTGCGGCAGGCCGTCGTGCGTCGTCACCCCTGCCACCCAGGTCTTGGGGGACAGCCCGCGCGCCCCGGACTTGAGCGTGTCCTCGGGCGGGGTGATCATGAAGGGCCGGTTGTGGCCGTCGAAGCGCTCCACGCTCGGCACGAAGGGGAAGGACAGGTCTGAGTGCCAGTCCTGCAGAAAGGGGCCGTCAGCAAGTCAGCACACTGGTTTAGCGGTGGGGGCGGGACGGCGCGAATCGTACCAGCACTCTCTCGCTGGCCCGGACGACGGCCTCGGCCGGCTTGGTGCGGAGGCAGCGCACCACGTCGGCGGCCTTGACGTGCTCGTCCGCGACGCCGGTCTTGACACAGCCCAGCAGGCGGCCCAGCTTGAGGGCGCGCCGCGTGGCCTCCGCCGCGGGCAGCACGGCCCAGGGCGCCAGCGCGCTGCCGGACAGCGACAGCGTCTGCTGGAACAAGTCTGCGGCCAGCGGCGAGTAAGAAGCAAGAAGCTCATGCAGGTTCAGAAAGGCCGTTCGCGTCAAGGGGGCAGCACTTGCTTGGTTCGCTGGAGGACAGCGGGCTGAGGGCGTGCAGGTGCGCCGCCGCCCCGCCCGCCTGGAAGCCGCCCAGGGTCACGTGGCCGGGGTGGCCGCCGAACTCGGCGATGTGGCTGTGCACGAAGGACAGGACCGTGAAGATGTCCTTCATGCCCGCGTTGCCCACCGCGGGGTGCTCGCCGACGCTCAGGAAGCCTGGAGCAACAGGTCTGGGGTTAGAGTACCGTCGTCGGATGGACTGTCAGAGCGGGCAAGCTGCTCACCTAGCGCGTTGAGGCGGTAGTTGGGCACCACGAGCACGATGTCGTTGTCGTCCATGAAGCGCTCCGGGCCCACGTCGTCGAAGGAGCCGGAGCCATGCTGGAAGTTGCCGCCGTGCAGCCACACCAGGACGGAGCGCAGGCGCGGCACCAGCTCCTCCACCGGCACGGAAGTGTCCTGCGTCTACCGAAGGCGAAGAGCAGCGGTTACTCAGCACTCTCGGCCTGCACGTCGCCAGCGAGGGCCAAGGCGAACCGCACTCACTTGGTGGGTGTAGATGTTGAGGTAGAGGCAGTCCTCGTCGCCCTCGTACTGCCGCTCGGGGTAGGTGAGCTGCGGACACTTGGGCCCGTCTTGGACGCACTCTCGCACCCCCTGCCAGGCCTTCTCCTTGAGGCGCCGCGGGAACTGCAGGCGGAAGGGGAACGGGCGTCACGACCTTTGCCGTCACTCTCACTCACACCGCGACGAGCCACGAACCTTGAAGCGGAGGTCGCCGACGGGGGGCTCCGCGTAGGGGATGCCGAGGTACGCGAAGTACTGCCGTCCGCCGGCAGAGGTCAGCACCTTCCCCCTGACGCGGCCACCCCAAGTATCCAGCACCGGGGCCTCGGTTGGCAGCGTCGGCGTCGAGGCCACGCTGTCGTTCACGCCCTCCCCGTCGTCGTCAAAGCTCAAGTCCCACTCGTCGTCGTCGTCCTCGTCCCAGTCGTCCTCCTCCTCGACGCCATCCTCGTACTCGTCCACGCTGGTGTCGGTGTTGGCGCTCGTGACCGCGATGGCCGCGGCGGCCAGCAGCAGCAGCAGCGCCGCCTTGGAGGGCGTCATGTCGTCCCGGCCGGCTCGCCGTGTGGCCGTGCGGCAAGCCGTGCGGCTGGTACTATCAGCCGGCTTGGCCGGGCTTATCGCGCCCATCGACGCCGTCCCTGTCCTCCCCGCGTCCTTCGCGCCAGCCCGCCAGCCCGCCGGCCGCGTCCTTATCGCCCAGGGACCTCTCCTCCCGCCCGCCCCCGCCCCGCCCGCACCGACATGCCGATACCGGGCAACACACCGCCGTGTCGAGTTCTTCTGCTTCCTTCGCCAACAGAAAGCGCCTGGGAGGTAGGCATCCCGGATGCAGGAGCGCCGGTGGGTTGCCTACCCTGGGCTTTGCGGGCGCTTGAGGCCGCCTGGGAGGTAGGCCGTCGGAACACAGGAGTGCCGGCGGGTTGCCTACCCTGGGGTTTGCGGGCGCTCGAGGCCGTCGGAACACAGGAGTGTCGGCGGGTTGCCTACCCTGGAGTTGGCGGGCGCTCGAGGCCGCCTGGAAGGTAGGCCGTCGGACGACAGGAGTGCCGGCGGGTTGCCTACCGCGGAGTTGGCGGGCGTTACCCCCTGCTCCCCGCCGCACCGGCCGCCGGCCGGCTGCATGCTGTCTCGTCGTCCGGAAGGGGGCTGCCAGGCTGCCTTCCGACTTGGCTGTCCGGCCGCTAGAGGGCGCGCGGTGGCGCGGTGCGGCGGTGCGACGGCGCCACCCTCCGCCGCGCTGGAACCGCTGGAACTGGAACTCGCCAGTACAGTTTTGGTTGCGCCGCGCCGGCAAGCGGGCAACAGGCAAGCCAGCCTCGCGAGCCGCGCTGCCTGCACCCTGCGGCTTTCGGCACTCGCACGTGTCTGGCCGCGACGGCTCGGCGACGCCGCGCCGCACTCCCCGCACCCGATGCACCGCGAGCCCCTCTAGTCCGTCCTCGGGACCCCCGTCTCCCCGACTCCCCCGCGCCGCCATGCCCGTCGCGTGGCCGCCGCACCGCGAGGCCTAGTTCGCGCACCGCGGACGCCGTCTTCGCGCGGGACCTCGCCACGCACTGCTTGATGGTGATGCCCGACGACGACGTCCTCGCCCGTCGCCGTGGCGGAGGAGTGCAATCCTCTAACCGGCCCGGCGGGCCATGAGCCGGACTCGGCCACAGCCTCCACTGCGTCCTCTGCGTCCCGCGCCAAGGTGAACTCTTCTGCTCTGCGCGGGAATGAAACATTCAGGCTGTCGATAAAAACAAAAAGCCGAAGCGCTGTGTCCACCGCGGCTAGGCATGCCAGCCGCAAACAAAAAGAGCAGATATTTTTTTTGTGGCTCGCCTGCCTCGCCGGCAGTTGGAGCGCCGAGGGTCTCGCGCATTGAGTGCAGGGCTGCAACACTGAAGGCCCCACACGGCCCACGGCCCAAAGGCCCGGCCCTCCGGCCTCGCCCGCCACTTTATTGTGAGCAATAAAAGAAATGAGTCGACGCTGCAGCTTTCCCACACGAGCCTGTCAATCCACGCTTCGCTTCGCCAGCTTCGCCACCAGGTGGCGCGCCTCACACCTCGCCTCGCGCCTTTTCCCGCCCTTCTCCGCCTCCATTCCACGCGTGGGGAAACGACCGCTCGGCCGAGCACTTGGCCGTCGGAACCCTCTCGCCCGAAGTTGGCCGGGATGGTCGGGATGGCGAACGGGTCGCTATAAACGCTCGTTACGATGTTGTTAGCCCGGGTTGGGTTGATCGATGCGGATCGGAAGCAACTTTCTTTCTCATTGTGTGCCAGGCCGGCGCGACCACCCGTCCGCGCGACAGTGCAAACAACGCGCGGTTCCGCCTTGGCCTCCTTGGAAATAACTCAGCGGCTGACACGGCCGCCCCACTTCCACCTACGCCAACCCTTCGCAGTGTGCCGTGCGCCGCAGTACGCACACCTCCAGCCCCATTTGTCTGATGAATATGCCTCGCCGCCGCGACACGACGACTACGACGACGACGTCGGCGGGGTGGTGGTGGTGGTGGCGGCGGCGTCGGGTCTCGGGTGCGAGGAGGGCGCCCCTCCCAGGCGATTGGCTCGTGCAGTCCAAAGGCCCCGCCGATGAGACCGATGCGTGGCTGTGAGCCAGCGTGGCTTGCCTGCTGTACTCCTTGATCAGATTAGAGTCGAGTATTGTTCACGACCCCGCCGCACCCCGCCTCGCCCCGCCGGCAAAGAGAAGATCCATCACTCCGGGAGGGGATGATAGGGGGCCGTGCGCTCGGGCGGACCGACATAAGCTGTTGGGTGTCGACAGCCAGCCAGCAGCAAGCAGCCCGTCGGGTCGCGGCCATCGCTGGGGCTGTCTGAAAGAGCTCCCGGCCTGCCCCTGGCCCGCCCCCGGCCTGCCCCACGGACTTGGCTCGGCCTCCGCGAGGATCGCAAAGGAGCCTTCCCAATCCGGCCGTTCCAGCGGCTCCAGCCGCTCCAGTCCGTTGTTGCCCCCGCACCTTGATCGCCTTAAGACTTTGAGCACTTCTGCTTCGGCCCCGCTACCTGGCTGCTGCTGCTGCTGTTGCTGCTGCTGTTGTCGTCGGCCAACTTCTCGGCTGCGTGACGATTACAGTGTCCACGCCACGGCGGCCAGGCTAGGCCAGCACTGGTGAAAGAAAGGCATTAAAATTATGCCCTTAAAGGGCGTAAACGATTTACGCCTTTAAAGGGCATAAATCGTTAATGCCTTTGGGAAGGGCATTAAAATTTTGCTTGAAATTCCTATACCATTTACGCCCTTTCCAAGGGCATAAACGATTTATGCCCTTGCAAGGGCGTAAAAGAGTATTTATGCCCTTAAGGGCGTAATTTTTATGCCTTTGTTTTACCAGTGAGGCCGGGCGGCTTCCGCGAAATGGAGGGCGGAGCGGTTCGCTCGGCTTGGCTCGGCTTCGCTTCATCGCGCTGGATCTGTAATTAGCACCCCCACCCCTCCGTTCGTGTCGCGTCAGACTCCTCAAATGACAGGGTGGCCGTCGGGCCGCTGGGCCCGGCCCGGCCCCGCCCGGCCCGGCCAGGAGGGTGTACAGGAAGTCCATTATATTCCCGCGCAACCACTGCATGTTGGCGCGGCGGCGCGGCGCCAGGGACGTGTCGGGATGATAAATAAAACAGAGAATCAAGCCGGACAAAGGGAGCCGACGCAGTGCTCACTGTTTCACATTCGCAACAATTTCGGCCGTTTATTAAATTTCGATCCGCCTGCACCGCTCTGCCAACCCGTGGCGCCGTCTCTCTCGCACCTTCGCGGCACGCCCCGTGAGAGCGACGGGGACGGAGCGATGCGAAAGCACTGCTCGGAATGGGCCGCCTGGTTGCGCTAGGGTGCGCCCGGGTGCGCCTGGCTGCTTTGGCGGTGCAGGAGGGCAAGCAAAGCTCCCACAGCCTTGGCCCGGCCCGGCCCGGCCCGCGTAATGGAATTGCCTTATCAGATTCGCAGCGAGTGAATTCTGCGGTTGTGGATCAGACCCGCCCGCCTCCCCTCGCCTCCCCGCCTTGGTCATGCACTGCTTGGCCACCTGGGCGTTGCTGCTCCTCTGTGCTGACCGCCGCATCCCCATCCCCTCGGCGGCGGGGCCGCCCGGGCCGGAGTGGCGGTCGCCGCAGGCCGGCCCCCTCCCCCTGCCCCTCCCCCTCCCCCTCCCCCTCCCCCTGCCCGTTCCGTCGGGCTGGCTGGGTCAGGTCAGGCCCGCATCGCACGACGGCCGCGGGGCGCCTTTTTTTGCTGAATCCGTTGCTGAAGGAAAAGTAGCGGAACAGAATCATTTGTCAGAGCGCGCCGCCTCCTGACGGCCAGGTGGAAAACAAGGCCCGCCTGCGTCGTGGCGGGGCCAAGGTCGCACTCGCCGCGCACGCCGCGCGCAACGACGGCGAACCAAGTGCGAACGCCCAGCCCACGCCCACGCCCACCCTGAGGTTCTATGTAATGACCAGCGGGCTGCAGGCGGGGCTGACCCACGGCAAGCCGCAGCGCGCCGCAGCGCCCCGGGCCGGGTTGTCGACCTGGTCGCCGACCGCGCCAAGGACCGGGCCGGGGCCGGCAGGGCCGCCAGTTAGCACGCACTGGCCGCCAGCGCCATGAAGATTTACCGGCGAGGGGGCGGCGGGCGGCGTCTTAGTGGGCCGTGGAGGGCCTTCCTTCGCGGCCCCGCACCCGCGACCCGCGCCGCGCACTAAGCCCCTGCACGTGTGGGACATCCTGATAGTGGCGCGGGCCGGGCCTGGCCGGGCGGGCCGAACACGGGGACCCGTGTCGCCGTATGTCTCGAGTGCGCGGACACTGTGAAGAGCGACGGCCGGACAGATTCCCTGCCGAGGCCCCACATGGTTCCCACGGCCGCTGTCAGCCTCACATATGTATGCAGAGCCCTCGACCCGCGGCAGCGCGGCAGCCAAGTCGGCGTGTGACAGCGCGACAGTGTGACAGGCTGCAGACATGTGTCGCGACGTCGCGACTTTGGCGCCACTTTTACGGCGTCGAAGCCCCGCGTTGAAGCCTCGCGTCGGCGCCACCCCGCCGCGCAGTGCGCAGCCAGCAGCCAGCCCGCCGCCGACCCCGCCAACCTTCTGCTTCCGGCGGTGCGCGGTCTGCGCGTTCTGCGTTCCGGAACAGGAAGTGGCGGGTTTTAGCGCAGCCTCAGCGTTGCGTGTCCCTGGGGAGCCCACAGAGGGCGCCAGCCTCGCCAGCATCGCCGGCCCCGCCCATCCCAATTACTGCCGGTTGCTCGGCCCTCCCAGCGCCCCTCCGTCTTCGCCGAGGCCATCAGCCCCACGGACGGCCCCCGGACGTCCAGGCTACATCAATGTCACATCGCGCACGTGCAGCGTGCGGCCGCGTGGCGCGGCCGGACGGCCCGGCAGTCCGATATGCGCCGCGAACCGGTGGACGGCGGACGGCGCGCGGGGGTTGGGGGTCGCGGAACCGCCGCCTTGTTTGCGCGGAATGCTTGATTAGTTTTCCGCGCAAACTGGGGCGGTGAGGGTGATGCCGCGCGGCCGCGTCCCCGGGCGCGACGTGAGGCACCCCGTCGGCGGCCGGCGCCCGACACGTC